GGCTAGGGGGCCGAGCGTTGCTGTCGCATGTCTTACATTTAAAATCCATGTACAAAATTAATAGGAGGGCGGGTCCAAAATCTTTTGGATTATATTTATATATATTAATGTAAAAATGTCCAGAAATAGAAACTTAAATCACTAAATAGTGTCAAATATGTCAACGTGAGCCCTACTGAATAGTGAAAATTATTATTTTCGTGAATTATTTTATTATAACCACTGTAATTCATTAATTTTAAGAAGGAACACAATGTGAGATTTTGGTCTAAGTCACTATAAATAAACCCACTGTGAACAGCTGATATTGAAGAAAAAGTGTGCGCAACATTTACGATAACCCTAAAACCTAGAAGAAGATTGATTGATTATCTTAATTTATACACGTATATACAGCTGTATGATTAGTAAATCTCAACCAAGCTACTTAGACAGGGCGGACCTTGACAACATTTTATCCTATAGTTCATCCATGTTTGTGCGTCTCCAAAGTCTAAGTTTGTAAAAATGTTAAATTTGCGACACTCCCAAATGCTTCTGATTTAATTAAGTAGATTTTAGTTCAATCTGAACGCGGGGGGGGGGTGAAATTTTCGAAATATATTCCCCTAATACTGTGTTTAGGTTTAAGATAGGATTGGTGCTGGATGGCTGGTTGTTCCCTCTTAAAGAGGAAATTTTTAACCCAACTCAACCAATTGTTTTTATTAATACAGGCAATCCTTAATCTTAATATGATGCTTTATCGATAGGACTAAAGGCCGTTTGGACTAATGGACAATTGCACTAAAGTCAGCTGTTCACAAACCGGCTTTTAGTCCATTTGAACATTTGAGCTCTCGGCCCCCTAGCTTGTCCTTACATAATATAATTTTTGTGTAAAAATACATAAAACTTAATAGAATAGAGGGTAATTTAAAAATGGATTGACGGGATCCGCAACATTGTCGCTTCCTTCATCTGGATCCGAGGGGCAACAAATCCAAATAAAAAACCCGCAAAACTTACAGTTCGACCCATAAAGACGACTGGTCTATTCAATATTAAACAGTCCAATAGTCTAAATCAGAATTGAACACGGACCCATATCCTCTAAAAATTTGATTTTAAATCTTTGGTTAAACTAGTTTCTTAATAACAACATCAAATAATACGTGCATAAGATAGCTTAAAATGTCTTTTTAATTTCTGCAGTTTGTATGGGTTTTACTGTTTATTTTAAGTGTCAGGTAATGCGATATCATTGCTGATCATTAAATATTATATAAAGTTTTTGAAAAAAAAAATTTCGAAAAACAACCAGATCCATATTGATTTACAGGAATAATTAGGGATCCGGATCAGGATCAGCATCAGACAATTCTGTTCAAAATTGAAAACACCTAGTTTCTTTTTTAAAGATCAAAATTAAACGAACATTTAAGTTTTTTCTTAAAGCGTCGAAAGTCAATCTCTTCCCCCTTTAATTCATTATAAGATTATGGTTTGTAAAGAGAGTTTCCTGAACCGGAACAATATTAGTAAAATGAGAGAATTTCTAACTCATCCTGAGGACCGAAGAATGGTTTTTATCAAGGTAATTTTACCAAACATTTAGATAGTGATACTCCATGTCTTGACCACCATTTTTCGAAAATTTAAATTGTGTTTTCAATATTAGTGGAATTAAAAAAACGAAATTTATGTTCCTTAATTGTACAAATGTGTAATAAATAAGCTTCAAAGTTCTATTTATAAATTTAAGATTTAATGGTAAATTCGAACAAATTGCGAAGAACTGCCAATATTCAAGATTAAAGGGACTGTAGACGTAATTTTCTCTATTGAAGTAACTTACGGATTTACCCTGTAGAGAAATATATAATTAGTGTAAGCAAACTTCACTTTATCTTACTCAAATTTAGGTCTAAGTGTCCCATTGTGCATCTTAAATACTGTCTTTTTGATGATTGGAAAATAGTCTAAACTAATTTATATTTTAAATTTATTGTTTAAGGGATCTGTTCATCAAAATCATATAGATGCACCACTAATCTTCAAATCTGTCGCTGTAAAGAAGATTATTGGTGAGATCATAAGATTTAACGCAGCGCTGGAGTGTACTGTTGATGTGTTTTTTTGGCTGAATCGGGAAGAATAAATAATTTTTATGGGGAAAAATAAAATTTTTGTTATAAAATAATCAAAAAGTATGAAAAAACTTGCATTTTGATGTCCAATTTAAAAAAAAATACACCCCTAGAAGAGTGAGAATTATTCAAACAGGGAATACATTGGATAATTAGAGTAAAGTGCGTTATTTTGTTATATTACAAAAATTGGTGAAATCTTTCAACCCTAATATCATTGCAAGTATAGATGTTAACCTAACCAAAAACACTTCTTACTAAAATACTATTATCAGGTATGTGAATCTTTAGTCTCGAAGTTTTTATCTTCACTCAGTGTAACATTTACAGGACATTAAAAAACAAATATGCAAAACAATGCATTTTTGAAATATTAGGGTTAAGAAATGCGATTCAAGAGCTAAGCTTTGTATTGTTTGTTTTTAAAATATTTTTTTCCTCCGGTAGTTGCTCCATTTAGATCTTTAGTAGCTCCTAAAGTGTCAATGTTGTAAGTATTGCATATTAAAAGTTATGCATACTACAGAACTATTAAAATATTTTCGTAAATTGCGGTACTTTGTTAAACATGAAATTGTGGAATTTGGTTATAGTTTTACATGAATATGAAACAGCACAAAGGTTGGATTAAACCATCTGATATGGGATTTTCAAACCAAAAATGTCCGGTCTAGTTTGCCCAAATATTCTGTTGTGAGCAAGCTATTGGAAGCCACTGAAAAGGTTCTTAGGGTTGAAAATATATGTGCAAAGTCCTCTGCAAGAATTGGATTGTTTCCTTGGAAAGAGAAAGGTCCCAACATACTCAAGCTAATGCCAGGAACTGTTCTCAAGAGGACTGAACACCCTGAGCAGCTTGATCCTCCCCTCCCTGAAGAGTTTGAAGATCCTCCCCTCGCAGAGCAGCTTGATGATCCTCTCCTCGCAGAGCAGCTTGATGATCCTCTTCTTGTTGAGCAGCTTAATGATCCTCTTCTTGTTGAGCAGCTTGATGATCCTTTCCTTGCTAAACAGCTTGATGATCCTCCCTTCGCTGAGCAGCTTGATCATCTTCCCTTCGCTGAACAGCTTGATGATACCCTCAATATTAAGAGCAAGAAAGATTTATGCCGGAGAAAAGGTTTTATTGGTGGTAGGGGTTAGTTATTTCAAAGTCAAATGATTAAAATTTTTTCTAAAGTTCATTCTTGTCGTATTTGGCTGTTTATTTTTGTTCGTGTTTTTTTTTAAATGAAAATAATAAAAACGTTTTTTGTTAGGAATAGACTCATGAAAAATAGTGTTGTTATAAACATTTTAACTGTCCCAGCTTAAACAAGTGTAAAATGATTAAGTTTATCACTATAACCAAATACCGCAATGTATAACCAACCAAAGTGAAATACATGACCAAATACAGCAATTTGATATGCTTTAAAGCAACTTGTGTATCTGAAGCAATAATAAATTATTTAGAATTTTTGCTTCGATTTTTTACTCAAATATCTTAAAACTTTAGAATATATGTTTTTTTTTCAAACAATTTGTGTTAAATTAAAGTGAGCAGTAGGTATTTTTCCTGAAAATCTGAAAAGTTAAGTTTAACTATAACCAAATAAAACACTTAACAATAATAGTATAATTAGTATAATACTTTTATTAAGTCGACTTATCTAGGATTATAAATATTTTCTGAAATAGTCGTTTCAACCCCCACCCTTTCCCAGATAAATAATGAATAATTAGGAAAAAAATATTTATTTTTTGTTTGAAAAAGTGTTAATATGGTTGGTCAATTTGTGAATGATTTTTCCCCTTTTTTATCTTTAAAAAAATGTTCTCTTTCCTTTCAGAGAAATAACATGCATATTGCATAGCTGTTAAAAATTACTAAATCTTTAGCTTCTAATTAAAATTTCAACACCGACGACATTTTTCCCACTTTAATTTTAAGTTATGACTGTTTAAATTTAGGAATGCACTCTGAGACGGATGCAGGCGTAGTTCTAGATATTAACAACAAACTCATGATTCACTTTATAGCAAGGTAATCCACAGAAGTAATAGCTTAATACAAAGCATGCCCGATTCAGAACAGTACCTTTGTGTAAGTTATGATAAGGGAGATATCGTCATATTTATAAATAGGTTTTGAAACAAAATGAATTCAACCATTCCCAAAATCCTCAGTTTAATATTATTACAGACGGGAAAAAAGAAAACTTAATAAGTTTTCTCAGGTAAAGTATATAAAAAGGGTACCGCGGAGAAAAATATGCTTCTTTTGAAAATCTTAATTTTAGAGGATATTCATTTTGGAATTTTTTATTATTTTATTCCAATTTTATAAATAGTTTATTTTAATAATTTCTTAATTTTTAAAACATAAATGTTATTAATTGTTTTGTATCGTATTTATTCAGTTCTTGATTGTTAAGTAAATAACTCATTAGTTACTTCCTTTTATTTTTATAAGATTTTTCTTAATTTCTAATACTGAATATTTATTTAGTTTAATCTTATAACAGCTTAAAAAGTCATCATTTCCAAATGTGATTCTTTTAATTAGTTTCATATTAAGTATATATTTCATAAATACTAAGTTTTTACCTACATTTCCTAATTTGTATATTTTAATTTTGTTTTTAATAGTTAACAGTCCCTTAAAATGTTATTTTTAGTCGGTTGAACCTTGGAATAGATCCGTCATTAGAACTCTTCCTCACTCATCATGAATCTGTCATCATTGAGGTGGGTGTTGTCTCTTCCCCCTTTTATCAAGATTGCGTAAGTGTAACTTGCAACTGAATGAGTGCCCTGAACACAGAGATACATGTATCCGATTCGTTAAACATTTTCTAACTGTGATTTAGCTACGATTTCTCAGGCTAACTAGGCTAGTAAGTCACAGCTAAATCATAGTTAGAAAATGTTTAACAAATCGGACAATGGTTTCTCACACAGGATGAGACTTTAAAATGTATTCTGCCGGTTTCCTCATATTCACGATTCCCCGCAACTGTAAACTTTGTTTTCTTCAACAAATCATTACATAAGCCATTCAAAGACTATATTCAAGGCAGTGGATTTAATCTTACCTTGGGATCGTCATAATAGTCGAGTTTTTACTGTCATCCATTATATAGGTAACCCTGTATATCAGTTGTAAATTACAAAATCGTTGTTATTTCTCAAGTTAGAAAAAGACGACGTTCATTACACTGTTTCCGGTTCTCACTGTTGTAAAATACTGGGGGGTATACTAAGGATGGCCTAGAGGTCGGATTTTATGACTAGCGCGAAATACTTGAACTAAATACGAATAGTTAAAGAAGTAGCTCGAGAAGTAGTTCATCCAGACTTACTTAATCGTTTTATTTGATTCCAACCTTGGACACATTTCAATTAACATAACCTAAAGATTCAATTCAGTTCTCTTCATTGAATTTATGGATTAAAATTCTAAATCCTTCCATTTTCAATTGTAATGTATCACATAAAAAAGAATTGTCTAAAATGAAAAAAACTGTATAAATCTGACCTTTTTGACAAGGATTCTGGATTATGATTATTCTTGATGATTAACCCAAGATCTTTACTTCTAAAACCAGGTTGTCGTCTTCGAAATGCCGCAAATTACTTCAAAGATTAAGAATAATCTACATATCGACTTCCATCTGTCATATTTCGTGGGACACCACTTGTGCCTTCACTGCCTTCTTTGAAACATTATTTAATTATTATTTTCGTGAATATCCTGTAATCCCTGTACGCCTGTACGTATCACGTATCCTTAAGTTTCAATTTACATCGAGTGCATCCCTGTATCCTTTAGTTTCATATTTATCATCGAGTGCATCCCCGAAATTGTACTGGATAACGATAAAATATAAAAATAATGGAAACAATTTAAGATTTTTTAAAACTTTAATCGTGATTCCTGTTTTTTCTTAATTTTTTTAATTTTATACAGTGAAACCCTTAATAACGAATACACCGAAAGAATTTATCAAATGTCGTCTTCACAATTTTTCAATGAGTTTTATACTATATTACGTAAATTTCAGTATTTGCCAAAATAAATAAATAGCCATGAATATGCGGGAACAGTTCCATATAACAGTTCCATATAATCATTTCATTAAAAAACTAAATATCTGCAACATTCCATTATCAGAAAGTGGAGAATACGACATTTGATGAATTCTTTCAATGTATTCGTTATTAAGGGTTTCACTGTAAGTCTTAAAAAGATTCTTTAGTTTTTGAAAAATTATTTTATTTCTATTTTCAGGCAACTGACAAGGAAACAGATGTCGAGAAAACTGCAACTGCAGATCAATGATCACACGAAACATTCCTGGATCGTTTTCATACAACAAGACAGAATTTATACTTAATTTACAAAATTTTGTAAAATTTTTTTTTACTTTTTTGACAACAAAAGAAATTGAAATACCCAGTGCCTGTACCCTCTTCCCTCATCAAAAAGTATTATTTTAACATAATAACTATGCTTTGTGTTAGTAATCTCATCATGTATATTGTATATGGCCAAATATTTAGGACAATCTGAACAAGAAAACCTAATTCAAGTTTTCAAATTTAATAATTTGTTATGCTGTTATGTCTTGAATATTTTATTAGTTACATTTGTTATGTTTATTGTTTATCATATATTTAAATCCAAATCTAAATATTTAAATTATGTATTTGAAAAATGTCTGTTAGGGTGGATTTAATTTAAGGTCGGAATTAATAGAGAGAAGTTGTTGAACTAGGTATGCATAGTTAAACAGTTTCCTGCACTTTTAGATAAGTAGTGTACTCACAGGATTACATACCAAGGACGAGACTTTAGTTAGGATCTAAAATTCATTTGGTGTCATGATTTTAAGGTTTCATCCTTTGTGGGTAAACCTGTAGTTCAAATATCTACGACTTTTAACTATCCATTAGTTTCGATCTCTTAGCAAGCATTTGATTTGAAATGTTGATTTTTATTTTTATATTGTTTTTCGATTGTTATCCTATATATATCTATTCTACATTACACACCATGGATTAGAACTGTATATTTTCATGGATATTGGAGGTATCTATTCTACATTAAACACCATGGATTAGAACTATATATTTTCATGAATATTGGATGTGTCTATTCTACATTAAAGACCATGGATTGGAACTGTGCATTTTCATGGATATTGGAGGTTGAGAGGATTGGAGGTAGCCTCCAAACATATATTCTCCCAAACTTATCTCCAGCTGAGAGCCTAAAAAAAGTAGAATTAGTTTAAATTACATATTTCATGTTTAAAGCGACTGTAAACGTCACAAAGGTACACTTAAGAGCTTTGTCTGAATAAGTATACATTTTTTTATATTGAAACTGAGTGTTTTCATTTGTGTGTTCTTTACAAAATTGACTTGCATTTCTTTTTTTAGGAACAATTGCAAAATTAACTGAAATGATTACTTTTTAAGCCTGAGAAGCAACTGTTTTCTTCCACATAAATGATCAGATCAAGACTTCCAGGATATAAATTGGGTGTTAAAAAAAAACACTACTTTTTTCTTCCACAGGCTTAAATATTATACGATCACATAGAAATTAATAGCACTTAATGTCGCTGAGATTAACTACATGCTTAAAAGATTATCGGATTTGGTCAACACAGCTCTGAATACATGCTCTTTATCTCTGGGGATAAAACTGATTAGCCTAGCTGCAAAAAACATTAACAAAGCAGAAGGAAGTCCAGAACTTGCTGAAAATTGAAAAAATTTATTTAAAGGTGTTCGATATAAGCCTAAAAACAGTTGCAGGCGACCATTACTTAAAGCTGACAGGACCATATTTTATTGCAAGAAGGAATATGCCTTACTATACTATAGCTTATCCTAGAGTAAATTAACTCTATCAAGGTTCATGAGGGCTCAGCTTGTTAGCAGGACAAAACTTGTAAACAGCCACCACAGCCAGCCTCTTATACTGTCAGCAATAGTTAAAATTAATGTTTAGTTTATACCTGATAATAACCACAAAGTTAAATAATGTCCAGCCGATAATTGAGAAAATTTACCATGGCAAGAAAAAGAAAGTTGAGAAAATGTGAAAATCTCTATCATCTGAAGCAGTGTGACTGCACGGCGAGAATTTGAAATCCCAGCCCCAGTAGCCTAATCAAATCCTTACAGAGCATTTATTCGGAGCATGGTTGTTAAAATTCTATTTTGTAACCATGTAGTCCCAACGTCTTCAAGACACTGTGATATGAATTTCATTATGATCGGATAATAATTAAGCTTGTGAGAGAAAAAAGTGTGAATTTTTTTTTACAACCTTTAGTTGTGAATCAGGCATTCCCATTTTTTAACGGGACTGTTGTTGTAATTTCAACTGACCCGCCATTAAAAGAGAACAAGCGGAGATTTCTTGTTCATGCATTTATTTTTGATTTTTCTACATTGTAATTGTATTGAATAGTTGAAAAGAGGCTTATATTTATCACTTGGGTTAAGGGGCAAAATAGGGAATTTGTCTGCGGGAAGGGGGGGGGGGGGTTAAGTTTGTGGTTTTTGATGATCTTTTAAATAGAGATTTTTTTTGTCCCCAGGACATGATCGGGTTGTTACGATCAAATCTCGGAATTTTTTCTATTGCGAAAGTTTGGTGTTGTCTGGGTTTTTATATTGATCTACCAGGGGTTGTAATCTGGCAGCACATTCATCCATCCACGCTTCATTCATTCTGAGAAGAGGGTTGACAAGATTCCAGCTGCCTAAGATTCTTCTTAGGCCTGAGAATATAGAGTGCAGGAATCCTTCTGATATACTGGAATGAGGCCCGGGTGCCGTACTGATAGGAAACATCACACTCATTGCTCCCTAACATCTGTAAGCCCGGATTGGATACCCCCAGGTACCTATAGCTGGCAACCATAGACTCTCCCTGCTTGTCCACCATTCCTCTCTTCATCGTCATTCACTTGGATCAATCCCACTTGAAGCTTCTTTCTTGTTGAGTAGAAAGCACACACCCTTTCGCTGCGAGAGTTGTTGACAGCCGCCCCTCTGTCCTCCTACATCCGTCAGGTGGTCATAACTGCTAAACCAGATGTCGGCTTCAGATGTTTTTGAAACCACAGGTTTGTGTGGAGTACGGGAATCGAACCCGTGAACACCAGTCTGGACACCAATCCAGTTACTGGCTGTGGACAAGTGTGCTTAACTTCAGTGATCTAACGAGAACTGGTGTCACACACTCTCCACCCCACCCCATGATCTTGATCATTCTAATTTTGTGTTTACCTAAGTCCATCATTCTTTGAGAACTTAAGAACAGTCAGAGGTAGGTGTAGATTCCTTGCACTTACATTTATCCTAATGAAGTAGTTTAAAAATAACATTGAAATTCTAACAAAAATATTTTTTTAACAAATTTATTAGGATGTGAAATTTCCAATAATAATACTTATTTCTGTGGTGAGTGTAGTTTAAAAAAGGTTTTAAAGAAATTGATTAGAACATTATTATTTTTATACTTTCTGGATTTTGTATTTTTTAGATTTAACGCTCCCTACAGTGTATGGTAAATAATTACTTGTGTATTGCAGCAGATTTATTTTGCAGTACATCAAATATGTAAACAGCTCCAGTGCTTGCCACACCTTAAAAATAAAACCATAGATTAATAAACAATGAAAGATAAGACACTAGAGGTCGTTCTTAAGATTTAGGAGTTTTTTGTTCACAATAACTCTGAGGCAGAAGCCCAAAGGAGTACAGTGCATGCTCTCTCTCTCTGTCTTGTAATTAAACGCTGCCTGTGCAGAACATCTTTGGGCTTCTACCTCAGGGTTATTGTGAACGAAAAACCCATAAATCTTGAAATGACAACATCCAGTGTCCTATCTGTTATTGTTAATTAATCTATGGTTTTATTATTAACTAATCTATGAATAAAACGATCTAGACCAAGTTCATTACTATTAATTTATTAGAAGAAAGTATTTTTTCAGGAAAGAAAGGTTTTTCTAGGAGAAATCAATCCTATAAAACATTTAATAAGTTTTCTCCTGCATTTTCCGGTGTGGTTAATCTGGAAGAAAAAGGCCCTGTGACTGGATTTAATGAATTGTTGAAAAGTTGCCAAACTCTACCCACCATTTCTTCAGTGCTGTCAGCATCAATTCTGTACAAACCAATTTGAAGTTCAATAACTTCAATAACTTCTAGCATTTTAATTTGGTGTGCCTGGTAATATTAAATTGGTTTCCAACCTATAACTCCGGGCTTAATTGAGGACCAATCACAGTAGTTAGGAGGGGTGTCCATCTGGTAGGAAATTACAGGCATCGTTGGTTGCACCATTGAGATAATATTCAAAATCTATTAAAATATTTCTTCAGGTTAACATATACCTAGGTGACCATGGATTTTGAATCCATTTCAATGTGAAGGAAAGAATAGGCCAATTAAACATAAGATATATTTTTGTTGTTTTTTCTTGAAATTTTGTTGACAGAAAAATATTTAAGACTCTACTTAAGCTTGATAATTTTTAATATCTTTTACCCCGTCCTGTGCTGTAGTTGCAAATATGCTTCCATCTATAGGACTAACTGCAATACAGTTGATTGGAGCTGTATGCAGAGGGTAGACTAGGGCTACAGGATCATACAGTTCCTCATCACCACCATCTAAATAATATGGCAGGGTATATTTTCTCAGAAAATGGTTGCCCCCCTTCACCTCTGAAATATTGATAAATGGTTTATTCAAGCAAAATTTTCAGCTTTTAATTATAATAATAGCTGTTTATCTTCAGATGTAGATCATTATTTTCTTTGATTTGCAAATAAGTCTTTATTAATTATTTTTGAAATTTCTGTCTGAAAGCATTTAATGTGAGAAAAATAAAACCAAAGTAATTTTCAGGTCATTACAAGGAATAAAATCAATATTACTTAAAATAATCTGTTTTTACCATTTTGTGTTATTGATCAAATTGATTCATATGTTCACATGAAAATGTAAAAAAAAACATTTTGCTATACTTTTAGAAATAATGTAGAAAAATAATAATACATCTTACCAGTTAGTATGAGTTCTGATTCTATATCAGCTAGAACCACAGCACCAGATTCAGTTCCAATAATTGCTCGGTCAGGTTCATCCTTGGCAGGGGTATTTTATTTTTTCTTTAGTATTAAACTCCCCTCATTTGGTTTGAAATTTCCCAAGAGTATTATAACTTTATTTTAAAGTTATTTTCAATTAATACATCTGAACTGAAGCTTTTTTTTTATTGCTGCCTGAGTTTAAGATTGTTGTTTTTAGTTATTATTTAAAAGTGTCAAATATTTATTTATTGGGATTCATTTTGTATTGTTTATAAAGTTTTTTTTTTTACCTGGCTGAAAGATGCATGCCTAACTCCAACTTCTCCACTTCTTAAAGATTTGAACTGCTTGGGCATGTGCTTTGAAGAAACTTTAAATGTCTAGAATGGAAGAAAAGTTCTAATTTTACTTTTAATAGCTAGCTGTAACTTGATGATGTTTATTCTTAGGAAGTTTATATGTTGAAAATAATGATAAAAATCAAAATTTAAATATTCTAAAATCAATTTCCGTATTTACAAGCAACCAATTAGAATAGCTGACTATGACTGTTTTTCTTTCAAATATTATTTTTTTAAATAAGTATAAAAACATGTCAATTCATAATAAACATTTCTTAAAAAATAACTAACAAACATTACAATGGAATAGACATCAATGATGACGCGAGATTTACCATGACACAAAGAATTTTTCAAACTCAATGAATTTTATAAAGTAAAGTAATACAAACTGAAAAGTTATCTATCATGTCTTACACAATTCATTCATTACTGCTAAACCTACCTTTGTTAGGCTAAGAGTGTATTTTTTAGTGTCCAGAATCCAAAGTCTGAGTATCCCGTTAGAATGGCAAGCTAGAAGATTTACCCTACTCATCCATAGTAATGATACCACTGGAGCATGGCTCTCAACCTGCCCAATACTCAACTCATTCTCTCCTCTTAACAAAGATTTTTTTTTTTCATTATTATTATATCTTATTGAATTGGACTTCAAGAGGTAAGTTATTCCCCTCCCTTCAATTTTCCCAAATTCAGCAATAATTCCATTAAAAAGATAAATTGGACTTCAAGAGGTAAGTTATTCCCCTCCCTTCAATTTTTCCAAATTCAGCAATAATTCCATTAAAAAGATTATTTTCCCTCTGCATAAATTTTCCTTATAGAAAAGGGAAAATGTGATTTTTTAAGATCCAGGAGTATATTTATTCTTCAAGAAAATATATTTATGGTTTAATTAAGTTTAAATGGCAACATCTCATTTCAACCTCCACTATGTAAATAGTGACTAGTGTTTTTATTATTTTAAATAGTATTCTTTAATGCACAGATCAATCTCTGTTACTATATACAGTATTTATATACGTACAATATAAAGGGGAGCATTATAGAAATGTAAATGTTCTAGATGCACTAGGAAGGACGTACAAAAGTGACATGCATACATCCTTGCCTTATAAAAAACACCCCAAACTAGAAAGATTTAATTATCTCAGTCACAGGACAAACTAGGGGCAAGTGGCAAAATTACTTATTAAATTAAGTTCTCTGAATGAGATATAGAAAAAAAGCCAATCATAGAGCAGAAATAACAATCCAGGGATTGGGAAACAGTGGAGTAATTACTAGATAATGTTTACCTGTCCATTTTGAAGAGTAAAATTTCTCCTGTAACAGTACCAGCTGCTAAAAGCTGAGGGTCAGATGGGTGAGCTGCTACCTATATCAAAATCAATTTCTAAAATTTAGAATTTTGGTAAAATTCTGAACATCTATTCAATATTTTTTAATTGATTAACAAGTTTTATAAAATTGAAGCCTTTTTTGGAGAACTACAGCCTATCAAACTTGTTTCAGCTTCTTTTGATTAAAACAGGTTAAACACGGTAGCAAATTAAATGTTTCCATTTATTTCACCTGAGAAATGCAAGATGGTAGATTGAACCTTTGCTGAGGTTTTCCCCCAACAATAGTTCCAGATCTATCTACTCGATAGATATTCAGATCTGGTAGATGTGTACACCACTCTACATGCTCTCCACCAGATAGACCAACTACTAGATTACCCCCTGAATATATAGATCAGAGCTGGGAACTTTTGAATGGTGGATATCGGGATTAATGCTTAATCCGCTCTTTTCTTGCAAGATTATCTTAAAAGTGTATGAAAAACGATAAAATTCAAATTAATATTTAATCATCTGAGAAACTGTAGCAGCCAATCAGAGAAAAGCGGGCAACCAATGAGAGAACAAAAATATTTTCATTGGAGAAAACAATTAACTGATATCCAAGGAGAGAGAAAAAGAGTGGATTAGGACAAAAATGAAAATTTTCCACAGTGGATATTCGGATCAAGAAGTCAGGATTAAAGTTTATCCATTCTAAAGTTCCCAGCTCAGGTCAAAGATATATCTTTAAACTAAGGTTCTCTTTCTCATAGTAATCTTAGCTTTTTGTTGTCCATAAATCTGTAAGCCATTCATTTTAGTGCAATTTAAAAGAATAAAACTAAAAATATGCATATTTTCTTGTTCATTGGTTGGTAAAAATTCAAGAAACACATTTTGATGATTGGGTACTTCATACTTGCCTTACTATTAATTATAATTAATTGTGTTATACGAATATATGCTTGTAGTTTAACTCTTTAGAAATGGTCAATTATAGTTTGACCATTACATTACACTAAGGATGTGCACATTTTATGTAAGTTGTCATATTTACGTTATTTACATATATTTGGTTGAATTCTCCGGCAAAATTTCATTGAGAAGATAATCTTTAGCAAATAAACCTCATTCACAAATTCAGGAGAAATTTGCAATTTTCAATTTCGGCTCACCCTATTAGTTTTTTCATTTCAATGTTTTGGGGCACCTTGTCAGTTCAATTCTTTTTCCTGTTCAAAAATGTTGTGGGAATTTTGATATTCCTGAAATATGTTCAGTTGCACCAAACCAGTCTTAGATGCAACTGTGAATAGAGAACTGAATTTACCCACCCTGTAAATTCCTAGGAGTAGGTCAAGCCATTAATCTGGAATCATGTTTTATACCGCAGATTGAGATAAACTGTAAATTGCAATAGTCTATTGAATTTAACATTTTATTCATTTCAGTAGAAAGATGGATGTCATGAAAGAAGAAACTTTGACCAACTAGAAATACATGAATCGCAATTATTGCAGGACGCACAGGAAAGCTAAACATACACCCTTGATTAGTTGCGTCGTCAGTATTTTGTTTGTTTTGATAGTTCAATATTTATTTGATGACTGATAAAAGTATAGATCCAGGCGTGTCGCCATAAATAGTTAATTATAAAGTAGACTTACTGTATCCAGTTCAGCATATGTTACATCAAAGAGGCATGTCGCCATTTATTAAATTAAGCGTGGGTGTGTTGTCAGAAATGTCTGATTAAATTAAGGGATATCTCTCTTCTTTGTGTGTCTCCTTTGTAGGTCTCCTTGGTTATCTTGGTCTCTTTGATTGCCTTGGTCCCCATGGCTGCCTGGGACACCTTGGTCACTTTGGTGGCCATAATCTTCTTTGACTGTTAACTATTTAATATTTTCAAAAGAGTTTGGTTTGGACCTTGTGTTTTGCGGCTTCAGCATTTTCTACTAGGTTAACTATAGTAGCCACCTTGCTTCCAAATGTCCCGGTTTGCTGTATGTTGTATTAACAGTAACATGCCGAAATATATGTCCTTCAGTTAAATTGATTTGATCTTATGTAGAAAAGTAGAACAGATGAGCATAAACTTGAGCATAGTGCATGAAACTGGTCATGTCCCTGTCAGTCTTAACCTTACAATTTACTCTCTCATTCCAACCTTCTTGGTATCTTTCATTTTTTGCAAAAATTAGCTTAATTTTTTTGTAGAAAAAATACCTGTATTATTCCAATCTATATCACTGATACTAAGACCATCAACAACTTCTATAGTATTTACAAGAGTAACATCATTTTCCTCTTCATCCTCATCTCCATAGCTAATGCCAAACATTTAATTATAATGAGAGGTTTCTTTTTGTCCTCAATATTGGAATTATTCTGCTTAATTTTCAATTCAAAATTTTAATATTTCCCTTCAACTTAAGTTACAGTTGATGAGTCAAACATTATTTGAAACAGTTCAATTGTGAGTCTTTTCTTTGGCAATTTTATATTCAATCTAAGAATTTCAGCGAATATTATATAATTATTTGCTCCCTCTGTTTTCTGAAAACATAACGTGCCATGTTTATTTTGTGCACTCTTAAATTTTCCCAAATTAAAGAATCTGTTTAAGTATCAAAGTTATAAATCTGTTTTGGCAATTCCTCATAATGGTATCAAATGCTCTACTTGTTGCAATCAAATCTGAAACAAGAGTTTTAAATATGGTATTATTTTAAAATATTATTAGTTTCATGAAATAAAGCATATAAGAGGTAATTCATAATATTTAAGGTTATCTGAAAAAATGGAAGTTTTTGCTGAATGCTGCTGATACCATTTTGTAAGAAGAAAAAATTAGACCTAGCTAAACAATTGTCAGGATTTCAAACTTTTTTGACATTAAAGATTTTGTTTGACATGTCTAACGTGGTAGCCTCTATTAGAGATAAGGTTATCACATCTGCATCCTAGGTTTCTCTAAATTTTAAATGTTTATTAAATTGTAACATGTATAATTTTTACCTAACTCCTCCTCTATGAGTAAAGCAGCTTTATTTACAAATTCTGCCAATGCATCCATATCTAATGTGTCAGGAGATGCAGTCTCTTCAACTAAATAGACAATAATGAAAATGATAGTAATTCCTACGGAAGTTGGGTCAATTATTTTCAAAGATTTAGAAGGGGAAAATAGAACTTTTCACATCAACTGGCTAATTCCCCCTTCCCTTTTTTGGAAACCGTTTTACCAAAATACCAATTTTTTTCCTTTAAAGTCCCTTATCATTATTTTACTACTGACGGATTAAAATTATTTTGAAAAGGGTAGAGGGGAAAGGACACTTTTTATATTCTAAAATATGCACCATTGTCCACAGTAATCTATGCATGCATGCACATCTTTACACAACGTTTAAGACTTGACTTACTTTAAATTGTTGCCAGGCATTTGTTCCTGTGTTTGACTTATGTTTTTTGTAGTGCAGAAAATGAATATTTTAAAGCTGAAAAGATACTTGATTTTAACAGGAACCAATTTGGAAATATTCTTGTTAATGTCAGGCCAGAACTTGCATCTTAGACACATTGATCTAGCTTCGTAGACGGGGATTATTTATTTTGTGTACCGTCCTGTTTTACCGTCTAAAAAAGGCTGTCTACCTGTAATTGTTTGAACTTCAATACTGGCGAATTCGGTAGACTGACTTTCTTGATCTTGTACCTAATCAAATATTTATTAAAATTATAAAATTACTAACTTGGGAACCCAGCTTTGCCTGGAAACTAAGTTTTCTTTATAAATGTCATCCTAAATAGATTAGACTCTTTAAAGCAAGCTATAACATTTTCCCATAGTTCTACCAAGACCCCCCTTCAAAATTTGAGGCAAATTGGTCAAGGGGTTAATGAGTTATGATCGGACATACAAACAGAGATTACTACTTTATATTTATTTTTGTCTACAATAGTGTTTCTTGAAATAATATTGCTATTCATAATTTGAATATTTTCTTATCCTCATGATTTCTAGAAATGAATTTTTAAACAAAATTGAATCTGTCTCTGACCCGTGATTATACTAATTGAGTTTAGGTTAGATTAGAACAAATTGATACTTAATAGTCACTGCATTGTAGTTGCCTTATTTCAGATGGAGGGGGGAATAAGGTCCAAGGCACATTTACCATAATAAAAAATCTCTATGGTTAGAGAAAGGTTAAATTGTGTCAATTGTTAATGAATTTTTATCAAATATATTTGTAAGACACTTCTTTTGTCATATTTATTTAGGAGGGTTTGGCCTAGTGTGTTACAGCTACAGATAAAAATCTTGCTGCTCACCTTACATTCATCTGTCTGTATCTCCTGTTCAGCAACAGATAACTCCTGTTTCCAGGACGAGGGGAAATCAGCATCAGACTCTGCTGTTCTATCCTCAAACATTCTTCTGTATGAATCATTGTGATTAAAAACAGCCCAGCCTTACTTCTATTACCCTGCCCAGGAAAATTTAGACGTTTGTTAACAATCTTTGTTATTGTTTTCAGCGTTTCTAAGACGAAACAGATAAATGTGTACAAACCCCTACATTTAAACACACATTGGACAAACTACATTTGGAATGGTTTTGGACAAACCTTGAAATTTTAGCTAATTTTTTAGCACTATTGTTGATGTAGACCGGATTTAGTAGCAGTCTCGTATGAAATGGTCTTTTTATCAGTTTAAAGGGACTGTAAGTGTAATTTTAAGAGAGAAAACTCCTATTTACCCTTTAAATCTTTGGCGTATCACCGATGACATAGAACTCGGCGTATTTCTCTCAAAACTGGCTTTTAAATTGCCGACAAACTGGATCCGAGTGTGAGTTACAGTTTGAACTCAACGCAGCTGACATTTCATATATTCATTGGAAATCTGAATCAATCAAAGTCCAACGCGGTTATCATTTGATTTTCTAATTACTAAACAGTCCCTTGAAAGAAATAATTACCAGAAAACAGTATTGTCATCTTCTTTCTAATTCTTTAATCCTTAAATTTTTTATAATTTGCAACTTAAATTCTTTTTTAAACTCTGCCCTGATATCGGAACTATTGTGAGGATACTGTCAGGCTTGAATGCTTGATATCGAATTCCAATGTGAGCAATTTTAAATTTGAGAATCAATGCTTGATCCTTCAACTAAATTTATCCCTTCAGGGTATGATCAACACGCGGGATATTGATTTTAATAAATCCATTGATCTGAATAAGATGGAGATCAATTCTTGATCCCCAGATATAACAGAAAAGGTCTTGACTTACCAAATTAAGAATTAAACAAGTAAGAACAATTACAAATTATAACATTCCTTTAAAGAAATATGAAGACGTCAGTCATTTCTATGTTTGCTGGTCCCTAGTGTAATAGAGATCTGTATAATGCCAAAGTTTAGACTAACTACTATATCAGAATACATATCTGTTTATTGCCAGAGTTTAAACTAACTACTATATCAGAATACATATCTGTATAATGCCAGAGTCTAAACTAACTACTATATCAGAATACATATCTGTATAATGTCAAAGTTTAAACTAACTACTTTATTAGAATACATATCTGTATAATGCTAAAGACTAAACTAACTACTATATTAGAATACATATCTGTATAATGTCAAAGTTTAAACTATCTACTATATCAGAATGCATATCTGTATAATGCCAGAGTTTAAACTAACTACTATATCAGAATACATATCTGTATAATGCCAGAGTTTAGACTAACTACTATATCAGAATACATATCTGTATATTGCTAGAGTTTAAACTAGCAACTATATTAGAATGTATAAAAAGAAAGCAAGCGCGACCAAATTTCCGAAAGCATAAATATTTTGGTTTGATCTATCTACCTATCGGATATACCTATCCATCTATCTTTCTGTTTGTATAACTAACTTTCTGTTTGTGTAACTATCTCCCTCTATATTTATACATTTTGTGTATCTATCTATATATCTATATATCGATCTTTTTGATCTTTTTAGATGTCTTATCGACCTAATTATTTATCTATATATCTGGCTTTATATCTATTTTTCTTTTCTATCTGTTAAAACGTTCTATACCTGGAGCTTTCTATGGTTTGCCCCAGGTTAAGGTAGAAATGTAAACAGCTTTCTCTGCATTTTTAATTCACTACCTCCTTCTTTATAGTAGAAACTTTCCTCTACAATATAAAGCTTCACTCAGAAATGGTAAAAATATATATTTATTACCTCCTATTTGTACTTTTTATAATCTTTATATATATATATATATATATATAGTAGTAAACTTTGTATGTGTTTGTTTCTTTGAATATCTGATCATAACTCATGAACACCTGGACTGATTTGCCTCAAATCTTGATCAGTAAAACCAAGGTTTCGAAGTTCTAATTGTTTAGAAGGTTGACTTTAATAGGGATAAATCAATTTTTTGTCAAATCTAGGCTTCATAGCTAGTTCTATTACTTATGATCGCACTCAAAAATGATAAATATATTTTCATTTCTTAATTTACCGCCTCATCATCTATATACTACTAATCTACATCATAAAAATGTAATAACAAATCAACATAAAAACGTAAAAGCCTAAAAACTTAAAAACATTACGACATGAAAATGTCGTCTGTATAAATATCTACTCAAAAAGATCATATTCTTTTTCTTTTTACCCCCATTTTCATATTCTAAAGAGTATCTTATACTATCTACGTCGTAGAATTCTTTTTCTAAAGTCTACTATTTTACTCAAAAAATGGTAATTTTTCAATAGATTATCTACAATGTACATCAAGTTTTAGAAATTTTGCTCTGTAATCTTCACTTTTTTCAAAAATGGTATAATGTACATCTTTAATCTTCAAAAGGTGGCTTCAAAGTAGAAACATTCCTTTATAATCCTAAATTCTAATCAAAAATAGAAAATCCAAATATTTTCATTTTTTTCATTTTTTTGCAACAGGTCACAGCAGGAGATTTCAGAAACCACTTAAGGAAATATTTTGTCTTCTTCTTCACATTTTTGGTTGCCGTAACATTTTTTTTTGTGTTTCACTCTTGATGAAAAAAGGACTCTTCTAATTTCAGTCCATTCTAGAAAAAAGAAAAGGTCAAATACATGCAAAATTACTGGTATGACTTTGTGACCTTTGTTCCCCATCTAATTTTGTTTTTACGAGTCTGAGAAACGCATTTCAAATTGGTTGCTTAGTACGTTACGTATTTAAAAGTAGAAACTTTTCCATTAGTTATTAATTCATCATTCAATCAAAATCAAAATTACTAAAATTAGTAAGTCTAAATCTAATGAAGGAATTGAGTCTTTGCCACAAACTAAAATTTTCCTATCGGTATAACTTTGCAACCCCGTAGACCTTAGATATTTCAAACTATGAATTTTGGTAGATCAATAAATTTGAGTTTGAAATATCAAAGTTTTACTCCATCCAGTAGCAGAGATATTGGGTTTAAAAAATCTGAGTTTGCTACAAAAACTCATTTCCTTTACGTGTTTTTGGTTTGGTATACGCGAGAAGTTAGTGTTTTTAGAATACTAAATATAAATAATTTTGTAAGTTTCCTTTCTATCTGTATTTCTATTTCAACCCATTTATCTATTTATCTATTTATCTATTTATCTATTTATCTATTTATATCTATGTATCTCACTCCGTTCTGGCCATGAGGAAAGGTCAAATTCAACTTACATTACTGGCACAAATTTGCGACCTCGTTGCTCCTCTAGTTTAGATTTTAAGCACAAGATTGAGGAAAGACAATGTTACATATTATGATTTTAAAATATTTTTTGTTTTGTTTTTCTCAATACCTCTCCAATGAGAGGAGTTAAGTAAAAAAAAATTCTATCTGATGTGCATTTTACTTTAGTTTGACGTGATCTATCTATCTATAATGTATCTATATATTTATATCAATCTATATATCTGTCTATTAATCTGTTTATCTATCCATCTATCTATATATCTATTATCTATCTATTAATCTATATGTCTATCCATCTATTTATCTATCTATATATGAATGTATAGGTTGACCCTGTCTGGCTAGCCCTGGACCTATATAGAAGGAAAAGATGGGAGAAATGTTCTGAGATCTGCTCTAGGATACTCGACAATAATCCATACGACGAGATGATCTGGTCTCTCAAGGTTATTAACTCAATCAAAGGAATTATATGTCTTTGCACAAACTCTGATTTTATAATCCCTGTATCTTTGCAACCCGATGGCGGATAAATATTTCGAATTATAAATTAAAGATCAGTTAATCTAGTTAAAATATCTACGGTTTACAATGTCAGGTTTCAAAGATATTTGGGTTAGAAAATTTGAGTTTATTTCAAAGATTTTTTCCCTTGCATTTTTAATATATTTGCAACCTGATGGTGTATACCCTTCATATTATTTCTGTTAGAGCTCAAAATGTTAAAAATAAAGTTTACATAAACAGATTTCTAAGATTTAAGGATAAGAAAATAAGAATGAGGAAACTGTAGTAAAAAAATAGATTTTTACCACATTTTTATGCTTCATTTTTCCCAGTTTATGGCTGGTCTAAAACAGTCGAGATATACTAGAGATTTTTAAACTAGTTTTTCTATCCAGTATTTATTGCTAGGGTTTTTTATCTGGATGTTGAAATTAGAAAATTATCAAGTTTTATTAAAATCTTTTATTTGATTATATAGCATTTAATAGAAACCCATTTAATTCATCTTAGAGAAATTTTTGATAATTTTCAATTTGCCGAAAAATCCACCAATGGTTTAAAAGTTCTGCAAGTTTTTAATGTAATAATCATAGTTTGCCAGTTTTGCTCCAGATCTGACGACCCAGCAATCGAAACNCACAGCTGGCTTTTCTAAACCATTAAATCTATCATGGAAGAGTGGTCTTATTTTTAACAATAGTATTTTTAGACAAGAGCTTTAACAGAACAAGTTCAGCTTGATGATATAGAGGCAGATGAGGTAAATTATAGATAATTCATCCAACTAAACCAATGTTAACCCACTTTCTTACATTTCCTAAAAATCTAAAGTCGACACACAGGGTTACCCATAAAGGATGAAACTGTAAATTCGAGCCAAAACTCTAAAAATATGACGATTTGAACTTTATTTTTGGTTTCTGCATTCAATTGAGTAACTTGATCGTATACTAAATGGTCAAGCACAGATATAAGCCATTTTTGGCCTACAAGGAACCCTGAATGCAAGAAAAGGGACAAAAATATTCCGTACAATCGGGTCTGAAGTCTTATCCTTTGTGGGTAACCCTGTATTTCCGATATTGAGTCGACTTCTAAAGTTGTTTTTTACGAACTAGTTTCAAATTAGTATTATATACTAGTTCTCTGTTTGCTGGGTAAGGAAGGTATAGTTGATGTTGTATTTAGGAAGGTATACTTGATGTTGTATTCAGGAAGGTATAGTTGATGTAGTTCTGGATGATAACACTATCAGAGCAGTTCCAAGGCCTGGAACTTCACTTAGAACAGCAATTGATACAGGTTCATCCCAGGTACTGGAAACAAAACTATGCAGGGGGTGATCATTTTATGAAACATGGAGTCTCTATAAACATGAGAATCACTTGACGTGACGGCTTTCAAATAGTTTTGCCATAGGATTTTTTCATGAACTCAGTTTTAGCTTTGCATTTTGATCCAGTCAAAACATAAAAGACCTAATACTGAAAATCTAGGAATTTCCAAATTGGGAATTGACAGAAAAGATAATTTTGTGGAGATTTCAATAATATTGAATAGAATCAAAATACCGCAGAGGCAATTTTTTTTATCAATGTTTTGGAAGATGACTTTTAAGTTGTTTGTTTATTCCCATATTGATTAGGACATATTTCGGAGCACAAGAAATCCAAACAGTTATCAGTAATTACAACACATTTTTGAACAATAACCGTTTCTCATTTACCCCCCAGAATTAATAGTCAATATTGTCGAAATTGGGATAAAAGGGTTTAAACCATTAGGTTGCAAAGATTAAAGGATTAAAAAATCTAAGTATGAGTTAAGGGCCTTTATTTTTTGGATCATGCATACAACGGATTTTTTGTTAAGGCATTCAGGCCTTCCAGTTCTTCAGGCAGACCGATGAGTGGAGTAGCTAGGCCGGGTAGTCAGGCAGGAAGACCAGGTATATCGTTAATACTTTGTTTTACTTCAAAGGTTGTCCTTCAACACAACCAATTAATTTGATAGATTTGGTACAACTTATAAACGAAAAATACAGCCTAACATATTGAATGGTTAAACATTTTTTTATACTTATTATATTTTTATTATACTTATATATACTTATTATTATTCATAAATAAAAGATGAATTTTAAGTTTTCTCTAAATTGTCAGTTTTTATTGCAGACATTTGCAATAAATGCAAAAAAAGGATTTTTCATTGACAGAATATACTCCTCTTACGGTTAATCAGAGACCCTGGTAAAATCAGTAAACTTTAAGTTTAAAACGCATTTTTACCTATTAAATGTAGATTTTTTGCATTTGCAAGTTGATACGTATTTATAGGGCTAGGTACTATAAATTAATAAAGAATAAAAAGTCTTCAACGCTTTTTTTCAGAGATTTTGTGAATGTGATTTTCCGCTGTAGACAGATGTACTTCCTTGTAGTCAGTTTTACATGTGCTTGTAGTGATACTTTTTCAATAAGGATTCAATATTTAGCGATTCATTAAAACTAACTTATTACTGTCAAACAGTTTCATTTACAATTATAACTGTCTAATTTCGGTTATATAAACTTGGCTTCTTTAAAGAAATTGTAGATGAAGCGCCTGCAACAAGAACCCCTTGAGATTGAATAATTGAAAATAAAGGCACTGTAAATCAAGCAATAAGAACCCCCTATGATTTGATTTATCGATTGTAAAGGAACTCTAGATTATGCACTATATAAGAACCTCTACGACTTGATTTATTGATTGTTAAGGAGCTGCAGATCAAACTCTAAGAACTTCTAGGTTTGATTTATTGATTGTTGAGGAACTGTAGATCAATCGCTAAGAGTCCCTAGGACTTTATTTATTGATTGCTAAGGAATTGTTGATCAGCACTAAGAACCCCTGGTTTTGATTTATTGATTGTTTAGGAACTGTAGATCAAGCAATGAGAACCCCTGGGACTTGATTTATTGATTGTTAAGGAACTGTAGATCAGGCGCTAAGAACCTCTAGGACTTGATTTATTGATTGTTAAGGAACTGTAGATCAGGCGCTAAGAACCCCTAGGACTTGATTTATCGATTTTTAAGGAACTGTAGATCAAGCGCTAAGAACTTCTTGGACTTGATTTATTGATTGTTAAGGAACTGTAGATCAGGCGCTTTGAACTTCTAGGACTTGATTTATTGATTGTTAAGGAACTGTAGATCAGGCGCTAAGAACCCCTATGACTTGATTTATTGATTGTTTAGGAACTGTAGGTCAAGCGTTATGAACCTCTAGTACTTGATTTATTGATTGTTTAGGAACTGTAGGTCAAGCGCTAAGAACCCCTAGGACTTGATTTATTGATTGTTAAGGAACTGTAGATCAGGCGCTAAGAACCCCTAGGACTGCTTCAACTGCAAGACCAGTTTCAGCAACTTCAGGAATCCTTTTTCAGAAATATTTATTGTTGTGATTTGTGAAAAAAACTAATCAAAATTCATAAACTCTAAATGGGTCATATTTGCTCTTTTTATTTTATATATTTTCATTTTGTATTTATTAAACTTTTAGAATTAATTTATTTTTTCAAGGTCATACTTTCTTAAACATGATTCTAGGGAATTCTGGTGCTAATTCAAAAATGTTTATTTTTATTTGTTGAATTTATCAAAATGAAACAGGAAAATTAGCTAAATTTGTCAATAACATTAATTTATATAATAAAACAAGACATTCATATATATGTTGCCTGTAGCCGGCCAAACGGCTGGACCGAATGGGCTGAAATTTTTGTGGACACTCATGGGTGGCCACTGCCAGGGGGTATTACAGGCTAAAAATAATTTTAAAAAAAATTTTCACAGGCAACGCTGGGCCCTAGTTTAAAATATGTAGAAAAAGAAAGGGTTTCATGTTACATCAACTTAAGAAGATAAGATTATTACTAGAAAATAAGCCGCAAAGCTTAAGTATTTTAAATTCTTAAAATGGATTTGTTCCAGGAAGATTTGTGAGGCTTGGAACAGCTTCAATGTTGTCCCAATCTGATGGCCCTTTCATAAACCTGGCTAGACTTAATATAGGTCAAAATAAACATGCATAACTAGTAAACGTTGGAAAGAAAGTCGTCTGTTTTTAGTCTTTACTAAAAAGAAATTTGTATTTGCAGTTGTAAAATTCTAAAAATGTGCACTTGACATTTTAAGAAATTTATCAGTTAAAAGTTAGTACAAAAATATCAGGCTAGATCTGAACCACTAGATCCCATATAGACAAGGTCAAAAGTGGAGATGGTCAGCCCTGTTTTCATTGTCTTTCAACCTATAGGTCGTTGTACTTTGTTTGTAGGTTGATTGTTAACAATAATAATACAAAGTATTTAGCGATATTTCCAAGAAAACGATTGAAGAAAAAGGACTTCCTTTCCGCTTTAAAATGATTATTATGCCTAGTGTACAGGGTAGGCGATTATATCAATACAATGAGGACGACGTTCGATTTCATATATTTTATATCAAACTCTTACACAGAATGGATCATGGATGCACATAAACATAGACATTAAGAGAACCTGTCAAAACGTTTTTTCTTTGATTACTTCTTAACTTGTAATTCAAAAAAAGCTTGTTAACAATCAAAACCAAATTTAATTAGTCGTTTTCTTTAAATTTATATAATCCCCTACCACTACAGACAATTAGTTAATGATCTATTTATATAAAGCTGCAGCACATGTTTGTATGTATTTATGTATTTTTATGCATCCTTGTTAGTGGGTACTGGGTCCCACTAATGTAAATCTTCATTTTTGTCGGTCAAAATAAAACTGTTATCAAGTTTCATTACAAAGTTTTGGGAAAAACAATCGTTTTGAACGATTGCAAAAAAATGAACGAAATGGGTGGATCTTACATGAACAATGAACGAAATGAAAAACGCCGAAAGCGCCCATCTCTACTTGGAAAAGTGTCTTCACAATTTACTTGAAAAGTATTTAATCTAAATCTTATCTTATTGTAGGAAAATACTCCGATAGACCTGCTCTTGCCAAGCCCTTGTTCGATTATATCTTCTATCATGAAAATAGTATAAGGTATATAAAGTTGATATTTTTTTGCACATTTTTTTTATAAATTTTTTACTTCATTTTTTTCAGAGAGGCAATGGAACTGGCATCACAGGCTCTGCAAGCTTCAAAGTAAGGTTTAAAAAAATCAAGAAAATTAATTTTCAAATTAATAATTTTACATTAAAGTAATAAAAAAAAATTTGATCAACTTTGTATAGATATGAAGATTGGTTCTGGAAAGTGGGCATGGGAAAATGTTATTTCAGGTAATTTTTGGACTTCTTTTTTTTGCATATGTTGAAACACATTACATGCTTTTAAACTCCAATGTTTCTACAAATTCAAATCTTTGTAAATTTCTTAACGTGATCATTAATTGATCTTTCTTCACTTTTTAATATATACATTTATTATATTAACAAATTCGCACACAAAAATATACAATTCATACAAATAAACTTATACATGGATATGTATCTGGATCAAGTTTATTTATAAGTTTAAATTTAATTTAGAAGATTTTTTGCCACTATATTCATACAAAAATATACAAATTTTGCAAAAATCGATAACATTTATTACATAAAATATTTATACTTTCAGAAATTTCATAGTCCCCAAGTGACTTGTGCAATGGAAATTTTATGTTGGACACTCTGTACAAATTCATAATCATTGTATCAATGTATAATTTATGTACAGGGTGTCCCAATAAACATGGGAATTTAGTGACGAATTAGATATCGTCTTTGTTATGAATTACCATTGTAATACCTGATTTCAAAAAACACAACATTATTATGTCTGCTAGAGTTTATATTAAGAAAACGGTAAATGGCTGTAAAGATGTGTTTATAATATCTCCGCAAGATAAACAGTGAAGACGGACAAGTTTACTCTGTTTGTATACTGCAATTTTTCTTGTTTTACTAAGTACAACCGTATGCAGTCAAAACATAAACAAACAAATTGTAAACATAGCAGACGAAAATCTTACGGATTACAGCTTTCTCGGTATCACTATACTAAATCGAAGAATTATTTAAAAAGACGATATCGAGTTCGTCACTGAATTCCCATGTTTATTGGCACACCCTGTATGTATACTTTGAATAAGATGTGCATATTTAGTTGGACACCCTGTACTGTTTATTATAAATATAGTTAGGGAATGTTTATTTGGACACCCTGTACTATTTCGATGTATATAAAGTAATGTTTTTTATGTCCAATCATAACTCAGGAACCTCTTGACCGATTTGCCTCAAATTTTGATCGGGGAATAGAGCCTCAGGAATATTCTTAGTTTGGTTTTAAAATTCTAAGTTAAGTAGGTTGACTTTAAAGAGAGAAAAATAGTTTCCAGACAAAGCTTGGTCCCCAAGCTACTATTATATATATTTTTATATATTTATTATTTTATTTCTAGGTTGGGTATGTTCAGAGATGCTGAATCCCAATTCAAGTCTGCATTAAAGCAACAGCCAATGATCTCAACCTACCTTTATTTAGGTGAATTCCTTGTAATAATCTAGTCTTTTTTGTATGTCCGATCATAACTCTTGAACTACCTGACCGATTTGTCTCAAATTTTGATTGGGGAACTGGGCGGACAGTGGAACCACGTAAATTAACTACGTTTGAAAATTATAAGAGTTGAGCCTAGGTTTACTATAATAAATAAAGTACAGTTTACATGCAAAGCAGAGATCCCTGAAAGCTAGTACGAGTATAAAAACTTAATCTTTGTTTGTCTGGCTGTTTGTATGTCTGATCAAAACTCATAAACACCTTGACCAATTTGCCTCAGATCTTGATTAAGGAACTCGGCAGAACCACTGGGAATGTTAATCAGACATGTCACTCTATACATGAATCAGACATGTCACTCTATACATTAATCAGCCATGTCACTCTATACATGGAGTGCCACTAAAATTTAAATTGTAATATTTCAGCAAAAATATCGTTGAGAATGGATCAACCCTTGGCGGCCCTTGAAGTTTATAGAACCGGACTTGATGTATTTCAAGGTGACATTTTTAATTTTAATAAATATTTATGTAATCAAATATACAGTACACTTCTTTTATAAACAAAGATATAGTGGTTCCTAATGCATCTTCTTTAAACAAATCTGCAAGGTCCCTCCCAAAACATCTTTGATTTAGTCAAAATGTCATAAAAGTTATAGGGAAGTTTCGTTGATATTTGTGGTGCACCTTTTTCCAACTCTTAAATCAAAAAGTTCTTTTTATCTTAGCTACCTTGAACTACTAAAAACAAATATTTGTGGAACACTAAAATTTTGTTCGTTTTACATAACTTACCGAAAGCATTTGGATGTTCAAACATATTGTTCAAAATTACAAATATAATGTTCGAAAATACAAATATAATGTTCAAAATTACAACTATAATGTTTGAAATTACAAATATAATGTTTAAAAAAATAAATATAATGTTCGAAATTACAAATAATGTTCGAAGTTACAAATATAATGTTCTAAATTACAAATATGATGTTCAAAATACAAATATTATGTTCAAATCTACAAATATATTGTTCAAAATCACAAATATAATGTTCGAAATTGAAATTTTTCTAAAGTACGAATATTTTGCTTAAAATGTGATTGAGGAATAGAAAAATTTACGTTATTTGAAATAATGTCTGAAGTTTAATAATACAATCAAATTGAGAAGGAAATTGTATAACATTTTTATAGTTAATCGTTGCAATGAATTTTTTCAAATGAAAAAGAAATAATTTATTTTTGTTTTGGTTTCATGCATGTTTACTTTTCAGTTTCACATTTCAACTTTAATTGTTGTTTTATTCAACTTAAATTTGAAAACAAGAAACATTGATTACAACAAAGTTTGTTTAAAAATATGAGAGGAAAACGAGAAAAAAGCATAAATTAAAATATGAAATGACACCATGAATGAAAAATGTGCAAACTGCCTTTTTGCTATTACATTTAACAAGTTTTTTGGTATTTTAAGAAGATCTATTGATGCATTCGCAATGCAATATTTAGTCCATAGTTACACTAGGTTCGAAGATTAAAGATTTGGCTTAAAAACAGTAATTCGTTCTTTATTTTCGGAGGAAAAAGTTCTTAAATTTTTCAAATGTTCATGAAAAAATCACCTTAAGATTTGTTTTTTGACATTTTCATTAAAATCCTGTATAACCTTTAAATATGATGAAGAAAAAATTCTTGTTTTTGTACCTCATCAGTATAGTTCCTCTTACATTTTATTTAAAGTTCTGATTTCAATCCACGTACCTCCTTCTGTATTTATGTTTCTTTTTACATTTTAGTATATCAGGTTCAGAAGATAGATAAGAATTCAATTTAAAATGATATAAGTGGGGTTTTTGAGACAATTTTTTAAGAGGACCCCAGCCATAAAGAGGGATGTGTAATTATTAACATATGTCAGAAAAAGTGAAATTAACTTATGAAGATTGATTTTCAGTCATGATTAATTTAGGAAAAATATAAACGAATTCCATTTTTTAAGTTACCTCACTTTTTAAAAAGAAAAAATATTTTGTTACATTATATCTAAACGTTTGAACTATCTGTGCTGTACAATAGTTAATAATTCCATGTTTTCTGTTTAGATCAGGACGGTGTAAAGTACAAAATTATGTTGAACAATAATAATAATATTATTTAGCATTTTCTAAGATTCATATATTCTCTGTAGATGTCAAACATTAAAGGAACTATTCAAAGGAATATAGTCTTTGGAACAAAATTAAATATTTAAACCTCAATATCTTTAGAACCGGATGTTGTAAACCTTTGATATTTCAAACTCAGATTATTTGATTTAACAGAATTCATAGTTTGAAATATCTAAGGTCTGTAACATTTGGTTCTAAAGATATAGTGATTAGAAAATCAGAGTTTGTGGCAAAGATTCAATTCCTTTGTATGCGGGTTGCATTATGGTTTAGGTTTCGGAAAATCTCACCAATGAAAGAGAATTTTGAAGGTGTCAAAGATGACGAAAGCGGTTGCGATTTTCTAGAATTCTAGATTTCTAGATTTCCTAGAGTTAAAAGAAAAGCAGCAAAGTATTCGATGAAGGGCTACAACAAACACAAGTCGAGAGCTAAAAGCTTATCTTACTCAAAAAACTGATCACAGTGATGTTTGACATAAAAATAAGAGGATTTAAAAAAAAGTTAAACTTTTTCATTTTTTCCAATTTTTATGGGATTTCAAAAAAATTTCTAAAAATAAAAAAATACACGATTTCAAAAATATGTTCTTAAAAATCTTAATTTTGGAAAATGTCCTTAATTTTGCTCTTAATTTTTGGCAAAATTTTGTTAAAAAATCTTAAATTTAAGAACAGCGTTCTTAATTTTTTGCAGGGTAAGGGGCATGTTAGACGTTTTTTTGTTAACATTAGCAAATAACTAAACTGGAATGTACTGCAGTCAGTACAACTATCCGTTTCATTCATTGATATTCATTCATATTTTTATTTAACTACAAAGCATGAGATATTACAAATATGTAAGTCTTAAAAGACGCACACACATGATGTTTCGGCCCCCTGACCGAACTATACAATCATATCATGTGTCTATCTAACTATATAAAGTAATATTGTATTGGTTTCATTTTACCACCCCCAAAGAAATACAATTACTTTTTATCTAAATGTACAGTGTTAGATAAAATGTTCACAATCAACCACCCTATGAATTTTCCTATAGGGTGGTCCGATGTGTACATCTGGGGGAGATCAAGAGATAAGCTTTAACTCTTCGTTTCTTTTCTCTATGACTATGAGTATGATTTTGACCATTGGTAATAATAGTTAAATTATAAAGGTGATGTACACTTGCTGACCGGTGTGGCTAGAATCCAGGAAGCTTTAGGAAACCTCTCATTGTCTGCTAAATATTACAAGGTATAAGTTAGGGTTATATTTAAACCGCGGCTCAAATATGGTTGGTTTAACTTAAAATTGTATCAAGTTTTTTTAAGATTTAAGCTGGCGCTTAATTGAAACCGGTTTTAGGTGATTTGAGACGCGGCTTAAATTCATTAAATTCGGACACTGTAAACCATAATCTAAGCAATATTAATGAAGATCTTCTTGTTTTTCTAAAGAATTATAATTTTCGAATTGATATTACATTTTTTCATACAAAATATATCATATTTATACTTTAGTCTCTACTAAATCATTTTTAATTGTTAAGTTTCTAAAATTCTAAACTGTATAATACATATTAGTCTGTATTGAGTGCTTGTATTCTAAACTGTATTCTATATATTACTCTGTATTGACTTTAGTGCTTGTATTCTAAACTGTATTCTATATTATAGTCTTTATTAAATGCTTGTATTCTAAACTGTATTCTATATATTAGTCTGTATTGAATACTTCTATTCTAAACTGTATTCTATATATTATTCTGTATTGAATTCTTGTATTCTAAACTGTATATTATATATATTCTATATATTAGTCTGTATTGAATGAAGATTCTACACATATTGAAGCTATTGCCTGTATTCTAAACTGTATTCTATATACTAGTCTGTATTAAATGCTTGTATTCTAAACTGTATTCTATATATTAGTCTGTATTGAATGCTTGTATTCTAGACTGTATTCTATATATTAGTCTGTATTGAATGTTTGTATTCTTAACTGTATTCTATATATTAGTCTGTATTGAATGAAGATTCGACACATATTGAAGCTATTGCTTGTATTCTAAACTATATTCTATATATTAGTCTGTATTTAATGCTTGTATTCTAAACTGTATTCTATATATTAGTCTGTATTGAATGTTTGTATTCTAAACTGTATTCTATATATTAGTCTGTATTGAATGAAGATTCTACACATATTGAAGCTATTGCCTGTATTGGGATGAATCACTTCTACTCTGACCAACCTGAACTATCTCTCAGGTAAATCAGTCCAGACAGGGTTATCCACAAAATATAAATCTTGAACTTGAAATCCGGAGGTTGAAACTTAAATATTAGATGGCGTAAATCTACTCAGATTTATTGGACTAAAATTTTGATTGTAATACATTCGTCGTCGAATATATCAATACAATGAAGACAACTTTCGATTGAGGTTTTTAATTTCTACCAAGCTTTCAAATAGCATGGATACACATAAACATGGAAACAAAGAGAAGCTGTCAATTAACAGCTTCTCTTTGTTTACTTGTAAACTTTTAATTTGAATACAACTTAGTTATTAATTAAAGCTTTAATAGAAAAGTCGTCTTCATTGTATTGATTTAAACCCCGACAGTATCTGAAGGAATGCATAAGTTCGGAGAACCTTTACTTGTTAAAAAGCACGAACAAACAGTTTAATCTTTTAGATGTTAAATTAAATGTTATGATTAGAATCATGAAAACTCCAGAAAAAAATTATTTTGAACTTTCTTATTTCTTAACTTTTTCCTAAAACTTTACTTTTAGGTTTTATCGTCGTCTTCTGCAGATGGGAATAGTTACAGCAGAGCTGTATAATAACCTAGGTAAATAAATATTATCAAACACTTTTTGTTTTTTGTTAAATTCTGTATTCTTGAAAACTGAAATGATTAAACGCCTTATAGTAATTGAAGGAATTGAAACTTTAACTCAAAAGATCGATGCCTCAAGCCCTGTAAAATATGATTTGACGATTTGATAATTACATTGAGTCAATAACAAGTTAATCAAGATTTGTATACGGTGGTAGGCGATTTATATCAAGCTTTTAAACAGCATGGATACAAAAAAAAACACGGAAACAAAGAGAAGCTGTCGATTAAAAAATTTCTCTATAATTACGTGTGAACTTGTAATTAGAAAAAAGCTTGTTAACAATTAAAACTTAAATAAAAAGTCGTCTTCATTTTATTGCTTTAATCGCCTACCACCGTAGTTTTTAGCTAAACCATTGTTCATTAATCTTTTAAATGCGTTTTTCTATAAATATTTATTCGAAAAGGTTTATGCTGTTTCTTTGCACAACAGTATGACATGACAATAACATGCTTTCAGAGAGCTTTAGGTAAGTTATTTTATAGTGGTATGTGATTTTATCAATACAATGAAGACGAATTTTATATTTAAGTTTTTATTGTTAATAAGTTTTTTCGTTATTACAAGTCTACAAGAAATCAAAGAGAAGCTTTTTTAATTTTTAAATAAAAATAAATCGAAAGTCGTCTTCATTATATTGATAAAATCGCCTACCGCTCTGTAGTGAAATCATTTTGTATTTTATGTCTGATGGAAAAAATAATCTTCAAGAGAAGGGTGAGGGGGGGGGATATACTTACATTTACCTGTATTGTTTAGCTCTGGTGAGAGGGGGGAATATACTTACATTTACCTGTATTGTTTAGCTCTGGTGAGGGGGGGAATATACATATATTTACCTGTATTGTTTAGCTCTGGTGAGAGGGGGAATATACATACATTTACCTGTATTGTTTAACTCTGGTGAGAGGGGGGAATATACATACATTTACCTGTATTGTTTAACTCTGGTGAGAGGGGGGAATAAACTTACATTTACCTGTATTGTTTAGCTCTGGGGGGGATTATACTTACATTTACCTGTATTGTTTAGCTCTGGCCCAAGATGAGATTCTGGGGGAAGTTTGGTACAATATTGGACATATTGCTCTGGGTATAGGAGATGTTAACCTGGCTTTTCAATGCTTCAGGTCCGTTTTAAAGGGACTGTAGACAGTATTTCAAGTGAACCTCCTTTTACGGAGTGGTTCCCTTTAATTCTCTAAATGATTAAGAATGCCGGAGCTTTTTTGTTTTATAGCTAGAAGTTTAATACCCGTAAACTCATGTTTTCCCAACGCTAAAGAAATTGAGTCTTTGTCACAAACTCAAATTTTTTATCTTTATATTTTTGCAATCTGATGATGTAAATCTTTGATATTTCAAGCTTAGGTTATTTAACAGACTTCATGTTAGAAATATTTAAGGTCTTCAACATTGGGTTGCAAAATTCAGAGATTAAAAAATCTGAGTTTGTGGCAAAGACTCAAATCCTTTGAAGCTACTAAAATAAGGATACCTTGGTCAGATAGAGGTTTAAAATATCCCTTTTGACTCAGACACGTATGTGTGACCCTGTACAATGTACAATGAATGGTCATGTACAGTCCATAAAAAGAAACGTAACTATTGTACAGGATTACTAAGGGTGAGAATATAATGACGACATAAAACTTATAAGATCTTATGCCTTCTGCATTAACCTGGTCTTTATAAGCTAATCTTAACGATCTATGACAAAGTGTACTGCTGCAGGGATCATGGATTTAAAATATCTTATTTATAAATTAATATTTTTTAGACTTTCATTGGCTGCAAATAACGATCATGCAGAGAGTTATAACAACTTAGGTAAGATTTATTCAGATTACTATCAGAAGATTTTTGTGGTGAAGTCTATATTTTGGCTACTCTCTCTCTAACCTCTTATTTTCTTAATCGTCCAATTTTCTGTGGATATTGTTAATCTTGCACAATTCATCTTGAAATCCAATTTGGACACTTTAAATGCTTGATCCCACAAATAAAGGTATGCTCATCACTGGATATCTAAAAGGAATGAAATCAATTTGTAGATCTGTATAAAATGGAAATCAATGTTTGATCTCGAGATTCACAACGTAAACTAGTTGAAGGGTTGTAATAATGTTAGAAATACAAATTATTTTTATTTCAGGAGTTTTGGAAATGCGCAAAGGAAGAGTTGAACAGGCGCGCGCATACTTTCAAACCGCGGCATCCCTCGCACCAACCATGTTTGAGGCACACTTTAACTATTCAAGGTGGCCATTTTGAATTCTCAATTAGAAAAATTAAGTGAATTTTAAAATTATGATTTTTATAAGTTTAACAATAAAGTGGAACCAATGAAATTGTGGAACATGAAAAAGACATTTGAATAATCATATGTATTTTTGTTGTTTTTATAAGGCCAATAGTTCTACCAGCAGCTTGAAAAACAAATTATTAAGCTTGAAATGCTGCATAGACGCTGTGCTCCATATTGTCATATTTAAAATCATAAATTTAGCCTTAAAGCCATCTTCCTATCACAGTATGAACCCACTGTACTGAGTACATTCAGCGTTGTATTTGACTTGATGAATTTTTTAAATGTTTTTTTTCTAAATCATGAAATTCAGGCTTGATAAAATATTTTTTTTCTAGTTTGTCTGAGAAGACGGGAGATCTGCAGAGCAGTTATATTCTGGTTCAGAAATCTTTAGCCAGCTTTCCACAACATGCAGATAGTAACGATCTACTAGCACAGCTAGAGAAACATTTCCAACATATGTAATCACATTTCTAACATATGTAATCAGCCAGGGAAACATTTCCAACATATGTTATCAGCTAGAGGAACATTTCCATCATATATAATATGCAATAGAAACATTTTCAACATTTGTTGTCAGCTAGAGAAACATTTCCAACATATGTAACCTGTTAGAGAAACATTTCCAACATATGTTATTAGCTAGAGGAACATTTCCAACATATGTTTTCAGATAGAGGAACATTTCCATCATATGTAATATGCAATAGAAACATTTTCAACATTTGTTATTAGCTGGAGGAACATTTCCAACATATGTAATCAGCCAGAGAAACATATTCAACATATGTAATCAGCTAGACAAACGTTTCCAACATATGTAATCAGCCAGGGAAACATTTCCACCAAATGTAATCTGCTTGAGAAACATTTCCAACATATGCAATCTGCTTGAGAAACATTTCCAACATTTGTAATCAGCTAGAGAAACATTTCCAACATATGTAATCAGCTAGAGAAACATTTCCAATATATGTAATCAGCTAGAAAAACGTTTCCAACATATGTAATCAGCCAGGGAAACATTTCCAACAAATGTAATCTGCTTGAGAAACATTTCCAATATATGTAATCTGCTTGAGAAACATTTCCAACATATGTAATATGCTAGAGAAACATTTCCAACATATGTAATAAGTTAAGAAACATTTAAATGATTTTAAGAATTCTAATTGCAAAATAACCTTTATTAAGATGTCTGTATATAATGGCATGATTCTAATAAGTTGAACAACTGAAGTTTTGTGAGAAATATCCGGGAAAAGCCGGGTACCATTTTAAGAATTAAGTGAATAACATGTTTGGAATTACATTACAAATGTTAATACTAAACATCAAGTTTAGATGTTGACCTAGGGCTACAGAATACTACGGGTTCTGGTAAACCTGCACCAGGGTACGCTTACATCCAGGGTTTATCAATAGAACAAGCTTTTAGTGGACTAAACAGACGACCCCAGGCGTGATTGATATGCGTATCGGAAGGCGAAGTGCTAAGGAGTGGGATTACGTTGGACATGGATCAACCCTAGCAATTTTCTTTAAATAAATTAATAAATAAATAATGTTAAGTGGTATACACAATATGTGTTTGTAAACAGTAATGCCTATAAAACTGTGGAATATGAAGCCGACCTTAAAACTAGATTTATAATTTCAAGTAGTCAAATATATAGTAAACAGCATTATAGCATGTGTACGCAGACCCACTTTATTAGTTGATTTTCTAGCGACTGCATAAATTATTTAAACATGATATACTTAAAATATTGTTTAAACGTCGCCTTCCTTTTCCACAGTTTTATGAGTCTTACTGTCAGACTTTTCCTCACTATCACTAAATAAAATAATAAAAACATTCACAGAATTTTTTAAAAAATTGTTTTAGTGAGAACAATTTATAAACAATTGATCAGGTAGCGTTAGGACAATTTTAAATGAAGCTCTATATTTATTTTTAGAGTATCCCAAAAATGTGTAAATTTTTTTTATATAGTTTGTATTGGATATCTGGATTTCTTTAAATAATATTTGGTGAAATAAACTTCTTTGTTTGTATTCAACATTTAATGCTTTGAAGTTTATTAAGTTTATTCTAAAAATGCATTTTAGTGAGAATATTAAAAATTAGTTTTATCGTGATATTAAGAGATTAAACTCATACCAACCAATGAAACAATTACGATAAATAAAGTTTGAACTGTTCACTTTTCGGACTGAGCCCTAGTCACTATAAATTATCTTTAGAAATAGTAACTAATCTGAAATTTAAACTTTCTAAAATTAACAAGATAAGGTTAAAATATTCCAGGCGTTTTCAAATGCCATCAAAATTATCTTAACAAAGTGTATGCTCATGTATTAACTTTTAACATTAATGTTTACCATGAAATAAAAATCCAACAATTAAAAATGAAAAACTCGAAAATGAAAGCTTTTTTAGAAAGAAAATGAGTTTTCAATTTTTCTTGCTACTTGGAATATTTACAGGACATTTGATTGAAGGTGAAGTAATCATTATTAAGATATTTAAGAAGCTTACATCTTATATTAACTAATTAAAAGAAACTATATTAATTGAAATGAAAATCTTTACAGGATTTTAAATAAATATTTAATATTTTGTTTTATTTTCCAAGTCGGTCTTTTTTTGTTCACATTTGGAAATTACACCAACGTTAATAATATTATTCATAACAAAGACAATATTAATCAAATAGATTATCAAGTACAATAGGTGGCAACAGAGAAATGAACCAATTATACATTACGTCACAAGTGTCAAATAGAACAAGAAAAACTAAATTGTCTCGCATTAGTTGACAGGTTTTTCAAGATTAAATAAAAAAGTGTAAAAAAACAGAAAATGAAGAATACATTTAATTGCACTTATTTTACTGTAAGATAAGCACTTTATTATAAAATAATCACTATTTTTAACAATTTTGTCGGCCACAAAAACTGAATTGACAATTGTGACGTCAGAATACAGCTGTACTGAGAGTGAACGCATTCTACGTTGCCATCTATTGTACTATTTGATAATAATATATTTTTTTTCATTTTGAACTAAAGCAACTGTTTAAAGCACGTTTTGTAACGTAAAAAAGCAAGCTCTAAACAACACAAAAATTGAAAATGGCTGGAAAGAGCCTCAAAGAAAACCAAAAATCTCATGTAACCTTTTTTGACATTCTGAAAGAGCGCATCAACATTTTCGTTATTTATGCCATTTTTCCTTTTACGAATTTTACTGCAATTCGCTTTATTTGCAAATTATTGTTTTATTAACGTTTGTCAAAATTAAAAAAATATTTAAATTATTTCCATGACTAAGTCTAAAGTACAGTTTACAAATATTATTAGAAAGTAATGCAAATTGGAGAAAATGTTTCAAAAGGAAAAAGTGCTGACATTTTAAAATAATTGTCTTGATGGGATTTTGATTATGCGTATGCCGCTGACCTTTTGTAAATAAAAATACATTTTAGATTTTGCAAAATAAAATACATATTTTTTTATTAGCTAAAGTAGGCTCCACTATGCACAGTAAGAACAGATGATTTTAAAAAACTAATTAAATTTTTATAAATAAAAACAATTTCAGATTTTGAGAGTGAGAACTACAAGAAAACTATAGAATAGGAAGACGACATTATAGCAAAACTTAAGAGTGTATTTGATTTTGTTACAAGGCAAATAGTTTTTCTATGTAGTATTTTATTAAATCACTTTTAAGTTAATTGGGTCTGTTTACACTGCACTATGTCTGCGTCTCATCTTCATTGGACAAAGGCATAATTTCTAGAATAAAAGTCTTCTTCCTATTCCAGAGTTTTCTGCTTCTCACTGTAAATTAACTATTTGATGAATTACTTTAAAGGGAGTGTTCGCGAAAAATGAAAGGGGGTATAGGCTTAATGCGATTAAAAAGCGCTTTTGATCGCTAATAATCTTACTTCTAACTGTTGCGTCTATAAGGAGAAAATTGTTAACGTCTCATACCGAATTACTTAGCGCCCATACAAATTCAGAAAATTGCAACATAAGACATTGACCGTAAAAAAAATCAATTTAATTTCAAACAAATCATTCAGATATTACAACCTATAGTCATCGATAATCTTTCGCCACATTTGTATATAGTTAATACTTTATAATATTTTTTAATTAGTTTGTTTTGAATTTGATTATTTCTCTTGCCGCTTGCGCAACTATCTAAGAATGCCGCGCACCTCTCACATTTTTCGATATCCGTAAAGACGTTTTCTAAAAAAATAAAATATTATAAACTATATACAAATGTGGCGAAAGATAATCGGTGACTATAGGTTGTAATATCTGAATGATTTGTTTGAAATTAAATTAATTTTTTTACGGTCTTAGTTGTATGTTGCAATTTTCTGAATTTGTACGGGCGCCAAGTTATTCGTTAAGCGACGTCTTTAACAATTTTCTCCTTATAGACGCAACAGATAGAAGTAAAATTAGTAGCGATCAAAAGCGCTTTTTAATCGCATTAAGCCAATACCCCCTTTCATTTTTTGCGAACACTCCCCTTAAATAATTCTGAAAATTTTATTTTTTTCTTTAGAACCTGTATTTGCAGACTCTAATGGTAAGATTTTTCCTTTTAAATTTATTTTAAAATTATTTCATTCATTTGCTTGAATTGTATAGAAGTCGATTCTACAGTGCACCACAACATCAGCACAGAATCTCTTTTGGGGGAATCTTTAAATGAAGATGGTACAATAGAACTAGGGATGAGCATGTTTTGTGCATGTCTGGTTTACCCAAAATTGTTTATCAAATTTGCTAAAATTAAGTAATTTAGATTTTGTAAAATGAAATATGCCAAATATGTCCATCCCTAAACAGAAGATGGGGAGCCTGGAAAACCAGAATCACGCGAGGAAAATTTAATATTAACTAAGTCTTCATTGAAAGATTTAGACGAATCTGAATCTTCCACGCACAGCATAGATCAAAGCAAGTCAGAACCAACATTAAAACTAGGGAAGGATCGTCTATACATTTTTGAAAACGAACAACTGAATGGTCATTTTTAAAAGAAAAATATCGTTTTAGTTCGTATTTCATTTACGGAGGTAGGTCGTTTTTACTTTTTGACCCTTCGTTAACAATCGTTAACGCCCTTTTTTAGACAAAATACATTTTTTGGTCAAAAAACCCTTAGATCAGAAGAACCTAATGTCAAAAACATCTCTCGATACAAACAACAAACATGAGACAACATCCATAAACTCATCTTCCTGAAAATTAATTGAAATTAATTGTCTTAAAACTCATATTTATTCATTACCGACATGTTTTCAAAAACGATCGGCTTTTTAAAAGCTCTTATTTTTAGGTCTTTTTTAAGTTCAAAACGACTGGATCGTTCGTTGCGACGACCCATCAATTTTTCGTTCGTTTTTTAAACGATTAACAACCCTAATTAGAACCATTCTCCCAAGCTAAAGAGGAATCTGGAGCTCATCAAGCCATTCCGATAGGAGAGAAGCCTGTTAAAGGCAATGTTAACGTAATGTTAAGTGACAGGTTATGATTAGAGTGGAATACCCGATTCGCAAGAGTACCTAATCTTGAAAAGTATTAATTTCGTTCGATTTTTCGGATGCAAAAATCTGCAACAAAAACTATTGAGAACCCATAAGTAAGAATAATCATTTTTAAAGTGGAAAATAAAATATCGCTCATTCTGCTTTGATCAGAAAATGGTTTGCAGGGTACTGTTGTGAATCGGACTTGCTACTCTGTAAATGGGGGGTCACTCACTACGAATTACGTTAACAGCCCCTTTAAAGTCGAACATGAGTCAGCTGTTGAAGAGACGACAGTTTTAACCCTTGATACAGCTGTTGAAGAGACGACAGTTTTAACCCTTGATACAGCTGTAAAAGAGACGACAGTTTTAACCCTTGATACAGCTGTGGAAGAGACGACAGTTGTAACCCTTGATACAGCTGTGGAAGAGACGACAGTTGTAACCCTTGACAAAACTGAAGAAAAACATGAAACTACAAAGAAAGGAAAGTCGGCAGGTAATATTTTTTTAAAAGATCTTTTTTATTACATAAAAATGTTTAAGACCCGTTTTTTAGGGGGAGGACTTGCTTCAAGAAGAAATGAAGGTTTGTTATTCTTAAACTATAGAAATAGAAAAATAATGGTCCTTTAATGGGCGTTTATGACCCTACATTTATTGAGGGCATGCAAGAATCACAATGAAACCCTTGACACATTTAGAAGCTAAAGTCGTTTACTATCTTAAAATGTGTTTAAGTCTGTTAATTTCTCCATTGTTGCTAAAGCAAGATATGCGAATGTTACTTTTTTAGAGTAACCACGAATGAAATTAATCAGTTTTCAAGAAGAAAAACATGGTTATCTAATATATTCTTGACCATTCAAACCTTTCAAGGATACCGTTGCTAGTCGGACTTACCGTTTTATCAATGGAGGCTCACTTGATATTACGTTTTTAGTCCCTTTAATATATCTATAACATATATACATGTATTTTGAATATTTTTCTGGCAAAATAATTTCGAAATGTAGATAGTGTTGACAAACGTTTTAATTCTTTATCAAAAAGTTAAGTTTAAAGTTTGCTTATATTATATTATGCAATATTTGTATCCAAAAGAAGCTGCAGTCCCAAAACGATTGAATCATCATGAACCAAAACCGAAGCAACACGAAGCAAAGACGAACCAAACACGAACCATAACGATCCAAACACGAACCAAAACGATCCAAAAACGATCCAAAATTGAACTAAAACGAACCTAAACGAACGATCCAAAATTGAACCAAAACGAGCCAAAAACGAACCTAAACGAAGCAAAAACTAACTAAAATAGACCAAAACGAACCTAAACGAACAGCAACGAACCAAAACAAATTAGAAACGTACATTAACGAGCCAAAAACGAAGCAAAAAGAATCAAAAACGAGCCAAAATGAACCAAAACGAACAACAACAAACCAAATCAAATCAAAAACGAACATCAACGAACCAAAAAGAAGCAAAAACGAGCCAAAATGAACCAAAACGAATCTAAAACGAACAACAACGAACCAAAACAAATCAAAAACGAACATCAATGAACCAAACACGAAGCAAAACAAAGCAAAAACGAATAACAAGTCTAACTGTAGATGGATTGAATGAATGTGTTCTACTGGAAGACGACTCCTCCATGCCAGAAGGAGAACAAATTTCTTGTACTCCAACTATATTCAGGCAATTAATTACAAACAGTCACTTGCATTTATCAAAATGATTTAATTAATTTTATTCAAATGAGTTTACTCTTTATGTTTTTATTATTTATGCCAGTAATTCTTTTGCATTGGTTTTGTTCTGTTTTACTTTATATGATTTGATTTGATTTGATTGAGGTGGTTTAAAATATTTTATCTTCATTCAATTTAATATTTTTTCATATTAATAACTCATTCCTTAGCAATGTCTTTTTCAGTTGGAATTTATTTGATTCGATTCGTAAATTTTGATGCTTTGATATTATTTTATTAATTTAATTTTTTTATAGTAAAAGAAAAGATATGAAAGAGTAAACCAAAAAATTTCTTGGTAAAACTAAAAACAAATTGGTTAGATTTGAATTGACATTATTTTATTTTTGTTTGAATTATGATTAAAGAGGGTTTGGCGTCACAGATGGACCTGCCATAAACGAATCCTTCTGCACCTGTTTAATGGAGGGCCCTCATCGATGTAAGTTAAAAAAAGTTTTAAAAAAAGTTTTGTTAAAATTTTTTTTTTTATTTAAATGTAAAAGCTGCCTTTAATGGTCTAAATTCAATGCCCTTTTTATATTTCAAAATGGAAAAATTACAACAAAGATGTTTCTTTGGTATTGAAAATCTAAACACTTATTTCTTCAGGTCCATGTTAAAACTAGCTTTTTACAAAGGAATGTCATTTACTCTCAGAAAAGTTTTATTGATTCTAATATATCTGAGAGTAAATGTCACAAGTACAAAACATATTGTTTTTAGTTCAACTTCAGATGAGCTCAAAACTTGCAGTTGGAGTAACAGAAGGTAATTTTGTTAAACAATAATTGCAAACAAGTTCAACAGATACAGTTAGAGTATCAGAAGGTGATCTTGTTAAACAATATTTATAAACAAGTTCAACAGATACAGTTAGACTATCAGAAGGTGATCTTGTTAAACAATATTTATAAACAAGTTTAAAAAATACAGTTAGAGTATCAGAAGGTGATCTTGTTAAACAATATATATAAACAAGTTCAACAAATACAGTTAGAGTATCAGAAGGTAATCTTGTTAAACAATATTTATAAACAAGTTCAACAGATACAGTTAGACTATCAGAAGGTGATCTTGTTAAACAATATATATAAACAAGTTTAACAAATACAGTTAGAGTATCAGAAGGTAATCTTGTTAAACAATATTTATAAACAAGTTTAACAGATACAGTAATTTTGATATTACACGTAATTTCAAGTATCCTTTCAGTTATGGAGCTTACCATTGTAATCACTAAACATGTCTTGAAGCAAAAAAGATGAAGATATTCTCTTTATTCTTTCTGAAAAATTACAGTTTTAATTGTTCTCTAATTGAGTTCAATACATTCTAAAATATAAAAACGACGATATCGTCCTCATTGACGTTCAGATGAAGGTTAAAAGGCCGGAGGTCAAATTTAAAGAATTTGAGCCGCAGCTCAAATATGGTTAGCTCCACTTAAAATTGTATTGAATTTTTCAAGATTTAAAACGGTTTTTGGCAGATTTAACCCGCGGCTCATTTTCATTAAATTCGCGGACACTGGTATACTTCTTTAAATCTTTATTTTGAAGGTTACGTTGATTACATGTACCAAATGAAGGTGATGATGAATTTAGGGTACATCATGTTTTGCATTCTGTAGTCTCTAACGGACGAAGAGTCGTGCTAGTGCTTGAAATGAATCTGAGTTTTCTGAGTTACAGTGAATCGTCCCTTTAATAAAACAGAATTTTAAAAAATTGATAATTTTCTTTAGATGCTAAGTTTTGTATATTTACTGAAGATTTCTCCAAGATTCCAACAAATCAAGAAGTTCCCTGTACACAAGTTATACTCAGGTAGGGCTGGGCACGTTCCAACTTTTTCTAGCCGTTTCGTTAACGGTTAGTTACAACCATTAAAAAGAAAAATTTCAGTTAGCTGTTAAAGTAAGAACAAAACTTTTTTTTCGTTAACGGAATTTTCCGTTTTTTAAATCACAGTTTTTTAATTATCTCAATTTTATTAACGGCATTAACGGAAAATTTTCTACAACCGTGAACGACTCTATCCGTTTATGGTACTATTGAAAATAAAACGAACGAAATGGGTCGTTCACGAACGATGAACAAACGAAATGAAAAAGTCAAATGTGCGCATCTTTAAGTATACACTGTTAGAAACCCCTATCGTTTTGTCTGAAATATTTAACTACCGAGAACGTAGAAATTACGATATTTTATTTTGAATTAACTGTTCGGGATAAATCACAAACTTTTATAAACCTAACATTATGTTGCAAAATGTTCAATATTAGTAACAAAGCAAATGAGCTCGTATAACTATTTTTAAATGGTATTTTACTTTTGCAAGTAAATTTTTCAAAAAGTTGCGTTTCTTGCATGGTGAACTTGTCGGTAAGCAGTTACTCACGTTTAGTTTGTCTTTTGAAATACATCATATTGCTTAACTTTGGCCTGTATTTAATATTTAATACAAAATACCCTAATTTTTTTTCTTTTTTGCAGAGCTTTCTCTGGTCAAACAACTGAAAATGTTGAAAACATGAAATGTACTTGTTCTTTGAAACCAAATGGAAATGGTATGTGTGATATTTAATAGATTTTTTTTATGCAAATTTTCTTTAATAGAACTTTTTTCAGCCTTTTTAAGCTACAGTCATGGATTCTAAGCAAAGGTAAACCTCTAGTACAAAAGTATGTACAGCATTAAAATGAAGCAAGTTTAAAACATTTATCCATCTATTTATAGTAAATATATTTTTTTCATAATTTTTTAGAATTTATTTTAGGAGAGGATCTGACCTTTTTTATCGTTCTGCAGGAATATAGAACCAATAAATGATAGTGAAAAAGTTGTTAAATATATAAAAATATACAAATATACAAATATTTCATTAGTTTCCAATTTCCCAAGTTACGTTTCCCGAAAAAAAAAACATAATTGTCTCTTAGTTAAAGACCAATTTCAATCAATTTTTAAATCGTTCGTGAATGATCAAGTTAATAAACGATTTAAAAGTACGTTAACGATTTAAAATCGTTCTTTTATCTTTTTTGGTTAAAAAATCGTTGTTTTTATTTCTTCGTTTGTATATTGTTCCTTAATTTTTCTGAACGACGCATCGTTAACGAAAATTTTTATTCGTCCAGAAATATTTTGTTCATAAACGAAAACGAAACCCATCTTTAATCCTAAAAAACGAAAATGAATGGATAAAAATGATTGCCAATCCTATTTCTAATAATCTTCAACTTTAACAACAAAATTAACAAATCTTATTTTTGTTCCTTTGTTTCTTTTCTCAAATTGTTGAATAAACAAAAATTGTTGCATTCTAATTAATCTAAATCTTTCACTTTTGATCAGTGTTTCAAGGTTTCATTGAAGTTTAATTTCTTTAGAATTTTAAAATCTGTCAAGAATATACTCCGAGCTAGCAAGTGAAATTAGTATAGTTAGAATGTACATCTCCAATGACTCCATTAAAAGAGAGAACTAAACGTTTTACTTCGTGGATATTCATGCAGACGAGAAATGGAGAAGAACTTCACTTATTTCTTCAACGAAAACGACACTATCCTTTTTTGTTAATAAGTAAAAGGTTACCGTTGTTAATCGACCAGTAACTTTTTTCATGGGGAGCTGACTCATTTTTTCATATTCCCCTAAACAACACCACATTGGTCAATGAACGATGGAATAATCATAATTAACCCTTTCGCACCGAGGTAGAAATGCGATGTGGTGTCGTTTTGGAGGCAAAAAAACTTAAATTTTATTCCATAAATGTTAAATTTACGTGATTTGCAAAGGAAAAACGCATTTTTAATTTTTAGGTAACATTTGTGGGAGTTTTATAGAATTTTTCTTTCTTTATATAAGGGTGAAGTGAATATCATGGCCTCTCAGTACGAAGGGGTTTCAAACAAACGAGGATCGAACAGATTTTTAATTAAAAACAAACTATTTATTCTCGTCAAAATGCATTTTTCCCCTGTTCTACGAGAGACTAGAATGCGTAGATCTAAAAGAGAAAGAGAAGAACAAAACCAAATGTATGATCAGATAAAAAGAAGATACAACGGTCGGAGAAAAATTTCACTGCTCGAAAAATGTTAAAATTTTTTTATTTAAAAATAAATTGTTTAAAAACCTCGTTAAAGATCACCACATGCTAACGTCCAAAAACATGCTCAAAAATGCAAATATTTCATTCAAAGATTTTGACACTTTTCAGGGATCAACTATAATTAATTAACGACAGAAATGTTACAAATTGTATAATTCATGGAAAATTGTTAATTTATAAAAACGGAACGAGACTCGATAACAATCCACATCAAGGCCGTCGTCAACGAGCGTGCAACGAACTATTAAAACAAAATTAGAACGTTCCAACAGTTCCTTTTAATCATTCAGGAACTAATTATTTGACTTAAAAATCAATTTATAATTGCTAAAATATATAATCTCAGCTTAAAGTTCAAAGGTTTACGAAATAGGCTGCAATGATATATAGGGATAGCGGCAAATATTCGCTGTTCAGCTCCATGAACTACTCTAAATATTTAAAAAAAACCTTTTGAATTAAATTTTCAGATTTACATGATTCTTGAAAAAGTTTGTTTGCTTGTGTTGATACTTGTCAACTGTAGTGAAGGATGGAGAGGTAAAGTTTTAAAACTAAATGAATAGTATCTTTCAAAAAATTTCTATCAAATGCTACATTAAAAAAAATTATAGATTTTTCTATAATGTTCTTTTCTGGGCAATATACATTTTTATAATAAAAAAGAACAAATAAATTTTATAAAAGGAGTTGAGATTTTGTCACAAACTTAAATGTTCTAACTCCTAATTCTTTGCAACCAGAGCCGGCGATTTAAAAAATTCAAGAAAATACGACTCGGGTCTACGCTGTTGTTGAGCCTTATTTACGGCTCGGGCTTTCGAATTTAAGTTGCATCTATTTTTCAACAGAATTTAGTTCATAAAACCGGTTTAATGTTGTATTTGGCGGATTTTCATAGTTGGAATTGGTGCATTCTGGGTTTTGATGAGAATAAGATCCAACATTGTGCCGTATTCTTCACTAAAACCAACCAAGGTCGGTTTTATTTTCATTGGGCTTAACTTCTTAAGTCGAGCCTAAGATCTCGCAGCTGTCAATCACGTGACACAAGCTGTCGTCAGAGTTGGGTCGAAGATTGGGTCTTAAAGCTGCGTTTAAGGAATTAAGACTCGAGCCGAAGCTTTTAAATCGCGGGCTCTGATGGTGAACACCTTTAATATTTCAAACTTAGATTACTTGATCCAACGCAATTCATAGTTTGAAATATTTAAGGTATACAACATTGCAAAGATATAGGGATTAGAAAATTATACTTTGTGGCAAAAAATTTATTTCGCGATTTCCTGGAAAAATCAACAATTGCATAAAAATGAATATCTAGCAACGGGAAAGGCTTGTGAAACAATGGCTGGAATTGAGTACGGGGTTACACAGCCTTGTACTGAAGAACTTTTTAGGAAAGCACTTAACTTTATTAAAAATGGTTCCTGACTTTTAAACCTGTGTGTGAATCGTACATGTAATATTTAGGTTCTTTAGAAATTACTTTTGTATAGAATACTCAGAATATATATACTATAGAACTATATAGTTGGCAGCATTTGGTTTGGGAAATTGGGAAGTGTTGGACTGTGGAGGTTATGCAGTACAATACGTAAATGTCCAGATGTTCAGTTCTTAGGGGGGGTTTTGAAAATTCCCTTTTTATACTTTTCATCTTTTGGAAAAGAATAAAATCTTATCTTAAATGTTTGATCACTCTTTAACAGTGAACCGTACCTCATAGTTGAGTATACTGTGAAATCAGAACTGTTCCCCCCAAAGAACATTGTACTACATGTACACAATAACATACCGCTACATGTTCACAATGTCATACCAATACAGGGTATTTCGTGAAACTTACCAAGTCTAATCCTGCCAACTGCTGTTCCATAGTATATATATTCTGAGATAGAATATAACGTGTCTGAGGTTCAAGAGGTTCCATAAGATCTCCAAGATTTAATCCTGCCAACTGCTGTTCCAATGTATATATATTCTGAGATAGAATATAACGTGTCTGAGGTTCAAGAGGTTCCATAAGATCTCCAAGATTTAATCCTGCCAACTACTGTTCCAATGTATATATATTCTGAGATAGAGTATAACGTGTCTGAGTTTCAAGTTCCATAAGATCTCCAAGATTTAACATATTTTACATTTGATTTCTCAAAAGTTTGCCTTAATCCCACTTGGAAGATTTTTAGCCTGTTAAAGTTGAAATAAGATATAAATGGATTTGCAGACTTTTTTCTTGACAGCAAACACATTTTAAGGGTTGAAAAAACTTTTGAGAAAGGACCTAAATTCATAATTTCTTGCAGTTATACTAACAGCACTTGTAAAAGGGAGAAAGTATGCACAATGTTCTGTCCTATTCCAAAAAAAGATTTAGTAATCAAATAGTTTTTTTAAGTTTAGTTTAGTAAATTGTTAACCATTAAAACTGAAACATTAATTAAGTCAATTTCTTATCATTTTCTAAAAAATAGTACCTAGTGAAAACTAAACACTGTGGAATAAAGCGATTGTTAAGCAAATTGTTTTTCATTAGCTTAAAAATTACTTTTCAAACTGAAATTGTTTTGTACACACTGCTTAATTGCTGTTCCTATTCCAATGTTTTCTAGTTCTAACGGTAAATTTGTCTAAATTCTTTAATTGTATCTGCAGCAAAGAATGAGCACTTCACTTTCATGCGATTGAAAATAACAAAAATGATATCTAATTCATTCTTGATTTGTTGTGTATAGGTAAGTATTGACCATACCATTTTCTACACGAAGGGTAAATATAATGCTAATAATAATAATAGTAATATGCTTCTGTAAAAATGGCATGTATTTAATTTATGAGAAAAGATTAGAACTAATAATACATTTATTGATAACACACACATTTAAGTTATCTAAAAGTTAAGTGCTTGTCTTTAGGAAAGCTAAAAAAACAGCAAAGCGTGGACCAAAAGGACTGCTGTGCACCTGCACTGGTACAGCAGTTTCCTGTAAGTGAATAGCGAGCGAGAGAAGGCACACCACACCATTTTTTCGTCCGCACCACAAATGACATCAGAATTCACCATTATTTCTTCCGACTAAACCTTTTTTCGCCCGGGCATTGCTTTTGTGTTTTCAAATGTATTATTGTATGTCATTTAACCCTTTTTTACAAATTTAGGAAACGTCATGTCATTCAATTTGGTTTAATATCGTTTAAAATGCATTTTGTTAAAAAAGTTAATCAATATTTAAGCCCAATTTAGAAAAGAACAGAAAATATGTGTGACACATACCTATTTTTCGTCTAAACCACATCTATTTTTCATCCGGCCCAAATCTATTTTTCGTACAAACCACACCTATTTTTCATCCGGAAAGGATGTTTTCTTATTTAACTCCTAAACTGCAACTTTTAGGTGATATTGAAGTGGGATTTTTAGGAACTACAACTAAAAATTATCCTTTTTATTGTAGGGAACATAGCAATTATAGTTTTGATTTGCTTGAGGGATTATGAAGCAAAAATGTTGATGAATTGTTTTATGCCCACCCTACCTTCTTAAGATGTTCTTCTTAAAAAAAAAGAACCAGATATTTTGAACCAATACAAACAAAATGGCGTGGCTCAAAATTCGAATATAATAATTTAAAGTTCTTAAAAAGAACGTAAAAAATGCCAGACAAAAAAAGTGATCGGAAGAAATAATGATGGTCGGATGGAAAAAGGTGTGGTGCGCCTTCCTTTCCTCGCGTACCATTACAAAAACTAATAATGAAGAAATATTTAATCTAACCTATAGAACAATGTTTTGTATGGATGGCTTTAATGATTTCATATATTTGAAAAATTTTACGACAAATTTTCATTTTCATTATGAATGCAAGTCATTAAACTAAAGCAGGGACGTATCCAGGAACTGAATTTAATGAATTTGAACTGCCAGCCACTCTAGTTAAAATATTAATCACCGATTCCTTAATCTTTAACTTTAAATCGGTGGTTTAAAGGAACTAAGTTATTTCCTCAAACTCAAATTTTCTAATCCCTATATTTTCACAACCTGATGGTGAATTGCTGGATTGCCAAACTCATTTTTTTAACGGCTTAGGTAGTTCAGCGACATAGCTCAAATTCATCCAATTCGGTCCCAGGAATCAATTTTCCAAAACATATGGAGGCCCGGATAAGTGATAGTAATAAGTTCTTTATCATAGATTTCCTTTCTGTCGAAGATCCTGGATTACGTAAGTAGATTTTATATAAATAGATACTTATTGATTTGTTGTTGTTAATGAAATTCACGAAGGAAGTGTGTTTTTGCCACAAACTCTGATTTTCTAATCCCGTTTTCTTTGCAACCCGGCGATGTAGTAGATCTTTGATATTTCAAACTATGAATTGTGCTTTATCAAGTAGTCTAAGTTTGAATTATCAAAGGGATACACCATCAGGTTGCAAAGATATAGGAATTAGAAAATTTGAGTTTGTGGCAAAAAGTCAATTTCTTTGTCAAAAAAGAAACAAATTTAAAGAAATCTCACAATTTTAATTTTTTTGTAACAAACTATGAGGTGGAGAATAGGTTGGATTTTAGTAAGTTTTCAATCTAATAGTTAGTTTTTTTTTATGCTATTAATATATTTTTTCCTACACTTTGTAGACTTACTCATTCAGTCACAGGCTATCAATTTTAAATGGTAACATTAGGATTCATTTTATACCAATAAGACATTTATATGGTTTACAATTTTTAAATATAAGCCTAAAGTCATTTATTATATGGCTCATTCATCAAATGAATTCTGAAGTTTTTCTCTTCAAAACCGCACTTTCAGCTCAACTCCCATGTCTATTTCATGAAAAAATGATGATTTTAAGAAAGTATCTTTAGGTAAACCTGAGAATTGTGAGTGGGACGAAGACACTCAAAAATACTTGAAAACAGGTGTCCCAACAACATGCACAAGCTTCATAATAAGGAACTTATTACTTATTACTTTTTACATTGAGGGATGAGCAATTTTAAATGTTCTTAAAAATCTAACTAAGTGTTTTGAAACTAAAAATAAATTTTTTTTTTAAAACAAACGTGATTGTTCGCCAAATAGCATCTGCAGTCTGCACATACAGTGTAACAACATATGAAAGCCAGAATTAATAAATTTTATTTCACAACAAAATGAAAAATAAAAATAAAATTTACGAAAATGTGGAACGAACAATCGAGGTGAAGACCCTAATTAACGAAGATGGAACAAAATATTCCAAAAATGAAGAACATGAAAATGAAGACATATTAGAAAAATTTAACTATTTAAACATTAAAACATAAGAATACATTTTATCAGTCAATATAAAGAAGAAGACTATCCAAATCCCGAAGAATATTTGTGCACTTGTATTAAAGGGAAGGCCGAGCCAGGTAACATTTTATGGGTTTCACAAAACATTGTACATATCATAATTTCATTTAATTTCATGTTCGTTGGTTTGTTTTTTTAAACCATTTTTCATATTTGAATCTAATATTTTATTTTTGTTTTTGACAAATATACACAAGTTTACTTAATGCAGCTTCCTGTTGGACAATGCCAAATGGAAAAGAGAAATGCGATACTAAATATACCGGTGGTAGGATGGACATTAAACGTGATTGGTCAGGTATTCAAATTATTTTTGCAAAACTAGGCAAACTACATCGAGATCCAGAGAACTGTGCATATGAATTATAAATTTCTCCTTTGTTCTTACAAAATGTGACTAAATGATTTTATGATTTGCAATTGTTGGAACTAATTATCTCTAAAGGGGACTTTTTAAGAACAAGTTCAGATTCAAATAACAAATTTTTAGTGATATTTCATAATCAAAGAGAATAAAAGGGCTGGGCATCACCCCTGTGGAACGATCCTTCTTTCAAGGGTTTATAAAAGTAAAAACACCCAAGCTCAAGGGCTGGGCGTTATTCATAGTTTTTTTCATGGGTACAAAGGGAAGGAAACAGAACTGAACAAATAATTTACAAAAAAGAAGGAATACACCCAGCCGCCTAGTTGTAATATATTCACTGCAGCATTAGACCAGTGCCAATAATAAGGCTGCCTAATGTGTCTGTAAAGGGAAATAATATACTGAATTGATTTGAAAGTTTGTTTAAGAGAAAATTAACTATGCTTATATAATTACTAGAAATTCAAGGCGCTTCGCGCCCTTCTTTCTAGCCTTAGAGGGCGCTTCGCGCCCATCTTCTAAATTAGTTGTGAACATGTTCTCTTTGTGTACATCGTAAAACAAAACAAAAATAATTCGCGGATTTTCACAAAAAATTTCGCGGATTTTCAAAATTTTTAAAAATTTAATGACGATCGAATTTTGATGGAGACAAATATTTGAAATTTTGATTATTCATAAACCTTCCCTGGGGTCCCTAGATGTCCCACAAAAAATTTGGGCCCGATCGGTTCAGCCGTTTTGCCGTTTATTGGATACAGACAAACAAACAGACAGACAGACAAGCCAAATTTATATATAGACTAGAAATTCAAGGCGCTTCGCGCCCTTCTTTCTAGCCTTAGAGGGCGCTTCGCGCTCATCTTCTAAAATAGTTGTGAACATGTTCTCTTTGTGTACATCGTAAAACAAAAATAATTCGCGGATTTTTACAAAAAATTTCGCGGATTTTCAAAATTTTTTTTAAATTTAATGACGGTCGAATTTTGATAGAGACAAATATTTGAAATTTTGATTTTTCATAAACATTCCCTGGGGTCCCTAGATGTCCCACAAAAAATGTGGGCCCGATCGGTTCAGCCGTTTTGACGTTTATTGGATACAAACAAACAAACAGACAAACAGACAAACAGACAGACAAGCCAAATTTATATATAGATTATATAAAAAATACAAATATTTAACATCATAAATAAGCCTAATTACAGATTAAAAGTCACTAAAATCAAATGTACCTTTACAGGGATTTTTAACCCTCCAATCAACTCTGTTACTTGGCAATTAAATAATAAAGATCTAAATTTTATGTTACTAATGTTACTATTCACAGTGAATAACCCGATGGGGAAAGAAGCGGAAAACTTTAATAAAGGAAGAAAAAAAGGTAAGAATGAGATAAAACACAATGATATAGATAGACCAGACAAAACATGTTATTAAGGTAGCTTAATCAATTTTTGTTGACTTTCAATTTTTAAAAAAATGTTTGTTACTCTGAACAGCTTTCAAAGAGTTATTGAAATATAGCCGACAAGCTGAAACGCGTTGCCCGTAAAAAAAATTTAATTTGGAGAGGAAAAAATTGAATCTGTATATAGATATATGAGCAAAGAGCTTTATTATATAGTAGAGGTGGTGGAAATAATCTCAGTACAGTACAGATGCCAGGGACAGTAAGAAAGTAGAAACCTTTTTTTATAGTAGTGGGAAATAATGACTGAAAAATCAGTCTCAAGCCTATTGCTGCCAATATGAAGAAGATATTAGATTTGATCCTGTTAATTTAAAGCCATTACATCCAGGAGCCTATTCTGGAATTTGTCCAGGAGGGCCTTAAATTTTTTTTCTTTCCAGGGGGGGCTCAGTACCTGTTTGGGCATGAAAACCCCCTGAAATCAATATATTTTATTGGTCCAGGGGGGGGGGCTTAGCCCCAATAGCCCCCCTGAATACGCCTCTTATTACATGGTCTTCAACATTATTGACACAGTCAGCTAGGTCTTTTTTTGAATGTTGAGATTAAGATTAAGGGAGAGCTCACTTGAAATTAAGTCTACAGCTCCTTTATATACAATACCTTTACATGTACATTCCTTTACATACAATCTTTTATATTTTATGACCCATCAACCACTGAGAAGAATTTATCTCTATTCAGTGTTTGGGATTGGATTTGTTGACAAAAAAAAATTACTGAAAAAAAAAATATTTAATATAAAATATATATAATATCAAATTATAAGGATTTTGTAAAAAGATATAGAAATACTTATTTCCTAGTTAATAAATAAAAAATAAACAAACTAAACTTTAATACAAAAACTAAAAATGAATTGAAAATGATATATTTGCCAATCCTGTCTCAGTTAGAATTTTAGTTTGAGCAACAAAATTAACAAAATTTAATTCTTGTTTGTTTGTTCCTTTCCCAAATTGTTGAATAAAAAGAATAATTAATCGAATATTTCACTTTGATCTTAAATTTGTATAGAATTTTTAAATCATTTCTGAATTTCTGGCTTGTGATTTTGTGAAATAAAAATTTTTTCAGTGTCCAAATTTTATAAATTAAAGCCCTGTCTGCAATCCCCCAAAAACCGGTTTTAATTGAGCGCCATCCTAAATTTTGAAAAATAAAATACAAATATTAGTGGAAACAACAAAATGCTTAAATTTAAACCCTGCTCAAATTCTTAAAATTTGGCCTCAGTTTGGCTCTTAGTAAACAAACTGTTTTGGCCTTGCTTGTTGGCTTGTCTTTAGATGTTAAATTTTTTATTTACATTTTAGAGGTTCCTTAAGAACTTTAGATATTCTTTAAATTTCTAAATTATATTTTGAATTGAACAACATTTCTACTCTGACATGCAATAGTACAAAAGGTGAAAGGAGATTAATTTTAATAATTATATTCATTAAAACTAATTTTGCTGTGCATCTTTCATAATCACAAAATTTAAAGTTTAATAGTTTTTGAATATTAGATTTTTGTAGAGTTTTAAAAAAGTTTTAAAAAACTAATTTGCTTGAAAAAAAACCAAAAATCTCTTGTTGTAATGGAGTTGTATATAAAATTGTCATAATTCTACGTTTTTCTCAAGGAAATTAACTTCACAAAAACTCTCATTTTTGACATTCTTTTTCTTAAAGTATTTTTTTCAGACTAAGATGATTACTTAAAAGTTTGTTTGTGTATGTTGATATTTGTCAGCTTTAGTAAAGGACAGAAACATAAATTATTACCATTAAGTTAGATTGGTTTGATCTGATATAACTTTGTTAAAAATTAAAAATATTGAAAACACTTTGAAAAAAATTTGATTTTGCAACAACAACAGAAATTTTGTCTATGCTAGTACCCAGGCACTCATGAGTTTCCCTCAAAAAACTCAGCTGATTTGGTCCATCGGAAATTTTAGCTAACTTTTTCATCAATCTGATAAAATCAATCAGTTTAGTGTCAACCATCACATAAATTAACCTTCAACTTGTCTTTAGATATATTTCAAAATGTTGCAATTAAGAACAGAATGATTTGATTACTCAAAACTGTAAAAAAAAACTTATTTGCTGAATTATTTGATAACAAGTTTTTGGATTTGAAAATGTACTTTGGATTTAAAAATTGTACTTTGAATGTGAAAATGTTCTTTGGGTTTGAAAATGTTCTTTGGATTTAAAAAGTGTACTTGGATATGAAAGTATACTTTGAATGTGAAGATGTACTTTGGATTTGAAAATGTTTTTTGGATTTAAAAATTTTACTCTGGATATGAAAGTATTCTTTGAATGTGAAAATGTACTTTGGATTTAAAAGAGTACTTTAGATTTGAAATAAAAGTAATAAAATGAACACTGATGGGCATATTAAAAAACATCTATTTTGTAGTTTGGATATTAATTGATATATTAAATACTTGTTTAAAGATAAGAAAGAAAAACCCCTTTTTTAACCTTTTTGCAAAATCAATCTTTTGAAAGAACCCTTTATGAACTAAAAGTAAAATATGATTTTAAACAGAAATGAATGTTGTTAAATGTGACTGAGAATAAAAAAAATTAAATAATAACACAAATAACTTCTGAATAATATTTTTCAATATATTTTATTTAACAGGAAACCGCATGGAAGACATGGAAGACTACTCTACAGGTATTAATGGGGCAACTAAGATTTTGAAAGTAAAAAACAACACCTTTCTTCGAAAATAAAATACACTGTTTTACTTTTTAAAAAAAATTTTGTGGTGAAGCATTTTTTTCTGGTCAATTTAGAGTTTAGGGAAAATTCAGGAACCGCCATATCTGATCTGTCAAATCTGTGACTGCAGTGGGAGGAGATCAAAACAAAGAATTCAGGGGCAATGCATCATTTATGAGGGTGGAGATGAAAATGATATTAACCAAGATTGTATTCATAATGTGAGACGATATTTTATAAAACTGTTTGAATATAAAAGCAAATGAAAAATTACATATAAATAGAAAGGAGTTTTCTAGTTAAGTGACAGATAATTTTAAGATCTATTTAAGGAGATTTAATATATTGACAGAAAGGGATTCAAGTCAAATTGGTTCATACACTTTTGTGCAAAAGAAATCCTCAGTATTGGTGCATTCAATACTTAACAAGACTATCTATATATAAATTTGGCTTGTCTGTTTGTTTGCTTGTCTGTTTGTTTGTATCCAATAAACGCCAAAACGGCTGAACCGATCGGGCCCAAATTTTTTGTGGGACATCACGTGACCACAGGGAAGGTTTATGAATGATCAAAATTTAAAATATTTGTCTCCATCAAAATTCAATCTTCATTAAATTTTTGAAAATTTTGAAAATCCACAAAATTTTTTGTGAAAATCCGCGAATTATTTTTGTTTTGTTTTACAATGTACACAAAGAGAACATGTTCACAATTAATTTAGAAGATGGGCGCGAAGCGCCCTTTAAGGCTAGTATACTTAAATTTAAGTAATCCTTAATAGAGAAATAGGCATATTTGATTCACAACAGCACCTCTAAACAGATTTGTTGGGGGAAAATGCACTTTTGTTCATGAAGTATACAGTTCAAAAGTGAAAAACACCTTAGAACATGAAATCTGAGAAAAGATAAAAATAATTTACATTTAAAATACATTTATTTTAAAAGTTTTATACATTTATTTAAATTTTAGACATTCTTTTTACAGCTTTCGTTTAATTTTTTGTTTAGTTATTTTCAGTCAACTGAAAAACTTATCATTCACTAAAAGTTGTACAATAACCCGAGGGTACCTTTTCTAGAAATGTATTTACACCTGAATCATCATTAATAAGTTAGTCAAAAAATTAAACTCATTTAAAATTAAATCCCGATAAAAAAATTCATTCTAGGTTCAGAAAACCGTATGGGACCAGGGGAGACACCAGGTAGTTTGTATACAAAAATATGTAGCAAAAGTGTTCAAGTGTTCAAGTTCCGTTATCTTTCTGAAATTTTCAACCCCTTCTCCCCAGTTGCTGTAAATCTATAATATTTCTACACCCAACTGATTTAGGTTAGTTAACTATTGTAAAAGTTTGGGAAGTAGGTTAACATATTAATTAATATACTTAAGCAAAATCAACAACTTTTTATGTATAGTTATCACCAAAATTTAAACTCATCAAATTGTATTCTCCCGGAGACAATATATGTATGTATATTACTATATACACCAATGTTTACACCCCAAATTCATTTCTGCCAATTTTCAGGCCATGATTACAGTTGCTTGGCCACTGTGGAGGGAATTGAATTGTCTGAAGAAGAATTGAGAGGAGACTTAGTTCCTTGTGGAAAATCTGAAAAATTTAGGAAAAAAATAAAATAATTTTTAAAAATTAACCCGTCCCCCACTCACACTTAATGTGCTTTTTAATTTGAATTTTGTCGTGTTGTCAACTGATTTTGAACCAATTAGGAATTGCGAGGATTTAAAAGAAAGATGAATAGAATAAATAAAATACTGAAGTCCGATTGCACATTGGTTGAAACAGAGTTAATATTTACTATCAGATACTTCTAAGACTAAATATGATTTAGAAACTGAAGATATTTCACTCATTTTTTCTTCTCCACTATTATAAGTAACCTACACTGCTAAATTTTAAGATTTATAGAGATGAAATTTTTGACGGAAAAATGTCTGTGGAGAATTATGAATGCTTCTGGAACTGTAATGAAAAAGCTGAAGGTAAAAAAAAATAATGATTCAAATGTCCCTGAATTAATAAACTCGTTGAATTGAATATTGCTTCTAAAATTATTTCTTTTAGACATTTTGAAATGTTTAACTTCAACAACTTTGGCCAGTTATTTAATTGACTTTTCAGTTATTAGCTGAAATATGCGACGTTGCCCAGGTTTCTCATAGTTATTTTTGCTGTTTTCCCGCGCTTGGTCTTAAATTATGATTTTAGCTGAAGTGCCTGGTCTTACCCCAGAATTTCTGAAGGTTCTGAATTTATTTTGGAAAACTTAGATTGTCTAAAGAGACTGTACATGTAATTTCAAGTGTCTCTGGTAACCATGTGATGTCAGGGTACACACTGAACAATTACTCAATCTTCAGTTAGAAAAATAAGAATATTTTCCATATTTCAGTTTAGCACAATTATTTTGCAGTTATTTTTGGGTACCAAGTTAAAGTGGAGAACAGAATGATGATGATTAAAACAGGAAAAGATGGTAAATCAAATTAATTTTATATTAAAGGAAATAATTAAAAGGGGGGGGGGTCAGACTGAATCCTAAAAAAGTCAAAATTTGATTCCCACTAATATTATTTCTATCTGACTTCTTGAATCAAATCACATGAAATTAAATATTTATTAAACAAAGATTTTATAAAGATTCACATTATTAATCGGCCATAAATATCCATATAAAAACTATTCAAATGATGACATAATATCCATCACAGAAATTATTATAGATATTCACTTCATCTACCAGATTATAAAATAAAAGAATTAGTGCTTTCTGAATGAATAAACCATTCAGATTTTCCCACCTCCATATTTCTTGAATCAGTTTTCTTTAGAGGGAAGTTCAAATAATAGAAAACTGGGTGGAGATGCAGGTATGAACTTACTTTTGTAAATTCTTCTGGTTCTGGATTTAAGTTCTATTTTATAGATTTTCCATTGACTAGTTATTTTTTCAAAAATTAACTTTAGAAATATCTTTATTTTGGTTACAAAAAAAACGATAGATCATTAAACCTGTTTCCAGTTCATTTTTAATTCTTTCTATTTTTTGTTTTCCTCAAGGATGATTAAAAGATGTGTTTATATGGTTGTACCCTATAAACCATAGTGAATAATTGTTTTACACAGGGTGATCTTGCTTACTATTTTTCCTTAATCTTAACGACTGATTACCATTTGAGACAGACAATTTGAAAAAATTGTTATCAGACACATTTGCGTTGATTTACTAATGACTTAAGGAAAATGGAACTCTCAGACCCAATTGAGTTGTTCCTTTTGTCCTTTTTTCTGTCAAACATAAAAAAAATAACAAAAAAGGTTGAGATCAGCTGTGCAAATATCATGTCCATCAGTACCCATCTTGTCTATTACTTGTCAAAAGTGCAACACTCTGACTAGAACATGCAGCCTCCAATCCCCTCGCAAATAATAACTTTTCACAGCATTATGAAGTTCAAATTCTATGAAATTTTTCAAAAAAAATAACAACATATTTTATTTTTGTTGAATTTACAACAATATTTGAAAAGCATATTTTCGTTACCATGTTTTATCACTATAGTCATATAGGGTTACTTTCCAGGGGGAAGACACATATTTATTTTAATCTGCAGAATTTGTAAAAAAAAATAAACAAAAACAGAAAAAACGGAAATAATTTTTACTTTCTTACCTACCTTTCAAAAATCGCTTAACACAAAATACATATTACTACCTCAAATGTCAAAAGACTAAACTCTTAAGTTTTATCATGAGAAACATAAAATTATGTTGAACCAAAATAACATTTCAGCTGACAGTTGCATAACCCTTGATGATGGAACAGAAATAAAATCAGATGTTCAAATCCCCTGCACACAAGAAATTCTTAGGAAAATTAAACTATTGAAAAAAAAAAACTCAATGACCCAGATAAGATTTATAGTTGGTTAAAATTGGGAGTTTTGTTTCAAAATAAATATACTCTTTTAGTTTTCAGAAATCCATCAATTAATACAAATACCTGCAAAATCTTTATGCACATCAATTATTATGGTAACAGAAAAACTTGATGCTGTAAAATCTTGAAAGATATATGCATACTTAAGTCAAAAATTTTCCACCCCAGATGCAAATTTAACTATCCAATCAACATTTTTTGTTGATTTTTACTTTTCATGCTTGCATGGTTATTTTGGTTTTAGTTATTTTGATCTCCAGAAATTTTGGAGATCAACAAGCTTTCGAGGATGGGATGATGTGCACTTGCTCTAGGGATGGGAATCAATGTAAGATTTAGAAACATTTTATAGATTTTTTCTTTTTTATGAATTCACCTTTGATAATAATTAAGATTATAAATAAGATTAAAAGAAGGAAATTTGAAAAAAACACTCACCACAACTACTAATTTTCAATCCTTATTTTTGCAACCTCACATTGTAAACTTTGATGTTTGAAACTTAGAATTCTGTTAGCTATAATAATCATCAGTTAAAGATTATTTAGTCCCTCCAGCTAAAATTTCTCAGCAATCTCACATTCTAAATTTTCATATTTTTCTCTTGTACTTCTTTTAATTTAGAATTTAGAAAAATTTCTCCCTGTACAAAAAAAAACTATTGATAATTTAAATATTTGAATTTTCAGATAGTATGAGCATTCAACATAAAGGTATATTTCATATATATATATATAATTAAAAACTATTTAAAAACTATGTATATTTTACACATTTTTTGTTTAGGAATCATGAGTGAAGGCACCGGTAAACCCTTTTTCATTTTTTTTCATTTCTAAATACCTTTAATCTTTTAAAATGATGGTATATGTGAAAAAACTTTTAAAATAAACACGTTTTTTAGACCTTAAAGAGTTTGATGATGAAAACGCTGCAAAGAAAGGTAGCATAACATCTCAGAATAATCAAAATAAATTTAGATTGGAATTTTTTTAATGATTTTAAGCAATTTTGTGCTTGCTAAGATTTATAAATTTTTGATTTTAATATCTGTCTCATTTTAAGGCATATTTAAAAAAGCATGCAGGGTGTCCCAAAAAAACGTTCTTTAAGGTTCTACAAATTTCTTCATGGTTTTATTTTTTATTTAGTTATTGAAATTTTTAAAATATCAGCAACATTTCCGATCTACAGACACAAAAATATAATCATAATGATGGCCATAGACTATTATAGTAACTGAAAGAGTTTTATAATGAGACAACCTGAATATCAAGCAACATTCATTACTTGCCACAAACACTAATTTTCTGATTTTCCAACTTTGAAATTTAGTGTTAAACCTTTGAATTTTTAACTTTTGCTTTATCATTTTATTGTCTATCATTTTTCCCTTCTAATATCAGGGGAGGACTGCATGCCTTTTGGAGAGGGAGCAATGATGAAAGTAGATGAACCAGTTCCTTGCACTCCGGAAATATTTAGGACAATAACACTTTTCATATAAAAAACAGTTATCTTACTTTATAAGGTTCACACTCAAAGTCAAAGCCAAAAATATGAATCAATGTGTTTTTCATACAAGCAAAGAAGTTCTAAAAAACGGCCTAGATTTTTTAAGAAAAATTTGTATTTTCATTTTCGGAAAATTTTTGAATTTGTCACGAGATTACCCTGTATTGTCATGTATTAAAGTGTATATTCTACAGAGCCTTTAATATGCCAGCAGAAAAGGATAAGGAAGGATTAGTGTGTTCATGTAAAAAGAATGGAAACAAATGTAAGTATATCACTGATCCAAATAAGTTTTAATAATCCAAAGTGTGTTTACAAATAATCTAAACTCTTACATCTACTTTTTTCTTCTCCCAAATCAAAATGAAGAAATAAGAATACTTTAATATAATTTTATAACTGGTGATCCAACCCCTTTTTAAATTCTATAATCTGAATTTGTAGTTGGTCTCTCAATGTCTGGGTCAATGCCCTCAGGTGAGTAATTTTAACTAAATTTTATCACAAATAACAATTGCTGTATTCTAATTTTCAAATCAGCCGGGCCAATAAAGTAGAATTAGAGAAAATTGAGCCAAGATGAGGAGGAAAAATAAAGTTGTAACCAGTGAAAAAATTTCCAGATTCAATATCTGAATATTGTAAAACACCACAATCTTGCCTTGGCTTGTCCTTACGCTTTATTGTCCCACTCCTGGCTGAATGTTTTGCATTTATGCATGATCAATGGTCATGCACTTTTTTTTGTTCACTAGATTCCTAGAACTATTGTTTTACTCACTTATAGGAATTTGGGACAAAAAGGACCAACAATCTAAAATCAAAATAACTAAGAAATGACTATTTTGTTTTAAAGCCAAAAGACACTTGAATTAATAAGGGTTGCCTTTATCAAGATGTCCAAAAGACATTTCCAAGCAACTCTAATTTCTTTTCATCTTTGCAACCTGATAAAATTTAAAACTTTGCTTGTTTGCAATCAAAACTAAATTTTTGAAAGGTCTGTGTTTATAAAAGAAAATATTTGTAGGATCAGGGAACCGTATGGAACCAGGAGAGGCACCAGGTAAAACTTTTTTCAATAGATTTTTTGAAGAAAAAATAGATAATTACGTGCTGTTAAAAGTAAAACCTAAAACCTAAATTGATTAGATTATTAAGCTAAACATTAATAAGATTTATTTTTTAGAAAATGACCTTTCAACCAGAGAAACAACAGGTTTGTATAATTTTTTTTTCAACCTTTTTTTTGATAAAGAGAATTGTTGTGTTAAATTTTCAAACTAAGTATTTATGCACACAAACTTGACTTGCTGATTTATCAAATACAAAAAAAAACTATCAAAAATAGTAAATTAGGACTCGTAAACATGTAGACTGTTCTATATTCCCATAAACATAAACCACAGCAATCATGCATGTGTCACTGTTAAGCTTTTGTTTTAAATAACCCAAATACACATAAGTTTGCTAAAATGTTGTTTTTTATATCACAGTTTTATGAGTTTGCTTAACATACATCTTCCTATTTCACAGGTTTATGAGTTTGCTTAACATACATCTTCCTATTTAACAGTTTTATGAGTTTGCTTAACATACATCTTCCTATTTCACAGGTTTATGAGTTTGCTTAACATACATCTTCCTATTTCACAGGTTTATGAGTTTGCTTAACATACGTCTTCCTATTTAACAGTTTTATGAGTTTGCTTAACATACATCTTCCTATTTAACAGTTTTATGAGTTTGCTGAAATGTTGTCTTCCAAATCCACAGTTCTTTGAGTTTGCTTTAATGTTGTCATCCAAATCCACAGGTTTATGAGTTTGCTTAACATACATCTTCCTATTCAACAGTTTTATGAGTTTGCTTAAATACTGTCTTCCAAATCCACAGTTCTTTGAGTTTGCTTTAATGTTGTCTTCCAAATCCACAGGTTTATGAGTTTGCTTTAATGTTGTCATCCAAATCCACAGGTTTATGAGTTTGCTTAACATACATCTTCCTATTTAACAGTTTTATGAGTTTGCTTAACATACATCTTCCTATTTCACAGGTTTATGAGTTTGCTTAACATACATCTTCCTATTTCACAGGTTTATGAGTTTGCTTAACATACGTCTTCCTATTTAACAGTTTTATGAGTTTGCTTAACATACATCTTCCTATTTAACAGTTTTATGAGTTTGCTGAAATGTTGTCTTCCAAATCCACAGTTCTTTGAGTTTGCTTTAATGTTGTCATCCAAATCCACAGGTTTATGAGTTTGCTTAACATACATCTTCCTATTTCACAGGTTTATGAGTTTGCTTAACATACATCTTCCTATTCAACAGTTTTATGAGTTTGCTTAAATACTGTCTTCCAAATCCACAGTTCTTTGAGTTTGCTTTAATGTTGTCTTCCAAATCCACAGGTTTATGAGTTTGCTTTAATGTTGTCATCCAAATCCACAGGTTTATGAGTTTGCTTTAATGTTGTCATCCAAATCCACAGGTTTATGAGTTTGCTTAACCCTATCTCTGCTGGGGTACTTGAAAACCAGGATATGCTGGGGGGGAGTCAATTTGATCCCCCCTCTAAATCCCATGTTTGATGTCCAAATATGACAAATTAAACATCATTGGAAAGCTCTTGTGCTCTACTTTTAGAATCTGCAAAAAAATTGAAAATTTGTAAAAATTGAATTTGTTATCCCAAAATCCAGTTATATAGTAAAAATGTTTGCAAAAAATATTTGTCCAAAAAATGAAAAATTATACAATTTTGAAAATCCCTTGACCATGCTATTTCAAATATGCAAAAATGTTTGCAAAATTTTTGATAACCTGTTTTATAATCAAGAAAAACTAAAAATGTGCAAATTTCCTTTGACAGGTTGTTTGCAATTCTTTTCTCACAAAATTTGTTCAATTCGTTTCCTTATGTCAAAGGCTTTCCAAAATGCTAAATTTTATCAAAATCTGACAAGTGGAAGTGGGTCAAAACAAAGATTTAGTTTGTTACATGAAAAAGCAATCATTCAGGCAGTGTGCCTGAGGACTCAGGCAGTTAGTATTAAAGCCCGGTTTTAGGCCTAAAGGGAGGGCTTTGGGTATGTAGGAAAAATTAGAATAATTCAACAGCCTCAGATAAATACTTTTTGAAATATGTAAAAAAAAAAAAAACTACAGGAATAGGGTTAACATAAGTCTTTGTATTCTACAGTTTTATGTGTTGCTTAACTGTTGTCTTCTTATTCAACAGGTTTATGAGTTTGCTCAAATGTCGTCTTCCTATTTATCAGTTTTATGTGTTCCACTGTAGATGGTGAGGAGGAGTGTGTACTGCCTGATGAGGAGGATGGTATGCCTGTAGGAGAACCTGTACAGTGTACAGCCAATATATTCAGGAAATATACAAATATGTACTTTCTTTGAATTTTTTTTTGAGTTTCTTTACTCTTACTTTGTACTTTATACCATAAAGAAAGGAATTGATGAGGTAAAGTTTACCTCAGATGTACACAATTGATAGTAGAGTAGTCGGTTATGTACATCACAATATGTTTATGTATTTAACATTGTACACTGTATATAGAGTGATTGTATTTCTTGGGGTTTGTAAAATGTAGATAATTGAATATTTGTATAGATAATTAGATAGACACTTACTATGGATTGTAAACACATGATTGTATATTGCACAGTACATTCTAGTTCAGTTTTTGTTTTTGTTAATAAAAGTATGACCAAATATTGCATACAACCGACCACTCTATTAATTAATTAATATGGAGGTTGGTCCGGGGTAAGCTTTACCTCTTCGTTTTCTTTCTCTATGCTTTAAACATACCAATATCAGTATTAATTGAATATTTTAACAGAGCTTTTGGATTAGTTGGTGAAGATGCTCCTGATCCAAGTAGTTCTCTTTGCTCATGCTTCAAAGATGGACCACTAAAATGTAAGTTAACCTACAGGACTACCTTCAAAGATGGACCACTAAAATGTAAGTTAACCTACAGGACTACCTTCAAAGATGGACCACTAAAATGTAAGTTAACCTACAGGACTACCTTCAAAGATGGACCACTAAAATGTAAGTTAACCTACAGGACTACCTTCAAACACAAAGGATGAGACTTTATGACCTACAAATCTGTAAAGATCTATTGATTTGATAAGTTTCTACTTGACACTACAATGGTAAACCCGTTGATATCTCCAACTGTGTGTGTTCTGATTATCAAATTATCATATAAGTAACGAGTGTGAGATATCTACCAGCCAAACTAACGTCCACAAAAGTATTTAATTAAGACTAACTCCAATTCAATTCCATACAACTGTATCTCTAAAGTCTCATTGTATATGGGAAACCAACAAATTAATTCATTGTTCCACTGGAAATCTGGCAAAATGTTTAAATAAATGAAAATATTTCAGACCAGTTGCAAATGAACTCTAAATATTCTGTTGGGATCAGTACAGGTATACAAAATTCCTACTGCAAAACTTTCACTGTAAAACTTTTAAAGTATTATATTTTGCATTGATACTTAATTTTGTATATTATGTTCAGATGACAAGTTTTGTATATTATGTTCAGATGACAAGTTTTGTATTTTATGTTCAGATGAAAAGTTTTGCATTTTTACTGAGGATTTCTCTACAATCCCAACTGGAGAAGAAGTGGAGTGCAATAATGTCATTCTTAGGAAATATTCATATTTAACTTTAGAAAATTTTTAAGGGACATTGAAAAGTGGCATGTCCATTTGACAACAAATTTAATTATCCAATTAACCCTAAACAAAAAGTTAATTGGTTGATTATTAAATTTTAGATAAAAAACTTTAAGCTTATCAATTTCACGTAGACAAATGTGTAAATGGTATCATTGTGAATTGGATGTGCAGCCCTTTAAATGGAGGGTCTCTTAGAGTTAGAGTTTACATGTTTCATTATTGGTGAAAAGATCCTTAGACTTAGTGATGCTAAATAATAAATAATTAGATTTTGATGACAAATTTCCCTTTCCATTATAGATACTTTTTTGTGTTTTATGAATTTGTAATTGATCAGAGCTTTCACTGGTCAGAAAGAAAATGATGCTACTGGTTTGAAATGTACATGTACTAAGAACCAGAATGGAAACGGTAATATTCACCTTAGGACATTTTAATATTTTCGTTGAAAAACAAAACACAAATGTTATTTTATTTTCAGCTTTTTTGAGCTACACATCTTCTTGAAGGTAATTTATAATATATTTTTTAATCATTTTTTATAAATCATCTTTTTTAGATAAAAGGAGAGATGCTATCCAGAACCAAAGATGTTTAAATGTGTTGGTTTTTTGTTATATCATTATTGTATTTAAAAATATTAGCAAAATAAATGTTTTAGAATTTAGTGACTATTATTGCTAAAAATTTGAACTATTATTATACAAATTATTTTGTTTTCAACCTTTTATGAAAGGTAATTTATAATGCCTTCTTTGTATCAATATACTTCAGTTAATATGTAATGTACTAACAACCCGTAATACCCATAAGGGCCTCCATATTTTGAAGCATTTTTATTTAAAAAAGAGAACTTTTGTGCCAGTCTCTTCACCAATATTTTTGTAAAGGCATGTTCCGTTATAAAATCTAGGTTCATAAAAATAAGAAGAAGAGCAGTTATACAATGTAGAAGAAAAAAACTTCAAGTTTTAGTTATTGTAAATAATGAATTTAAAAAACTAACATCCCTTATGCACAAGCTATTTATCTGTAGGGCTGGGCAAGTTCTGACGTTCTTTTTCTAGCCTTTCGTTAACAGTTAGCTAAAGCCTATTAATTTTTTTGAGGTAGCTGTTCATTTTTTAGCTAAAAACAGAATGTTCATTTCATTAACTGTATTTAAAGCTGTATGTTTTTTAAAGCTACCGATAATTAACAATATCAATATTAATAATGGCGTTAACAGCAGATATTTTAGAAATTGTTACAAGGCCAGCCATGAACAAGCTGTAAAACGATTTTTTGAATGTAAAAATAGATTGAAAAGTTCGAAGACATCAAAACATGTAAAAAAACATCCTATTGCAATATAAAATTCTATGATTCAACATTTTAGTGAGGGAAAAATTTTAAAGACCGTGTTTTAAAACCTCAATGCATAATAAGTTTTCTTTTAATTTTCTGCAAGAGCATTGAATCAATCATTTGGGAATGATATTATAGTATATGAATAAAAATCAATAAAGCAATGCACTGAGTTTCTCAAATATTCAACGAGTCGGTTTTTCTTACAATATATTTATATACAAAAGATGCAAAAATACAAACTTTAAATCAAACGATACAAATACAAACTTAAATATTATGAATCAATCAGTTTCAACAAGTAGGGGAATTCTTCAAGGGAACCTTAATTCAAGGGAGCTGAATCACAACTGCCTTTTTTCCCTCTATTTCGCTCCACCCTTAGTTCGCATTCTACCCCACGCCCTGTGAGCTGGCCGGCCAGCTCACCAGCTCCCGGGTTCGGAGATAACGGATTTCTCCGCGTGGCTTGGGTTAAATATAGAAACCAAACATAAACAAGAAAACCCGTTAAATATCAGTAAAAGGNTAACAGAATTAATAGTTTGAAATATCTAAGGTCTACGACATTGGGTTGCCAAGATATAGGAATACAAATATTTGAGTTTGTGGCGAAAACTCAGTTCCTTTTCCCCTCACATTCCTGAACCCATCTCTACAATTCCTTACTTGGATATGTTAGGATTTACTTTTTATGCTAATATATAAATCATTAATGCGAAAAGAAAACTTATTTTGCGACACTATTCATTTCTCTAAAGTACAATATTTATTGTTGTATGTATTCTCTATGCAAACAATGTGAATGGCCTTGAAGTGTTTAATTTTCACGGATTTACAAGTTCTAGTTGACCGTACATGTATAGCCGGGATTTACAAGTTCTAGTTGACCGTACATGTATAGCTGGGATTTACAAGTTCTAGTTGACCGTACATGTATAGCTGGGATTTACAAGTTCTAGTTGACCGTACATGTATAGCCAGGATTTACAAGCTCTAGTTGACCGTACATGTATAGCCTGGATTTACAAGTTCTAGTTGACCGTACATGTATAGCCTGGATTTACAAGTTCTAGTTGACCGTACATGTATAGTCGGGATTTACAAGTTCTAGTTAACCGTACGTGTATAGCACGGAATTACACGTTCTAGTTGACCGTACATGTATATAGCCGGGATTTACAAGTTCTAGTTGTACAAGAAATTGAGTTTTTGCCACAAATGCCAATTTTATAATATCTAAATCTCATCAATCAGATGAAATATATACGGTCTACGACATTTGGTTTTAAAGAAATTTGGATTTAAAAATCCGAGTTTGTGGCAAAGACTCAATTCCTTTTTCTCAACTACTCTGTTAAAAGTGGGATTTTAAATAATTATATCCGATTTACAATGCAAGGCATTTAAATCGTCGTTCAGTTTAACGAGAACAAATTAAAATTACAGTGTGGAGGTAATTTAAGTTATTAGAATGCTGATATAAATTGAATTAGATTGACACTAAAAAATGATTTGTGTACGATAAGGCTGTTTAGTGTTTTTTAAACATTAGTTATTAATGCTTTTTCATGCATATAATGATTGTTAAAAGTTGTACTAAACAAATTAGATTTTTAATGAATTTTTAATGCTTTAGAATGGATTTGTCTACATGTGTATTGAAGTTGGATCATAGTGTAGGGGACCCTCAACCTTATCCTAACTTCAGGTAAAGAAATTGAGTCTTTATGTTTTTATTTTCTAATCCCTATATCTTATCAACCCCAGGTAGAGTGCCTAAGGTTGAAGTAAATTTTAATATATTTAAGATGTAAAATCCTTACTTGATTTCATTGATGTTTCACTTGACATAAATATGACCGATCAGACACCCCTTGTAGTAATTGAAATTTCAGCCTCAATAGAGGGGGTAAGTTCAGGGTGAGGTTGATCCCGGGTTTGGCTGCAATGATTTTCAATTTTCAGAGAAATAAACTCCATTGCCTGACTTCGTTATCAAACTCAGACAGGTTTTTATTTAGAATTTTTGCCTCAAAAATAATTCTGTTGTAACGTAAACTAGAAGTGTTTCTGTCAATTTTAATCTTTCTCTTTTGTCTTGGCTTAATGTATAGAAAATGAATGTACAGACAAAGCAGATAAGGTTCTACAGAACAATATATATCATGTACACTACAGTCAAAACAGATATTGTTCAATAGAGCTATAACAAAACAGACAAAACAGATATGGTTCAATAGAACAATAAGTAAACAGAAAACAGATACAGTTTAATAGAACAATTAATATACAGTCAAAACAGATATGATTTAATAGAACTATAACAAATCAGAAAAAACAGATATGGTTCAATAGAACAGTTAATATACAGACAAAGCAGATATGGTTTAATAGAACTTTAAATAAGCAGAAAAAAACATATAAGTATGCAGACAAAACAGATATGATTCAATAGAACAATAAGTATACAGAAAAAAAGAGATATACAGAACAATTAACATACATTCAAAACAAATATGGTTTAATAGAACTATAACTATACAGAGAAAACAGATATGGTTCAATAGAACAGATAATATACAGACAAAACAGATATGGTTTAATAGAACTATAACTTAACAGGGAAAACAGATATTGTTCAATAGAACAACACATATACAGACAAAACAGATATTGTTCAACAGAACAATACATATACAGACAAAATAGTTATATGTTAACAGAACAGTAAATCCACAGACAAAACAGAAATGGTTTAATAGAATAGATAATATACAGACAAAACAGAAATGGTTTAATAGAACAGATAATATACAGACAAAACAGATATGGTTTAATAGAACAATTAAAATATAGACAAAACAGATATGGTTTAATAGAACAATACATATACAGACAAAACAGATATGGTTCAACAGAACAATACATATACAGACAAAACAGATATTGTTCAACAGAACAACACATATACAGACAAAACAGTTAGATGTTAACATAACAGTAAATCCACAGACAAAACAGAAATGGGTTCATAGAACAATACATATACAGACAAAACTGATATAGTTCTACAGAACAATACATATACAGACAAAACAGATATTGTTCAACAGAACAATACATAAACAAACAAAACTGATATGGTTCTACTTACAGAAAAACAAATAAAGTTCAACCATATTTTAATGACCATTAAATATTTTAGACAAATCCCTGGATTTCCTGTGTATGGTGTAGGTCAACCTACAGAGGCTGGCTTTTCACAGTTAGCTGAAAAGATCCCGAAGGAAACCCATCAGAATTTTGTGATTTGAAGTTTTCCCTTTCCCAAATGCAAGAAGGGGAGGGGGTTATTCTTAAAAATGTATACCCCTGGAATTTTATTGACTTGAAATTTGTTGTCTGGTTTATCAGTTCAATTTTTTTAATGTGTTCATACTACATAATTAAGAACATGCTTGATCAACAAACATATTCATGAAATTATCTAAGGGAAAATTTCCAAATTTTGATGATGGTTGCCATTAGGAAAAAACTATTTGGTTTAATGTCCGTCAGGAACCAGTAGTGTACATTAATGGTCTCCCCTGCGCCCCAAGAACGAAAGATAATTTGCACGAGAATATAACACTCTCTCTTAAACAGGCTGAACTCAACGACTTGCAGGTTAGAACACATTTCATCAGGATCATTTAGGAATCATTAGTTAGACATGAATGGGCCACAATGCTCTCAGCTTTCAAACCTGTTTTCTTAAAATCTCAGATGTTGATGCATTAAATTGTGTCTGAGCACAAAAGGTGCATATTTAGACATCACAGTCGAGACTTAATTTAGTGTTGCCTGAAAAACGATTTATCAAAAGGATTTCCCCAATATATTGCATAATGCAATAAAAGAAAGAGCATACAAAAAAAGTGAATATTGAGCTCTATTTGGGAGATCATTAAATCAATTCAAAAATAAGGTCAGGCTGATTTAAATTCAAAATTTTTTTATGAAACCTCAATGTCAGTATCCAGAGGCAATGTTTAATTGAAAAAAAGAAATCTAATTGCATACTGCCTCTGAAGTACTGTGGGCCAATATATTTTAATTTAAACAAACAAACATTCAAATTTACATTAAACATTAGAAATTAATACCGATTTACCATCTGCATAGCTTTATGTTATATGGTACACAACATGCCGGCTTGAAAGTGAGACTAGTATACTTTAATTGAACCAGAGTTTTTAGTGAACTTAAACATCCAGTTGTTTAAGGAGAATGTCCTAAAAATAGATTTTTCATTGTTAAGGTCAAGTTTGCTAAAAGTATCGATGGTATGCAGAAGGATGGCTGTCTGGAACTCCATAAAGACAAGGACTTCCAAGAGAATCCTATGGAGAGGGAGGACTTTGCTGACACAGTTAAAACTGAATCTATCAAGGTTAAACCATATTTAGGCATTATGATTTCGTAATTATTACCAAGTTTGAAAGTATTGGAGAAAAAAATGTAGTTTGGCAATCAGGGTATTTAAATTGCACATTACACATGAAACTAGAACACTCTGTTCTGGTTTAAACATTTCTATTTTAAGAATTGTAATTATCTAAAGGCTCTAATTGTAATTTCAAGTTATTTACATTTAAAGAGGAGACTCCCAAATTCACTACAGTACTCCTTAAACCTTTAAACCTTTGACTGATTCGCTTTTAATTGCAAAAAGCTGATTTAAGAAATATCCATAGTTACTTTCTAGAATTTGAGGATCATATGAAATTACGCTTACAGTGCAGTGGCTTAACTTGATTTACCTCTTTCAACATTAGTTGAACATAAGTTACTCACATTTCATTCTTTGCTTCAAGAGTTCAGCTTTGCCTTTGACATTTTGCACAGCCTTTTGCAGGAAAAGAGACTTAAAGATAAATCCTGCAATTTTACTATTGTTCTAAAGATGTTTTAGATTTTCAAGTTTGCCAAATAAAATGGAGTATAAGCCTTTAATCCAAAACTTACGTTAAAATCAGGAGTAAACTCAACTTTTCATTATATTCTTAGTTTGACCCCAACCCCTCCTTCTATGTTAGGGTGTACAAAATGTTGCTTGAATGCTTTATTTTGTTGAGATTTACTAACATTTACTAAGGAATTGAGTCTTTGTAACAAACTCTGGTATTCTAATCCCATATCTTTTCAAACCAGTGCTGTAGACCTTAGATATTTCAAACTATGAATTATGTTAGATTAAAGGATTCAAGTCTGAAATATCAAAGGTTTACACCAACCGATTGCAGAGATATAGGGAATTGAAAATTGGAGTTTGTGGCAAAAACTCAATTCCTTTGCTTTGAATTTAGGATTTTAACAGTATCATCGCTGGGCTTGCGGAAACTTCTATGCCAGGGCTAACAGTGGTGCGAGTACCCTTCCAGGTAATCAACCTTCCAGCCTTAGAACGTCACGATGACCTCTCAACCTTCCAGCCTTAGAACCTCATGACATCTCAACCTCTCAGCCTTAGAACCTCATGAGTTCTCAACCTTAGAACCTCATGACCTCTCAACCTCAGAACCTTAAGACATCTAAACCTCTAAGCCACAGAACCTCATGACCTCTCAACCTCAGAACCTTCCAGCCTCCAACCTCAGAACCTCAGAACCTCTCAACCTCTAAATCTCAGAACCACTCAACCTCAGAACCTCTCAACCTCAGAACCTCTCAACCTCAGAATTTATCTAAAAATAAGTTATCCAAATATTTTCTGTCCGAAATGTGTCATATCGTCTAACCTGGGACAAATTAAAAAAAAATCAAAGAGATTTGAGAATTTAGAATAAATTTTTATATTTTTAAATTTTAAGTTGAAAACTAAATGTATTTTCCACACACACACTTTTAAAATTTATTTCATGGCATAAACGTTCAAACTTTATTTAGAACTACATAAAGCATATTTGTTTAGGACAAAATATTATCAAATATTGTTTCATTTTTAAATTGATAGATCGTAAACAAAGTTTGTACTTCAAATAACAAAATCAACCCTTTTAAAAGTTTGTTGTGAGGAAAATGGAATCAATAAACCCTCGACTTGTCTAAGCTCCATTCATCACTAAGTCACTTAATGGAGAAACCGCTAAGCTGTAAATGATCAATTTTTTGATAAAATAATTAAAATACAATTCAGATTTGCTTAAAGTAAATTGTTGTAAATTTGGCATGTTGTTCTTTAAATAGAGGGCTGGCCAATTGAGACTTCTTCGGCAATCTCTTTAAAGAACATTTCTATTTATGATTAGTCTAGCTTCATCTATGTGCCACTAGCCATTTGAAGTATTGGAAATAGACTGAACATGATGTAAAATTAGTTAAAAAGATTTTCAGGCCCCAACAGGTGCTGAACCCCCCCCCCCCCCTGGAAAAAATTAACACTTCCTGAGTACACCCCCGATATTCATGATATATGATGCAAAATTGGGTAGAAAACCAAATGCATAATCCCCTTCTAGTGAGATTAATGTTAGACATATTTCAGGAGGAAAGACCACTGCCTGAAGACTGCTTTGATATAATTGTTTCCCAGTTAGCAAATGAATCCCCCTCAACCACCCAGTGTGTCTTCAACAGTCAGGCGGGGAAAGGAAGGTCTACTATGGGAACTGTCATTGCCTGTATTATTAAGGTATGTTAATTCAGTATTCATATATCAATTAGGAAGATTTACAACCTTGTTTCTGTTCAATACTATTAGAAAAATTAACAAAACGGAGAGGTTTATAAAGAAGGTGATTGTAAAGTTGCATTTTGTTACCAGTTTCATGTTTTTAACAACATTAAGGGTAGATATATCAAATATTCATTAACTGCTGTCACCGTCCTGTTAATTCATTCATCTAATGAATGGGTTCAATTTCAAAACATATAAAATTGGTCATTAAAAAACATCATTACCGAATTTGAAAAAAGTTATTCATTTTTGTTTTCCTGCAATTTAAGCAAAAAAATTCCACGATTTTCAACGTTTTGTATAAAATGCATTCTATTCTTACATCTATCCTTTTTTGTCTCGAACAGTAAATTTTTCCTGTTAATAATTCAAAAGTATGGCTTATTCTGTTCATATAACAGGGATTTTCTGTTAATTTTCAAAATGACTTTTGTTGGCATGTTACATCAGATATAAAAGCATTAATGGTCACTGTCCTTAAAAAGCAAAGTGAAAATAAAATAGTAAATGAGGTTAATAAAATGTTTATCTGATTTATGAGACAAGCTTAACTTAGACCTGATAAACAAGATCATTAAAGAATGCTGTAAACAAATAAAACACTTATAAGGATATAAATTTTGTCGATATGCACCACTACAGGTAAGCAGGCTGCTTAAAGTTTGCTAGAGGCGCACTGCACTTTAAATTTGAAAATAAAAATAAAACCTGTTCATCTAACAGAATAAGAAAATTATATATATAGTCAAACAAATCAGGGTTGAGTGAGGAATTTGGGCTTAGGTATCATTATTAAATTGTAAAAGGACAGAATATGCATAACAAATCTATGATCAAACTGATTTGATTAAAAAATCTTATTATATCTTACCCATCACAACTTCAACAGCCCAAATATGCACAAAGTACAGGGTGAGAATGGGATTGGTAGGTTTAGACTAAAATTAAATCTCTTAACAGCTAACTATAACAAAAATTTAACCAGTCATATTCAGATCTTTAATGTTCCATACCTATTTCTTTATTTTTACAATTACTGAGATTTAAATAATATCCTTGTTAATAATTCTGAGAAGTAAACCCAATTGAAAAATTTTCAAGACAATCTGGGTTAGGGAGCATCTCAGCTACAATTCTGGGACTTCTGGACCCCTGGCTCTGCGCACTTGAATTTCCTGAATTATTTTGTGTGACCTATTGCTTCAAGATCTACAAATATCCATCGCACTTTGTTTATTTTTTATTTCTAGGCTTCCCAGATGATAATTAAGCTGAACAAGATGGTGGAAGAGGGGATGGCAGAGAAAAGTTGGGCCGATGGGATTATCAGGAATATAAACTGTTAACAACACAAAAGGGGTACATATTTTAAAAATTACTCCCCCTCCCCTATTTAATAGAGATTGGGGAATGATTTTCAATAATTAGATGAAAAAATGTAAAATTTGTTATCAACCAGCAAGTTGTACACCTTGTTCATTTTTTCAATCCAAAAATTCAATTATTTACCCCTTACTGTGTATTTGGGTATTGGATTATGCAAGATAGTTTAATCTCAGCTTTAGTGAGGATTAAATTGTCTTTAGAAGTTAATTGCTGCTGGCAAAAGCAAATATAAAATCACTTTTTGTTATCAGCCAATAATAACAAGGATAAACTATCAATATATCATCTTATTATTTAGAATAATCCTGGACAAATATTTCATAATTATAAAACAAATCGTAATAATTTAAACAAAAGATCTGTAAGAACAAACAGTTACCTGATTTTCCTATACAGTTGCATTGAATTAACTAAGAAATTAAATTAGTACCTTCATGTCCAGATTTATACAAAAAATGTTCTTGTTAAATGACTCTTTTTAATTGTTTCCCACTGTGTTGTCAACAGCTGTTGATTAGGAAGAAATTTGAGGATCCTCTCCCCAGTGAAGATCTTAAAGATCCCTTCTTAAGGAATACCAGCAATCATCAAACACATGCGCAAAAAAATGTTTCATTTCATATTGATAATAGTAATTTGAACTGCCGTTCTGTCTACAAACAGAAAATAATTGTATCATCTTTTTTCAAGAATTGTTCTGATATAAATCTAAAATATTTATTAATTCTGATTTCTTGCGTAATTTGCAGAGGAGAGTTTGATGTCATCAAGGAGCTCCTTGAATCAGTTCCAGAGTGTGCTGAGGGTAAAGTCCTGGCAGATAAAATGATTGATATGTGCGGAGTTCCACCAGAAGGAACAGGACTTCAGAATATCAGGTCAGTTTGGTACACTTTTATGTTTCATTAAAGGATGTGCCATGGCGAAACATGAGATATGTGCAGTTTAATTTCATGTGTCATTGCCTATTAAAGCTTGAAATGGTTCAAGAACACCAAGTTGGTAAATTTCAATTGTATCTATCACAAGAAGCCTTGTACCAGTCAAGAACATACGGTCAGTATGGTACAATTTTTATCTGTCCACAGAGGCAGTGCCATTGCAAGAACTGTAAGTTTTTATCCTACAATTTCATATGGCAATTGCTGTGCTAGTTTACAAACACCAGAGATGAGATTTTAAAAGCTTAAACCCGAGTAAAACCTGGGCTATCTGCTAAGACCCAAGTAAAGCTCAAGTCAAGACCCTGGTTTTGGATGGCCTTGAGTTCAGTAAAAACCAACCATCTTGAGTTTTTCTCTCTTTAATGCTCTAGTCTTAAGCAGCTGATGATCGTAAGTTTCATAAAATCTTTTATATTTGTAAATTTAAGATCTCAGGAATTATTTGTGGTGTCAAATTTTATTAAATATATAAAATAAACATGCTATGAAAATAATGTATCAACATTAAGTTTGAATTTTTCGAAATTCGAAAGCTTTTAAAATCTCATCTCAGGTCTGCACAATGCAATTACGATTGTCATTAAAGTGTCAGTACAAATGGAGCAGCTCTGAACAGTACAATATTATTGTCAGTATAGGTTCTACTGGTACAAGAACGCATATGTGTTACAATTACATCGATCACTTGAGGCTGTGCAAGTCAAAAAACAACAGGTTGATTAAAGTGACTTTAATTTCAGTTAGAATAAACGCCAGTTCTGGCTCACATTAATTTCAATAGAAGGGAATCATCGATTTGGTGTACAGTCCCGTTTGCCTTATATAGTCTGTATTTGTACTGTACAGTTCGATCTTGCTAGTTAAAATACAGCCTGGTACTTGCGTTGAAAAGTAGTGTACAGTGCCGTCTTATCAGTGCACAGTTAACGATAAAATATAGTGTTTATTTTTTTCAGGAAATGTATAATTGAGACGAAATACAAGTATGACGCTTCCACTGAGGATAAGCAGGTTAGAAAATGTTTCTCCTTGCAGGGACTGTCTTTTTTTTTTTAGTGGCTCTTTAAAAAAATAATTAGTTTATTTCATGAGATCATAACTTTTGTTTGAATCAGCTTTTAATCTGGAGTGATAACTACCTTTTTTCCTCAATTTTAGTTATCTCTGCATGTATATATATAATAAAGCTCATATTTATGTTTTTATACGTTAGCTAAAACTGGCAAACAATTGGACCAAATTGGCTGAATTTTTTTATGGAGCACCCTGGATCAAATAAAAACTATTTTTTTCAAGTGTTTCTAAAATTCTTCGGTCTACGCTGGAAACTTCAGCTATAATATAATATAAAATATGTTTGGTAGGACTGCACAAAATGCAGATAATCACCGGATCCCGTGTTTAACAACTCAAAAGTTTGACCTATAAATGTTTATGAAAACCCTGTATTATGGAAAAATACTGGATTATTACCTTGTTTTCATTGATATGCTATTTGACAACTTGGCTTGCGTTAAATTACATTTTGAAAAACAAAATTCTTGAGAAATGAAAATTCATTGTTTTTCACCGACAGGCCTAGTCTTGTGTTTAAGTCAAGGGTGAAAAATAAAATCTTATGTTGAGGAAAAATATTTTAATTTTTCTTGTCAATTTTTCTAAAGGGACTGTAGACGTAATTTTAAGTGACCGTCCATATTAAAGGGGCATATCCGATATCCCAGTGTCCGTGTTTTAATTTCTCTAGTCTTTGAATTTTTACAGAAATTCTTTTCATGCAAATAAAAATTTCTGACGTCTAATAAAATAAGTCTTGAACATGCTTTGTTTTCCTAGGAAAATATACTTACTCTTTAATTGGGAATACAAATCTATATAATAAAACAAGACATTCATGTAAATGTTGCTTGAGCCAGCCAAACGGCTGGACCGATTGGGCTGAATTTTTTTGCGGACACTCATGGGTAGCCGAGGGGTGTTGTGGGCTAAAAAAATTGCAAATTTTTTGTCCACGGGCAACGCATGGTCCTTCAGCTAGTAACCAATAAATGCTCAGGTTGTATGGAAAAGAATGATTATCAACTTTATTGAGCGCTACTTCTATCTCATTTGTTTTGCTACTTACGCCAGGTAAATCATTATTAGTCAAGGGATTATTCACAAAATCATTTTAACTCAAGGGATTATTCATAAATTATCTTAACTCAAGGGATTATTCACAAAATTATTTTAACTCAAGGGATTATTCTCAAAATAATTTTAACTCAAGGGATTATTCACAAAATTATTTTAACTCAAGGGATTATTCACAAAATAATTTTAACTCAAGGGATTGTTTATAAAAATCACTTTAACTCAAGGGATTATTCACAAAAATCATTTTAACTCAAGGGATTATTCACAAAAATCATTTTAACTCAAGGGATTATTCACAAAATCATTTTAACTCAAGGGATTATTCACAAAATCATTTTAACTCAAGGGATTATTCACAAAAATCGTTTTAACTCAAGAGATTGTTCACAAAAAAATCATTTTAACTCAAGGAATTGTTCACTAAAACCATTTTTACTCAAGGAATTGTTCATGAAAATCATTTATATAACTCGAGGAATTGTTCACAAAAAATCATTTTAACTCAAGGAATTGTCTATAAAAATCATTGTAACCTAAGAATTGCTCATAAAAATTATTATAATTCAATGAATTGTTCACAAAAAATCATTTTAAGTCAAGGAATTGTTCGTAAAAATCAATTTAAAATCAAGGAATTGTTCATAAAAATCATTTTAACTCAAGAAATTATCCATAAAAATCATTTTAACTCAAGGAATTGTTCACGAAAATCATTTTAATTCAAGGAATTTTTCGTATAAATCATTTTAACTCAAGGGATTATTCACAAAATCATTTAACTCAAGGGATTATTCACAAAATCATTTAACTTGAGGGATTGTTCATGAAAATCATTTAACTCAAGGGATTATTCACAAAATCATTTTAACTCAAGGGATGATTCACAAAATCATTTAATTCAAGGGATTATTCACAAAATCATTTTAACTCAAGGGATTATTCACAAAATCATTTTAACTTAAGGAATTGTTCATAAAAAAATCCTTATAATTCAAGTAAGATTAGGAATAAGTTTGTGAAGAATTTTTTTGTTCTTCTGCGAAAGATATTTTTTTTATTTAAAAATATAAATATTGTTTAGGGCACAAGCTAAAGATGAGTTTAAGAAAACCTTTGTATCATGGATGGATGAACATAGCAATCTCAGGTAATCAGAGCTGAGAACTTTTGAATTGTGGATATCAAGAACAATCATTGATTTCTATCTTTTATGAATCTGCAGATTAATTTAATCTTTATTTGATATCTCAAATGGTAATAGTACCTTAAAGGAATGACGGAGATAAAGAGAATAAGCATTGATCTTCAAATTAAAATGGCCCACTGTGGATATCAAGATCAAGAAATCATGGGAATCCAACACTAAGTTTTCAGCTCTACAAATAGTAACAAATATTATCTGAAAATTGTTGCATACAATTAGGGTTGGTAATCGTTTTTGAAAACGATCGTTTAACGATAGTTGTTTGCTTCGTTAAACGATCATTTTTAAAAACGATCGTTTCGTTTTTCGATTTTCCTCGACGTTTTCTTAACGAAACGATCGTTTTTTTCAAAATTCAAAACGTTACCAACCCTACATACAATTGTAAGAAGCTTATATGCCTTCCAGTTGCAAAAAGTTGCAAATGTTTGCAAATAGTTGCAAAAAGTTGCAAATAGTTTATTAATATTATTATTGTCATTATAGCTGTTACTATTTTTGTTATGATTATTAATATTCTTATTTTAATTATTTTTATTTTTATTGTTATTATTATTATTATTATNGTATGATAGATGGGCCAGATTATAAAGAAAAGCTTGGAACAATTGTCAGCCACCTTTACAAGCTCGCCTTCAAAACCTATGCAGATATACCTAGAGGACCAGTTAAGGTAAACTTTAGTTTTTTGTCCTTTTAGCTCATGCATAATGGATATGAAGTACAGCCATGGATGAATTAGGATGGGTTTAAAGCCAGGTAAAAACCTCCAATCCACTCAAGAGATTGAGCTTTTAACACACACAAGAACGTCCTGGCTTCATATTCATGTTAATTCATTCATGAGTATAATGTACAATAAACATTAAGGTGTTTACGACCAGATATCAAAATTTTGAAAATTGATAGGCACAGTAACTTTTACATTTGCTTTGAAATATGTACTACAAGCTTAGCACTCATTTAAATTTTCAACTCAACATCTTAAAACGTTAAGAAAGTTTGAAGAAAAAAAACACATAGTTTCAAAATGTTTAATAGACGTACTTTTCTAAAAAAAGCAATTTATATTGTGTTTTAGGCCTAACTCAATTATTCCAATATATTTTCTTAATTTTAAAGGAATCAAGTCTCCTGAATAGACAAGTAAAAAATTAACATAATATTTTCTTTTAATATTTTGTTCGCTTTCTTTGGAAATTTTTTTTTATCTTTTAAGTCGCACGATTATGTCCTAGAATCTAAGAGCTGTCGACCTAAAATTGTTTAGGAATTAATCACAGTATAAATCTAGTCACGTATACATGATTTTAGCAAGGGGGGTCGGAGGCATGAATTTACCCCCCCACCCCACCCAAAAAAAAACTTTGCATTAAGATTTATTGGGTTAAAAAAACTCACCGTTGTATCATTGCGCATTTCCCTGCATGGTGGTTAAAAATAATATACTCGTATCTGAATATGGGTGCCATCAAATATTGAAAAAAAGATTTCAATCGTTTAAATTGATATCTTACCGAGTAACAGAATGTGGATTGTGGGTTTACTAAAAGAAACACAAACAAGAAAAAGGCCAAATATCCGGAATTGGGTAATAGCATTAACAATTTAATGTTTATGTAATGTTTTACGTTTTTTGTATGTAAAGGTTTAAAGTGTAAAAGTGAATTGTTGATTTATACTTGTTTATGTAAAAGTGAATTGTTGATTTATACTTGTTTATGTAAAAGTGAATTGTTGATTTATACTTGTTTATGTAAAAGTGAATTGTTGATTTATATTTGTTTATGTAAAAGGTATCTTTACTCTGAGCATTCCCAAAGAGTATCCAGGTTGGGAATGGGGTGTATGACAGAAAAAATATTNGGGGGGTGTTTACTAGGACAAAGCGAAGAAAAGAGCTAGGAATTAAGGAGGTGTTTTTCAAATGTGTGTTTATATGTTTATAATTCAAAATATATGGCTCGCTGAGCTTTCCTTTCTCGTACTTTTTATTCTTTTTTTTTGGAATTTTGCCATTTTTTCAGATTTACTTTACTCAATATATTGTTTCTAACAGGACTAGAGGGGGGTTATACTTATATGTCTTGTAATAATATTTGTTAGTTTTTTTTTTCGTTTGTTTCGTCATTTCTCTGAACGATCCAAGTTGTTTGTCCATCATTTGTTTTTTTCTGAACGACACCCTCGTTCACGAACAATTTTGTGCGTTTACAAAAATGATGGCCATCTCTAGGCACGTCACTCTAGAAATGGAGGGTCAAGTGAAGTTTAGAAACGTGTACAGTCCCTTTGAAAAGAGGATTTAAAAGCGTACAATTAAATATATTTTATATATTTTATTTTAGGATAATTTGATGCGAAAATTAGCCTGCAAAACTTTAATGGAGATTCTGCCCCAGGTTTGTAATTATTAAATAATGTAATGTTGTAATTAAAAGAAATTGAACATGTCATATAATTAAATTTTTAATCCGTATATCATAGCAAATCTTAGATATTTCAAACTACGAATTCTACAAGATCTAATGGTCATAGTTTGAAAGAAAACGCCGCCAGGTTCAAAGATTTAGGAAGTTTTCAGTTAAATTGCATAATTGCTGTTTTTTCATTCTTTCTATTTCTGTTATTAAAAAACATCATTAAATTAGATTTTTTTTGTTTTTTACTGTGTTTTTTTTGTTGTTGTTCTTTTAATGTTCCTTTTTTTGGGTATAAATAATAAAGATAAAATTTTTTAAAGACAAGTTATGGGAGAAAGCATTCTTTTAGTTTTGTAGGGAAATTCAAAATTAAAGCATTTTTTATTCTAAACTTTCTTGATATTGAAGAAAAGATTTTAAATCGCTTTTATGAAATTTTTTTTTTTTTTACAATATTGTTTCCAGGATGTAACCCAGAGGGTACAGGCGGAGTTGGACGACAAGAAACTCTCCAAGGATTTCGACACTGTCATGGGTCTAGTAGTCGGATAAAATGGACATGCGGAAATATTCACAAATATTCGGAAATACTCGGAAATATTCGGATACCTTAGAAAACTTTCAGAAATATTCGAAATATTATATTTGGAAACAATTTTTGGATTTAAAAACTATTTTTTTAAAAAATGAAATTGAAAATTATCTAATTTGACATCATAATATTTAGGGGGAATGTATCATTGAATTCGGAAAATTATTTAAAATTCCTAAAAGTTTTCTTTATTGAGATCTTGATGCACAAAAAGTATAAATAAAAATGCATATTGCATATTTGTGTAAATAAATCATTAAAGCCTAAAATTAATCTCTTTTATTCTCATTAACCAAAAGAGAACTTTTTTAAGAGAATTTAATTAAAGAAGAACAACACTTGGTTTTGTACAGACATTATAGGACGGCATATAATATATCTATCGAAGGATTTAATGCAAGGAAAGTTATTTCAGAGGTGTACGCATCTTTTGCAGTGTACTGTCACTGGGCGGTAATGTAAACACAAGACGGATGTCGAAGCCTGACATGGGATCCATCTTTCACATAAATAATCAATGTAATATTCTGGTCATAGGAAACTATAATGTGAATTATCAAAATTATCAAAATTTAATGCTTTTGACCTCCTCGGATACTAAACGAACTCTGATGCATCTATTCTTGTTTTCAAATTCCGCCCAGAGAGAACTGGTTTCAATATGTACGCAGAGTAAACACAACTGCAATTAAAATTCCTTGCCTCATATTCTTGTATATATCTATATATGTGCTTCTTAGAACATTAAAAAATAATTTCTATTAAAAAGATTATTTTATTATAATATTTTTAACTTGTCAAATAAAGTGTAAGATAAGACAGGTTTTCGTTAAATGTATTACATTATTTTATTTTGGACTCATGGCCAGTGGTCACTGATCCATGAATTGCCTAAAAATATAACAATTTTGTTATTTTGAGAAGGATGCCATCCTACACATTATTTTTTTTTGCTTTGAAAGAACGATAGTCTGCCTCAATCAGCAGTTATAAATTATTTAAAACAAACTGAAGTGCTCGGCGTTGCCCGTGGAAATAAATTTTGAAAAAATTTCGATTTTTGAAAAAGACTGTATTTTTGGAAAAAAGTAGATTTTTTTTGTCTTTGTTACTCCCCGGGTACACATGGGTTCACCTCAACAAATTTCAGCCCATTCGGTTCAGCCGTTTGACCAACTATAGCTAACATATAATGCAAAAATATATTTGAACGAAGAGAATTAGTAAAGCATTTGCTTGTCTAATTTGACAAATTATTGTTTAAAAAATGCTAATTTTAAAATGCAAAAAACGGACAGAATGGGTGTAAACATGCGTCATTGAACACATGTATGCAAGTTTCAAAACATTTTTTGCACTTTTTGCAAATATTTAAAGTATATATTTTTATAAAAGACAAACGTTTTACTTTGTGAATTTCCTGATCAAGCATTGATTTGCATTTTATGCAGATCCTCCTCGATATTCCGTAGTAGAGATGTCGACGTTTTGATTTTTCTAGATTTTAGCTTTTGTTACGATAGTGTTCATCAAAAGTATAAACGTTTGAAACGTTACGTTGGACAGTATGACATTTTATGACATAGAGAAACGTTACGTAATGAATTTTCTGCACTTGAATACCTTATACAATGTTAAGCTTTAGTAAATGGTAGTAAAACAACAGTAAGCTCCGTTACGTTTTCAATTTCCTGTTTAAAAAAAACTTTCCCAACGTATCGGCTTTAGTAATATAACCACACTTTTTAACGTTTCACTTTCATGCAAGGTAAATGTTTTCAATGCATTGCAATGCATTTCATTGAAAAGAATATTTTTTGTTAACGTTACGTTTTATCTTAACTTCACCAATAAAAACTCTTTTAATTACGCTTAGGAATTTTGCTAAAATGCAACTTTTCCTACGTTACGATTTATTGAAACGTTATTGTTATACCTTTTTTTGTTACACTATTTTACAACTGGCAATCAAAGCTGTTTATTCGTGTCGAAAGTTATGAAAAAAATTTCTATACGTTACGTTGTATTAAAATGTCCAGGCCTTGACGTTTCTTAATTTATAATTCATTAAAAATAATATTAGTTCGAAATGAAAGATTTTTTTCCGTGATAATTGTATTCCTTCTTTCGTATTTAAATTAGTGTCGTTAATCCCTTTTTTACGTAATCTGTATGTTGCTGTTGCATTGTTAACCTTTTTAGAGAATGTGTAGAAGACTGCAGCAATATATAATCGTGTGCTTGACGAGCTTAAAAATAGACATGTTTTGAGACACTGCATAAATCATAGTTTGAAATATTGGGTAACAAGGATATAAGGATTAGAAATATAAGTGTGTGACGACAACTCAATTCCGTTAGACTTTCTTCTCTATCAGAATTTTGAAATATCAAAAGTCTACAACACCATCTTGCAAAGATGTAGAGATTAGAAAATTATAACTTGTAGCGAATGTTTAGTTCTTCTTGTGTTTTTTTTTATGTTACTTACAAAGGGAGTAAAAAAAGCGGCATTAGCTTTAGTTTACAAACCACAATGAAAATGTTTTCAGAGTTCATGTTTGGGGTTAAAAAATATCAAAATAAAGTAAGACAATTGCTAAATTTTTTAACACAAACAACGCTAAATAAAATTTTCTATTCTATTCTAAAATTTCATAAAATATATTGATGAACAAAACATAAAACACATTTTCGAATTGATAAAATATTTTTCCAGCTAAGTAAATATTTATATTTATAATTTTTTTCAACCTAAAACATGAACCTTGCCAACTAAAGTTTTGATTTGAAATAGTCAATTAAACATGAAACATAGCAATTGTGTAGTGTACACAGACCCGTTACACTTAATAAGTTGTTTTTTGCCATTAGTAGATCATTTGCTTTATAACAGAAAATGCATATGTAAGATTTCTTAAATGTCGTCTCCCTTTTCCAGCGTTTTATTGTGTTTCATTAAACAATGCAAAAATCAAAAACCTTTAATGTCTAAGAAACATTATAAGATTTGAATTTTCACTATTAGCAATGTTACAAAAAAAACTCGTTTACACTTTAGAAAGGAACTAAGTTTTTGTCAAATATACTAATCCCTATATCTTTCTAACCTGATGGGTTAAACCATTTATATTTTAATATTTAAGGTCTACGACATCGGGTTGCAAAGATATAGTAAATGAAAATTAGAGTTTGTGGCATAATCTCATTTCCTATAAATTTGAATTGAAATACCATTAGTCTTTGCTGCCATATGCATAAGTCATCTCTTACATTAATAGATTAGAGACGTTTTAAAATGTTTTGATTGGCAGAATTATTGTTACACTTTTGAAATTAAAACTCAGCCCTCATAAGCTTACGTTTTATGAACAATATTTACATCAGACCTGACTCGACATTGTCTCGAAAACGGTCAAGGGGTTTTAAATAGAAAAAGAACTCATTTTGTAATTACAAAAAATAGTTTAAAATTTGTGATTGTTGTCCTCGGTTGTCGTCATGCTTAATAAAATGTTGGGTTATAGTTTTTATTATCGACTTTAACTCTTGATATGGGCCGGGATCCTAAAAACCATTTCGTTCAATTTGTGCTCATTTCTAACATTCAGTGTAATAAATAGGCCAAGTGTTAGTTTTATAATTAATATCGAGTGCACTGGATTGCTTTGATGTCTTTTCCATAATTGAGGGAGGGGGAGTAAGAAAAATTTCAGAATTCGTCGCTTATTAATTGTCCGAAGCCAGGATAGAGTATTTAAGGGGGTGGATGGATGCAGCGGACGGTCAGTGGTTTCTCAGAAACATCAGTTCAGTCAACACATAACTTCCGTAGTGTAAAGGCATAGTGAGAGCATTATTAAGATTTATTCACAAACAAAGGTATATATATACATATATAAATAGTGTAGTTTAAATTTGTTAAGATATTTCAAATATATAGTTTAACAAAAGAAAAAGAAAAAAATATAAAGTTATCAAATGGCGACATTGATTATTACTCATTACATAAAATATTTATTATTTCAGTTATTATTTTATTCTTGTATTAATAGTTCTTTTAAGTTTCCATGCATGGTCCGATGAGGGGAGGAAGGCCAGCCACAACAACTTCTCGTCCGAGCCACATTCTCCTCATTTTCTCGTCCGAACCACCTCGAAATCCTCGTCCTTTGATTATTATGTGTTGAAAAGTTACTAATTCTTGAAGATAAAACTATTTTTTTTAAAATCTGGCCACGTTAGGGCATTAAATATGGATAAACTAAAGTATTGCAATGATTAAATCATGTTTGAATCTTTAGAGACATGAAAATGATGTCAAACTTTATTCAGGTAAAACTTAAAACTCTTCTGCCTTCGTAATGGTCAACCTTTGCATATGAAATAAATAGCAAAATATTTGGCATACCACTGCCTATCATTTTCCCCATGGAACCACCCGGAAAAAATCTATGGTTTTCACTATAATTAAGATAAAAGATTTAAGTTCTATAATCTCGAAATTATTTGCGGCATTCTATACCAGAAATATCTGAAAATGCGCGTACAAAAGGTGAACATTTTTAAGGACATAGAACTCGAAAACTTTTATTCAATTGAAACTTTTTTTTTCATTTTATTAAAATTCAATATTTCATTTATGCCCTAACGTGGCCCGATTCTTAAAAATTGTTTTATCTTGGAGGACTAGACACTTTTGGAAAATAATATTGGAAGGACGAGGATTTCGAGGTGGCTCGGACGAGAAATTGAGGAAAATGTGGCTCGGACTAGAAATTGTTGTGGCTGGCCTTCCTCCCCTCTTCCGATGGGACATAAAAATATTTTATTTGTTTCTTAACTAACATTTTACTAAGATCAGAAAGATTTACAGAACAATCGTTTGCAATAGAAAATAAATTACTGCCAAGAACTGTGTTAAGGTCATTTTTGTATAAACTAGAAAAAAATCTAATAAAAAGGTGAGAACTTGCTTCAATAGTCTCATAGAAAGACACACATCTACTAGCTAATATAGTTTTTACATGTAAACATTGTGAAATACTTTCAATCAAGTACCTATGCGTATCTCTAGGTACATTAAAAAGAATTCTAATAGCAGTATTCCATGCTGTATACAATTTTGAAACACATTGGGAACTCAAGTCCCAAATACTAGATCCATAAAAACTACAATGAATATTATACAGTTTCATAATAACATCTGGATGGTTTAAATAGATTTCTTGGTTAAGGGAAAGAATTTTTGAACTGAAATTAACTCGTTTTTTATTACAATCTATGGTCATTGAATTATCACTTTGCAGAACATTTCCTAAATGTTTCAAGTTGTTGACAAATGATAAAGGTAATTCATTCAATAAAATTGGGGTTATTTCATTATAATTAATCCTTTCTTTAGAAAAAATATGCTATTTAGTTTTACTTTTTTCTATTCAAATATTTGTACTAAATTTCAGTTAATTAGCTTTAGCAAAGTTTCCACGAAGGATTTGAGTCTTTTTACAACAAACTTGAATTTTCCAATTCTTATATCTTTGCAACCTCTTGAAGATAAAGAATGTTTAAAAACTTTCATGTTCAATAGACTCTAAGCGTAAAGTGAACCTTGATGAAAAGATTGCATAACGTTATAACCCTTCATAACGTGTTAATAGCGTTGTATGATCAAGTATAAATTAGTGAATTGTGCAATTCTACTGCAGGAAAAAATGTAGGATTTGTTAGGATAAAAAAAATTTAGACCTTAAAGATTTACAATATCTTCTACTTTATTGATAAGATAAAGGTTTCGAGGTTTCCGTTTTGAATCTTTGCGTCCAGATGTTCACTTGACAGCTTATGCTCAGCTTTAAATATTTTTCAAACATTTGTATGAATACTAGTATAGTGATCAATAAGATAAGATAATCAATAAGATAATTTGATATTGTTCTTTTAGATATTAAGATGAGTTTCAGGACTTTTAAGAAAATATTTATTTAAGAAAATATTTCTCAGCAATTAGAATTGCAAAATGGTTAAGCTAGACTTGAAAAATAACGAAATATTATCATACCACATTAATTCTTAATTTCTTGCTAAATTTATATTTAACAAATCGTTTGTTTCCCCCAAATAAGCCCAAAACCAAGTTTCAAGTTGATTTAATTTTGATACTAAAGGAAGCAAATATCCCGGGTAGAATCTTAGAGTCTGAAACCTAGTCTTAGACGCCGGGCCGACCTCCTCAGACCCTCTGTTTTTGGAAAAAAATATCAAATTTCACCAAATATATGTAATATGAGCAAAAACCATTAAAATATTTGAGCATTCCTCTCCCCATCCCTTTCTTCAAGCACCCCTCCATATGTCCCAACCCCAGTTTCTGCTGTTTCCAGCAGCGGACGGTCAGTGGTTTCTCAGATAAAGTTCAGTTCAGTCAACACATAACTTCTGCAGTGTAAAGACATAGTGAAAGAATTATTAAGATTTATTCACAAACAAAGGTATACAAACATATATAAATGGTGTAGTTTAAATTTGTTAAGATATTTTCAAATATATATTTTAAGTAAAGAAAAAAAATATATAAAGTTATGCACAAATAGGCGACATTGATTATTACTCATTACATAAAATATTTATTATTTCTTTCTTGTATTAATAGTTCTTTTTAAAATCGGAACTTTCCATGCATGGTACGTTGGGACACAAAAATATTTCATTTGTTTCATTAACTAATAAAAAATCTAATACAAAGCTTAGAACTTGCTTCAATAGTTTTATAGAAAGACACACATCTATAACTGGTTAACATACAAGTAAGCATGTAAACATTGTAAAATTACTTTCAATCAGATACCTATGCGTATCTCTTGCTACATTAAAAAGAATGCAAATAGCAGTATTCCATGCTGTACATAATTTTAAAACACATTGGGAACTCAAGTTCCAAATACTAGTTCTATAAAATCTACAACAATGAATATAATACAGTTTCATAATAAAATCTGAAACTTTAGAATGAGATATCCTTAATAACGATCGCTTAATCTGATTATCAAATGTATACACTTTTGATTTTCTTCTTAATCCTCTTTTGGGATATTTCTACTGTATAAAAGTTACGTTTGATAACGATTACAGATACAATGCTATATCGATTGGACTAATATCCGATTGAATTAAATTCAGCTGTTGACAAGCCGGCTTTTAGAGCATTTAAACAAATATGAATTTAATCATATTGATATGAAATTATTAAAAAACATATTTTGAACGTTAGTCTTAATAAGCATTAATCCAAAACTTACGCTCGTTCAATCAATGTTTAGTTCAACTAATATGATTCCATCAACACCTGAAATCCAAACCGGTTTTAAAAGTTAAAGAGTTCATCTTAACATGACACGCTGATTGGTTAAATTTTTAACTTCTTTCTTGATTTGAAAATCAGAGTTTGTGGCAAAGACTCAATTCCTTTCATCATTTCCTGAAGACCTGTTCTGCTAGGAGAAAGCAGAATAAGAAGCCTTTTATTTTTTACAAAAATTAATCTGTAATTATTATCACGTACCGCATCTTTGCATTTCGGCTCCAGCAGCTTTTTAAGTCATTATTAAATTGATTTGTAATGTCACAGCCACCGCTGCCCCACCCCNTGTTTAAAAACTTTCATGTTCAAGAGACTGTAAGCGTAAATTCAAGTGAACCTTGATAGAAAGATTGCAATATCCTATTCATAACGTTATATCCCTTCATAACGTGTTAATATCGTTGTCTGATCAAGTATAAATTAGTGAATTGCGCAATTCTACTGCAGGAAAAAATGTAGGATTTGTTAGGAATAATCACTTTAAGACCTACAGAAAATCTACAATATCTTGCACTTTATTGATAAGATAAAGGTTTTGGGGTTTCCGTTTTGAATCTTTGCGTCCAGATGTTCACTTTACAAATTATGCTCAGCTTTAAATATTGTTCAAACATTTATATGTATATAGTGATCGTTAAAGTAAAATTACTTTTCAATTTATAGTGTCGTCTGATCAATTAGTGATTTTTATAATTTTGATAACGAATTATTTTCAATTGCGGCCTTGCGGAGAGTTTCACTTGAAAAATTATGCTTACAGTCCCGTATTGTTCAAAGATTTGTATAGAGTCATCGTTACCGTAAAATTACTTATCAATAAGATAATTTGATATTGTTCTTTCCGAGATTAAGATGAGTTTCAGGACTTTTTAGAAAATATTTCTCAGCCATCGAAATTGCAAAATGGTTCAGCTAGACTGGAGAAATAACAAAATGTTAGCATACCACATTAAGTCTTTGTTGAATTTATATTAAACAAATCATTTGTTTTCACCAAATAACCCCAAAACCAAGTTTCAAGTTGATTTAATTTTGATACTAGAGGAAGCAACTACAGATGATATCTTTAAGTAAGCCCATTTTCACAAAGAAGTATTGCAACAACTCTGAACCCACTCTCCAAGTCAATTTGTTTATTAAAATGAATTTAGCTTTTTTCAAAATTCATCCGAAGTGCTAACTTTAAACGAGATCAATTTATTTTAGAGAAAAAATTTTAAAAATCGGAAACATTTTTAAAGATTGCAAGAAGAAATGTTAAACTTCATTTTCCAAATATTTACTCAATCAAGGTTTATTTCAAGGGTACTGGAGGGTCACTTACTTGGAATTACCTCCTTTTAACGCTAAATAATATTTCTTCTTAAGGAATTTTCTTGAGGAACTTTCTATACCCTATATCTTTGCAACATGATAGTATAAACTTTTGATTTTCTAAACAATTATATTATTTAGTCTAACGGATTCATAATTTGAAATATCTAAGGTCGGCTACATTGCGTTACAAATATATAAAGATTAGAAAATTTAAGTTTGGCACAGACTTAATAATAAAGAAATTGAGTCTTTGCCACAAACTCGTGTTTCCGAATACCTATAACTTTGCCGCCTTATGGTGTAAACCTGTGATATTTCAAACTTAGATTATTTGATCTAACAGAATTCATAGTTTGAAATATCTAAGATATACGACATTGGGTTGCAAAGATATATGGATTTGAAAATCACATTTTGTGGCACAGACTCAATTCCTTTGTTAAGAAAAGATCTTGTTCACTACTGATTGATACGTTTTACATACTTTTCATAATTTTTAACATTTCTCTTTCTTTAAGACTGAGCTTATGTGCCCCCTATAGCAGTGCACCAGGAACCCTATTTAATGAACTATACTTCTTTTCTGATAACCTGGCTCACAAGAGAAGTTGCTGAACTCTGTATAAGCGGTTCATCTTTGGAAAATAAAGAAATTATGTGAACTATAGATTCAATAATTAAATCAGATTCAGATTCTATTTTTGCAAAGTTCAAATGACTGATATTTGCAATGTATTTATCAATTCAAAATTTGTCCAGGAAGAGACAGTTCTTGATCTTGATGTACAATGATGTCTGCTTGGATCAAGTCAGGTTCAGGATCTGCTTGGATCAAGTCAGGTTCAGGATGTGCTTGGATCAAGTCAGGCTCAGGATCTGCTTGGATCAAGTCAGGTTCAGGATGTGCTTGGATCAAGTCAGGCTTAGGATCTGCTTGGATCAAGTCAGGTTCAGGATCTGCTTGGATCAAGTCAGGCTCAGGATCTGCTTGGATCAAGTCAGGTTCAGGATCTGCTTGGATCAAGTCAGGTTCAGGATCTGCTTGGATCAAGTCAGGTTCAGGATCTGCTTGGATCAAGTCAGGTTCAGGATCTGCTTGGATCAAGTCATGTGAAATTGTACCTACAATATCATGTTTTTATTAGGCCATCATTCAGAAAGCAAAAATCAATACAGATTCAATAAAAGTGTGTGCACCCGCCCCCCCCCCCCACCTCAAGACAGATTTATTAATAGGGTATGCAAGGTATTTTATGGTGTCACGTTGGTAGACTCTGTGTCTGCATTGGTAGATAACAAAATGGCATGATTTTTATTTATAGTTTTAAAAAAATATTAAAAACAAGTGTTAAGTAATTAAATTCTTTGGGAATGAACAAGACAATTTTCTTAAAAATCTGTTGTAAATAAAAGAGTTTTAAGAAAAATCTGCAAAAATAATCAGTGCGAGTCAGCACAAAATATCACCCAAACTTACAAAGGTAACAAAATGGATTTTTCTAAAAAACAATTGATTATAACATGTTATTTAGATTAGGGAGGATTTGTAAATAATAATTTCTTCAAAGATGTTTTATTTCAAAAGATTTAGTGCAACTTTGAATTCCTAATTTTTTGTGGATTTTTCTGTAAATTTTAAGAGATGTTTTTAAAATTTAGAATAACGTATAAAGGTGTTCAAATCAATTTTTTAAGACGTTTTTTTTTGCTCAAAGATAAACGTTTTTGGAATTAATTTTCTTTGTAAAAAATCATATCTTTGCATTATGTAAAGTGTGTTATTTGGTTATAGCTTAACTTTTCCGATTTTTTATGAAAAATTGTTAGAAAAAACATATATTCTAAAGTTTGAAGATATTTGAGTAAGAAACCTAAGAAAACAATTGGAAATGATTTATCATTGCTTCAGACATTGCTGTATTTGGTCATATATTTCACTTAGGTTGGTTATAGATTGCAATATTTGGTTATAGTGTTAAACTATATAATTTTACACTTGTTTAGTCTGGTACAGTAAAAATGTTTATAACAACACTATTTTTCATGAGTCTATACCTAACAAAACGTTTATATTATTTTTCACTTAAAAAATCACGATCAAAAATAAACACCCAAATCCAACAAGAAGGAACTTTAGAAAAAATTTAGATTATTTGATTTTAATATTATTCACCCCGGCCCAAGCATTAATAAAAGTTGAAAACCTTTTCTCCAACATAAATCTTTCTTCCACTTATTATTGAGGATATCAAGCTGTTCAGCAAAGAGAGGATCATCAAGATGATCAGCGAAGGGAGGATCATCAAGGTGCTCAACGAGGAGAAGATCATCAAGCTGCTCAGGATGTTTAGTTCTCTTGAAAACAGTTCCTAACTTCCTAACATTAGCTTGAGTTTGATAGGAGCTTGTGCATTACAAAGAGCTTTGCACATATAGCTTGCTCACAACAGAATATTTGGGTAAACTAGACCCAACATCTTTGGGTTGAAAATCCCAAAAGATGTTTTAATTCAACCTTTGTGCTGTTTCATATTAAAGTAAAGCTATAATAACCAAATTCCACAATTTCATGTAAAACCAAATACCGCAATCTACGCAAAAATATTTTAATAGTTTTGTAGTATGTATACAAAATATGCAATACTTACAACATTGACACTGCGTTTGCAGGAGCTACTAAAGATCTATATGGAGTAACTACTGGAGGAAGAAAAAATTCTAAAACAATAAATAATCCCTACAAAGCTTAGCTCTTGATTTGTATTGCTTAGCTCTAAAATTTTTTTTAATGCACTATTTACATATTTGAATTTAATGCCCTGTAAATGTTACATCACTGAGTGCAGACAAAAATTTGCGACTAAAGATTTACCTGAAATAGTATTTTAGTAAGAAATAATTTTTGTTAGTTTAACATCTCTACTTACAATGATTCAGGTTTGAAAGATAGATATAACCAAATTTAGCCATTTTTCAAATATAACCAAATAACTCACTCAACTGTACATATTTTAAGCCTAAAAAATTAACCATACTATAGACTTGAAAAAGGACTGAAAGTAAAAGTCCCAGATTGAGTTGCACAAGGTGGCCGATCATAAACCTTTCTGCCTTGGCTATGGAGTCCCGCTACTCCTTTCTCCGGCATCAATTCCTCCCTGGCTCTGCCTTGACTGACTGTACTGAATCCAGGTAAACAAGATAAGGGAGGGTTTAATATCCTTTGGAACCTGGCCTGTTGGATAATCAGGCTACACAAAATCTTAGAGTTCAATAACATGGCGCTTTTCTTGGGTTAGATTATCAGGCTAACAAACATATTCTCCCTTGGGAGTAATAAACTGTTCATTATTATTAACAGTTGTGAATCCTCATTAGTTATCCAGTTATCTCAAATTTAAACAAAGCATAGTCGATTCGTTTTACTTACCTTGATTAGATGCAACTGCATTTGAGGATTTTACTCTAAAATATAGTGAGTAAATTTTTTAACATTGATGCTTCAAACTATAGTTTGTAAAATTTGAAAAACTTGAAGATATCAGACAATTTTTATAAAGTTTTACCCTCGGCCTTTAAGTTCAATCGCATCTTGTGAATTTACGTTGCCTGCTCTTGGGTGCGCTTTTCTCTTATTTCTTTTCAAAGTCCTAAATGTATCAAATTTAAAAACGGTTGACTTGTGTTTAGGGTTTCCACCAGGTTACGGTTTACGTACGGAAATGATTCGGAAATTTTTTCCTTTTCTATTATGGAAAAGGTTCCGGAAATACAGAATTCCGGAGCGATTTTTTCCCGTAAACCTGAAATTTCTGGAACGTTGTTTCAAAATTATGGAACGTCCCAGAATATTGTTCCGGAAAATTCCGGTTCACGGAAAAGGTTCCCGAAAAATGTTAAAGTCATCTTAAACTTAAGTAGAAAATAAAACCAGAAAGTAATACTATTACATGAAAATAGAATGTAACTGGGTTAGCTGTAGTTAATGTAATACTACTGTCATACTCATGAAATATAAATCTTGAGTCTTGACTACCATGTCTCAAAATAATTTCATCTTCAGAAAACTTTGGAAAGGAAAACGACATATATACCAATCCTTAAGTCTTTTTGATGTTAGATAGCAAATATGTTAAATATTAACTCATAAAATTATTTTTAAATTGGTCTGTGTGCAGTATAGTATATGCACTAGGTGATCGCCGTGTCTCATGTTTATTGAACTATTTAAAGCCATAAGTTAAGTCTAAAAGTCGTCAGCTCCTATTCCAGAGATTTCTGGTTCTATAACTCTATTTACATACTTTGCTCGTCTGTTCGTTTGTCCGTTTGTATCAAATAAACGTCAAAACCGACCGAGCCAAAAATTTGTGAGGCAACTCATATGGCCCAAGGGAAGCAATAAAACTGGTTTAAAAATTTGTGCGGGAAAAATGCCGATTTTTTTAAATTCACAAATTTAAAGCATAGTTAATTTTTATAAACTCTTATTTATATGGATCATTTCATCCTATCCTGATCTAATACGGAGGTGGGGGAGGGGGGTCTAGCCTATCCATGACCCACTTAAAAATTAAAAACTAACTTGTCAAAAACTATTGCGGGGAAAGTGAAAACTGTAACTGTAAAATAGAATATATCATTATAGAACTAAAATGTTTATTTAATACATGTCAAATAATAAGTTTAAACGTTTAATATTTTACTTTTAACATTGCTTTCTATGTCTAACATTGTGTTAAAACTTCAGGTTTACGAAATGGAAATTGGAAATTTTACGGTTTCCTTGTAAACCGGAAAAATATCCGGTTTACGAAATGGAAACTGGAAATTTTACAGTTTACTTTACGTTAACCGGAAAAAATTCCGGTTTACGAAATGGAAACTGGAAATTTTACGGCTTTTAAAATATGTAATTGAAAAATTTTTTTTTAGCTATTTCAGATTGTCCAACCAATCTGTGCACTAAAGTGTGCGTTTATTTGTTTAACGAAATAATTTCTAATTTTTTTTTAAGTCAAGAAGTTTCAAGGTCAAAGTTTTAAAGTAGAGATAGGGTTTCCACGAAATGACTAAATCTTTTGCGCAAAATTTGCGGTATTTTCGCGCAAATTTTTTTTTGCGAACTTTTGCGCTATTTTTTCGCATGAAACGCAATGAGTTTTGCGCGGTATTGCGTTATTTTTTTTGCGCAATTTGCGCAAAACCGGAAATATTTTTTGCGAAAGTTGCGCATGAAACGAAATTTTAGTTTTGCGCAATTTTTTTGCGCAATTTGCGCAAAACCGCAAGTTTTTGCGCAAAACCGCAAGTTTTACGCAAAATGTAACTTTTTAGGCAAATTGTCAAAAATTGATATTCTAAGCTTAGAATTAAAAAACTGAAGATTTATTCCATACATGAAAAAAATATTAACATACGAGTATGATAACGATTATACTACACTCAATTGGTTACTTACAGTTACAAAAAGTTTAAATTAAGGGACCAAAATCAATAAAATAGAAATTAGAGAGTGTGAAACTTAGCAATATTTTAATCCTATTAAATAATTTCAAGTGACCCTTAAAAGCTTTGCTTAATCAAGTATAAATTATAATCTTAAATTTTTTAAAACAAATTTCTGAAATCTTTTTAATCTCATATAAAATAATGCAAGAAAGTAACCAATGCCTAAAGAATCCACTTTTAGGAAATATGCATGTCCAAAACTAAAATTGTCGAGAAAATTGTGAGATTTGAACTCTTCTTAACTGTCGTTGGTCAATTATGTAAAAGTGACTAATAGGAAGACATTCCAAAACAAGATTTTTCCAGAATTGAATTCTAAGAAACACACACCGTCATAAACCGTTTGATTTTTACGGAATTGCGGAATTGCGCAAAACTCTAGTTGCGGAATTGCGCAAAACTTGAGTTCTGCAAAAGCGAAATAGGGCAATTTTGCGCAAAATGACTTTTGCGAATGATTGCGCAAATTGTTGTTTTTTCGCGCAAAACTGATGCGCAAAGAAAGAAAAATTTTGCGTTTCCTTCCGCAAAAATTGCGCAAAAGTTTTGCGAATGGAAACCCTAAGTTGAGAGCAGCAGAGGAAAACAAAACAAAATGGAGGATGCTGAAAACGTTACTTACCCCCCCCCCCTCTTTCCCTTGTATTTCTAGGGTTAAAGAAAATTAATCTATAAACCTAAAATTAAAACTCGTGTCTATAATATGCATTGCCTGTAGTAGTCATAAACTATATTGGCGAGAAAGTAGTTTTGCAGAGATCTTCTAGCATACACTCGGAGTTTCTTGTTTAACAGGATAGCAACACCTCAAAGAGAAAGATCCAAAGATGTCTCTAAGGATAGCATTGATACTGACTGCGCCTTCCTGGAAAATCCAGATCTGTCTCCATTGCAAAATCAAAATGAGCATGAAACGAAATGCTTATACCGAGCTAAGAAGGGGTTTTATGAGAAAAAAGACAGAGCGCCGCGGCTAACACCTTCTAAGGAATCATTCAAATTAGGTAATTCCCTATGAATTTCATTTAAAGATATTGTACTTTCAGGAGTTTTTACTCTCAGGAGTTTGCACTTTCAGGAGTTTGTATTTTCAGGAGTTTGTACTTTTAGGAGTTTATACTTTTAGGAGTTTGTACTTTCAGGAGTTTGTACTTTTAGGAGTTTGTACTTTTAGGAGTTTGTACTTTCAGGAAATTGTACTTTCAGGAGTTTGTACTTTCAGGAGTTTGTACTTTCAGGAGTTTGTACTTTCAGGAGTTTGTACATTCAGGAATTTGTACTTTCAGGAGTTTGTACTTTCAGGAGTTTGTTCTTTCGAGAGTTTGTACTTTTAGGAGTTTGTACTTTCAGGATTTTGTACTTTCAGGAGTTTGTACTTTTAGGATTTTTTTACCAAAAAAATTTGTAAACAATTTAACAAAATCGTCATATTTATTTNAGAGTTTGCACTTTTTAGAAGTTTGTATTTTAATGAAAATTTACTTTCAGGAGTTTGTATTTTCATCTTCCCCCCACCCCACCCCCGCTTTATCCTTAAGTATTTAGAAGAAAATGTTTCCAACTTGTGTGGGCAACCCTGTATGTCAGTTTAAGCATTTTAGTTAAATGAATTGTTAACCTAATAACAAGTGACCCTGCATTGATAGAGTGTTATGTCCGATTCTCAACGGTACCTTTAACAGCATAATTGTGAATTAGTTATTCATTTATTTGTTTTTGAAAATGACCAGAAAAACGATGATATCTTCCATCTTAATGCTCAGGTTAAGGTCTCAAGGGTACCGTCGTGAATCAGGCATGTCATCTTTAAATATGGGTTCACTAAAGTTTACAACGAAAGCCCTGGACACTTCTGGTTATAATCAAGAACGATTTTTAAGGGTTGAAACGAAAATTCTGTTTAAACGAGAACGTTTTTTGTTCGTTTAAAGAAAGAGCAAAATGTACTTAAGGACGTGCCCTGCTCAGCTACCTGGAATCACATAGCCAAACACCAGCATAACAGAACCATGAAGAGGCCTTGCCTCACAGCATTACCGATCAAGGTTTAAATTGGAATCAAAAATGAATTTAAAATAATGGTAAATGGTAAACCTTGCTAAATGATAACAATTTAATGATTGAATCAATTTCCATAAAAATAATCATATGATTAAAATTATATAAACTATGCTATTGAAGGGACTGCAAGCGTAAATCTAATTGACCCTCCATGCAAAGAAGGTAATGCTTGATTCACAACGGTAAACTTTTGAATGTTTATCAAGAAGATAACTGGAAAGTAGATTGACTGTTAAAAGCATTTTCAAACATTCAAACATTATTTTTTTATTTTTTGTTACTTTGAGAAAGTTATTATCAATATTCTTTAAGTATACCGCAGCTGACAAACAATTAGTGTTTAGAAATTATAAAAGCTTTTCAACAACATCTTTGATAAAATTGAATGGAACAATGATTTTCCAATGAATCTTCCTGACTTTAGTGTCTATGTCTGGTTTCTAAAAATGTTGTAATTTTATCCTAAAAATCTGGCTTCAATTCTCAAAAGAAGTGATTTTTTTCTGTGGATAAATGGTACAATTTTGTGACATTCTATCTCCTCTAGATTTTAGCGTTTAGGCCAGTTACTCCTCAGAAAATTTGGTTGTCTTTGAAAATATGTAAAGTACAGGGTGTTCCACGAAACATGACAGTAGCAAGAAGACTTGAAAGTCGACTTAGAATTTTGAACTAATTTGTTATATTTGTGACATTCAGCCGTCAACCTAGTTTGTATGGTTCTTGAAACAATACCCACAAATTTCTCCAAGTCATCACATTTCCAAAATGTGGTCTGCCCTTTTTTGTTGTTGTCAATATTATTGAAAATTTCGTTCAGATTTCCATGCACTTTTTTCAAATAAAACCCAAATTGTCGAAATGTGAAAGAAATTCTTCATATTGCAACCTAATCATTAAAGATTTGTTTAAATTAGTGGCCTTAAGAAGTTGGAAAAGGGACATGTAACTAGGGATGTTAACGTTTTCATTTTTTTTTTGAAAACGACGACAAAAATCGAAAACTGAACATTTTTTTTAAAAATTCGTTTTTTGAAAATTTCCGTTTTTAATACTATCATTTTTTCAAAACGATCGTTTTTCAAAACAATCCATTCTAATAAACTCGTAGTTTCGTCAACGATTGTTAACGACGACCCTTTGTTAACGACCGTTTTTATAAAATTTGATGTTTTGTTTAACGACAACCCTTCGTTAACGATCGTTAACGACGACCCTTTAAGTTAACGATCATTAACATAATTGTCAATAACGTTTTTTCAAACACAATCGTTTTTTCAAAAGTGATAGTTTTTTTAAACAATCGTTATTGGTTTTCTAAAAGTTCAAAACGAGTGGGTCGTTTTTAAAAACGATCGTTTTTTTTTTGAAAACGAAACAACTGTTTTTGAAAATGACTAAAAAACGAAACAAAAAACGATTAACAATTCACACACCCCTACTTCAGCTTTTTAGGGGCACAATCAAAGGGGGGGCATTCCCCCTCCAAATCCATATTAGACAAAAATAGCCTACTGCCTAATCAGGATAGGGTTAAAGGAACTTACTTTATTTTCAAAACTTTCTTGGATTTCAGTAGCAGTTGTTTCCTCCAATGTTACGTTGTAATTTCTAAAAATATTTTAACTGAATTTTAAAATTGATATTAAATGCTGTTTTGTCCATTTACACTCGAATATTTTTATTATCATTAAATAAAATTATCGGCACTGTTGACGTAATTTTATTCACAATAAATAAATTTTGACTTACAGTGTAAAGATACGGATCAGAATATTACCAAAATCTTTTTAAATTGTTGCTTAAGATGGTTTAGAAAGGTATAAAAGTATACCTGTGAAAATCTGGCATAGAATCTTTTACGGGAGGGGTTATTTGAAATTAAAAAAATCAACTTACACATAATAGTGAACAGCTACTATGATGCCTCCAGTAATAGTGACAGAGATGCTGGCTAAAGTTGTAAATGCTGTTGTCGTCCGCTGAGGTCTGGAAGCAGCTTCGGCCTCGTATACCTCATTTATGATAAAATAAAAAGAGTGTCCCAAGAAAATTTTATTGAGCCTTTTTATGAAGTTAAAGTCTCTAATACATGCTCCAGCCTCCATTTAATGTTGTTAAAAAGAAAAACACCTCCATGATTAAAAAACTACGTATAACACATTTGTTTTTGCAGCGTTTTTGGATTGTATATTTTCTGTCAGGGTCAAATCATTGTTTAGACCAACAATTGCATTTATTTACTTGTGACTCATTTCAAAAATAGCAATTTCTTAAAATACTTAAAGTTTTTTTTTCTTTTTATAAATAGAACTGAGGTTGAAGCTCTCATGATTGAGAAGCTAAGATTCCTTTTATTATCGGCTTGGAAATAGTTAAAAATATAGATTTTTCATTTTCATGATATTTAATAGATAAGGTAAACTAGCAAATAGGGAAATAGGAAAACATTAATTTTTAATATATTATTTGAAAAACGTATGTATGAAAACTAATAAAATAAATTGTTTATCAGTGATATTCTGCATTTCTATTCTCACATCTGTTGTAGTGTTTAGTGTTGAATTGAGGCTTTGATGATAACCTGAAAATCTTTAATCCATCCAGATCCACCAGGGTTGGGTTTCCATTAGTCCCTGTGATATGTGTATGTGTATCCCACGACTGTCAAAATACAGGTTCAGGTTTCCTGTGATCCTTGTTAAACACAAGGCTGGGATCCCATTCTGCAGTTTCTGTTCCTGAGAGTGACTGCTTTTTGAAATTTCTTCTAACTCTCTGGAACAGGGCTGGTCCCCTTCAACTTCTCTCTGGCTTTGTACTCAACTGAAGTCATTCTTTGATAGCTTTCCTTTTATATCCAAGGGAAAATTCACAGGAATCTTTCCTGGGAATCTGCGGAAATTCCCGTGAATCTGTCACAGGAATATTCGGTGAAAATGCCGACAGCTATTCCAAGGAAATTTTTCGTAACCCATTTCGAGGAATTTCACGGAATAGACGGAATAGCTGTCGGCATTTTACTTTATGAATACCAGACTAAATCTATTTTTAGACCTTCTTCTAGTCATTAGATTTCATAATGTATTGCTATTTAGAAAACCAACGAAAAAGGAAGAAGATTGCACAATTTTTGCAATTTTTTACTTATAAAGGAAATTTACAAATTTTCAGATTTCCTTGAATAAACATTTAGTTTATGAAAATATTGCAAAAAAATTTTCATTTTTAAAATGCTAAATTTATTATAGTTTGCGGACTTCTTGTTTTGAAAACTATTTGCTATATAACTTAATATTGTAATTGGTATTTAAAATTTTGCAAATTTGCGATTTTTTGGCATATCATAAAAGCAGAGCCCAAGGAGCCCACCAGAATATTTCGGGTAAATGACCCATTTCGGTTGAAAAACCCGTTTTTTTTAAAAAATCATTTTGAAAAATTGATTTTGTTCTTTCTCATTTTGGTTTATTTTCTTGCTGAAAGATTGTTCAGTAAAATTGTTCTTTCAGTAAAAAATTTTTTTTTTTAAGTCTTAGATTCAATATAAAAAACTTTTTGGGTTTAAACAGTTTGGTCCAAAACTGGAAAATTCATTCATTCATTTAAAATTGAAATAAAGCATTTTTGAACAATGAAGATCTCTAAAGTTGCAAAATTAAAAAACTTACGTGTTTAAATTTGAACCGCTTGATTAGGTAGAATGAAACCTGCACAAAATTGCATATTATTTATAATTTATAAAACTAAAATAGATTTTATTGAAATCTGAGTAAAAGATAGATTGCCATTTATTCCAAATTACTAGAACTTTGACCAATGCAAAAAGCATAAATTTAGTTTGGAATGAGTATTTTGAATAATCCAATGCCGAATTTAAAGAATTTCAGCCTTGTCGCTGAACTGCCAAAAACCAGTTCCTATTGGGCGCTGGCTCAAATCTTAAAACACTGAATACATCAAATGGAACCAACCATGTTTAAGCCGTGAAACAAATTTAAGCCGTTTCTAAAATTTGAGATTTGGTATAAATTCTTCAAATTCGTCCTCAGTTTAGTTAATTTTTATATCCCTGGTATAGTACTGAGAGCAAGGTATAGATCATTAAGCAGAGGTTTTGAGCCCTGGGCATTTCTGTCAGAGAGGAGTACACCTCCGCAGATGCAAATTCAGACACAATGGAACCCTAGCAGTAACCAAACAAATGTTTTGAATTACGGAGAATTAAAAACAATTTAATATTAATATTTGTGATGCAATTAACTCTTACTGAAAGTTTTGTGATCAATTCTTAAAAAAAGGTAATATCACTTTTTTGAAATTATTGTTTGAGCATCTAGTTTTGGATCTTTATGATTTGTCAAAAAAGATGACATATTTTTTTCACACCTTTTTCTTTTTTTCTGTTTTGTTTTTAAAAAAGTCCATAGATTAATGATTTTCAAAATAGTTTCTTTTCTTTTTTCTTCTTCTAAATCAGAACAAGACTTTTTTTAAAAAACAGATTTTGTTAATTTAAAGGACATAAGCATATTTTTTAATGACTTAAAGAATTACATATAGCCATGATTGAGAAAACCATATTTTTCTGGCTGTAAATTAATATTTTCATTTGCAGTTTCTCTGTTTAAGCAAATTGTGGAATTATGCAGCATAGCTGACAATGTCTTTCTTGATGCGGTTTAAGGCACCTTGGTCTTCAATTTAATTAGCTTTAAACTTACAGAATCGTATAATAATCGTATGCAGCTGCCTACAAAAAAGAGAAAAGGCAAAAAAATTATGTTTAATCGAATTGTTATCGAAAGTCGCAGCCTTCTAGGCCCAAATTGTTAAATCCACTTGAAGGGTTCTCTTGTGAATAGGTCATTGAACATTTGAAAAAAAAGAAGTCATTGAAAATTACATTGCATTTAAAACAAATAGCTGTATGCCTATTGAATTATCTGTAGACAATGAATGTCCACCACCACCACTAATATCATAAATATTACCTTAGATATAAGCGGAAAGATTCCAAACGAGTCCATGGCTAGATCGAAGAATATTGTACCACAAGTATGCAAAACAATGACCTGATGTCATTCACGTTAATCTTGAAACCTTTTTTTGATGGTACAATTATTTAATAAATTTCTTTTTTTATATAAAGGTCCTGTCAACGCAGAAGCATCATTTCAAGATCTTATTTATCGTTTGTTTGAGAGGACTGTAAGGTAAATTTTTTCAAGTGACCCTCCAGGTGAAGAGGGCAATGCTTGATTCTTAACGGTATCTTTCTTTATAAGTTTTGTCTAATTAAGTGTGAATGATATACCATATTTAAACCTAGAAAAACAACAGTACCATACACATGATAAATCAGGTTTTAATGGGATTCAGCAACATAGAGCAAAACTACCTCGGGTCATCAATGAAATAGGCTTAACAATATAGGATGAAATGACTCAGGGTCAAATGACAAAGGTTGCGACAAACGTGCACAAATTTCATTTAATCTATTTTTTGGTTCCTTTGAACTATTTTTATGTTCATTTGAAATACGATCGCCCGCTCTGCAGCTCTTGGCCCACTAGCCTGTTCTAGCCACAGCGCTTGGCCTACAAATTGTCGTAACAAAATCTAACCCTGAAATAGTACAATTTTCTGTTTAAATAAACGTAAAAATAATTTAAATATTTTTAACCCTTTATCGTTTTACCCTTAAGTTTTGACTGTTTGTCGTTTGACCCTGTATCATTTTACCCGAGTTTGTTTTAACATATGTCGTTTGACCCTAGGTCACTTGGCCCTATGTCAGTCAATCAAATTCAGCAATGCTTGCCATCTTTGCAGGGAGGGTCACTTAAAATGACGCTTATATACAGCCCAATAAAAAAAAACATAAAGGCCGGGAAAGACTGAGAATAGTTAAAATTTTACCATTTTCGCCAGCTGCAGGATACTTGCATCAGAAACTTCCTTTAACAAAATTGCGGAATTTTTGAATTTGTCTATATGGAAGAAAACAAATTTACACATTTTTTCTCAAAATTTCTAACCAAAATTAAATTAGATACAAACTTGCCTTAAACAATTTTAATGTAAAAAGAGTTGGTTTAGATCTGAGTATACTGGATTTTTTGGAAACACCCGTGTTTTTGGAGTGATTATTTAGCAAAATTAGATACAGACATGGTAAACTTGCTTTAAACAATTTTAATGTAAAAAAAGTTGAATTAGATCTGAGGATACTGAGTTTTTTTGGAAACACCCGTGTTTTTGAAGTGATAATTTTGATCACCATTGTCATTGTAAATCATTTGGAAACCCCCTCTTCCCCCTCCCACTCAAGAACTATAACAAAAGAAAGAACGACAAAGGGAGAAACCAATCAATGAATCAAACTTAAATTTGGCGGTTGCATGAATATAAAGAAACAAAACACAGGAAAAAGCTAAATATTTAACAATTTTTTATACAAACCTATCCAAGAATAACATTATTATAACCCAGGAGAAATAATATCACAATGTCCAATGTGCACAGATGAAAAAAAAGAAAAACCAGTAATTAATGCAGCACGCCTGAAAGCAAAAGTAAAACAGTCACAGACAACTTATGGAACAATCTTGATCTGGAAAATAAAAAAATTCCCGAACAGGTTCCTGAATTAAAAGCAAGTCTGTATGCAATGTTGCACGAGTACCAAAATTGATTTGTTGCTGGAATTAAGACCACTACAACAAAAAATAAGACCATTAGCCATCCCCCTCCGAGAAAAACTTAAATTGCAATTAGAAGATTGGCTCAAAGATGAAGTAATTGAGTCTTTAAATTCACCCTGATCATCCCCTTTAGTACCGGTCACAAAGAAAATAAGACCAAGCCATGGTGTTTAGATGTTTGACTGGTCACTAAAATGACAGTTTACGATTTCTTTCCAAGACCCAATATTAGTGATATTCTTGATTCGTTACTCATCAGGCTCATCGAAAATTTTTCAACTTTCACTTTTCTCGTATGCCTTTTGGGCTGAAAAATGCAGGAGCCACTTAATGCCATTTAGTTCAAAAACTTGTTGACATGATTGATGTTGGGACTGGGTGTGGAAGGAATCCTTGCATATTGAGATGATATACTTCTGCACATTAATGATGTTATTTCTCTTTTAAATTTGTACAAATTAGTTTTTCAGGCACACAGAAATGCAGGAATAAACAAAATTTTGAAAAAACATTTCTTTTTAGATCAGAAGTGGAGTATCTTGGACACAAAATAACTCAAGAAGGAATTAAATTATTGGCTTCTTATGCTCACAAGATTGTGCAGAGTTGCCCAAGGGTAAGAATGATCAGCATTTTTAGGTTTTGCTGGATATTATAGAGAATTTTACCAAGTTTTGCTGAGATTACAGCAAATCTAAATGAGGTGACCACAGAGATGATAAATAATTTTGAAACTCTTAAATAGATGTTGTGCAGGCCCGTAGCTAAGAAATTCTAAAGGGGGGGGGGCATCAAAAGTTCTAAATAGCATTGATAGATAAGTAAGGGGCGTGCCGGTGGGAAACACATTTTTGACAAACCTGAAAACTTAATAAGGATAAAAATTAATGAATGTTTACTAAAAACTAGAATTTTATAGATATTTTGCCTGTTTTCCTTCCCTTAATTCCTATTCAATAATTGAGAAGCTATTTGCATCAAAACCAAAAAAAAACAGGAGATATAAGATGTAAAGATTTGAGTTAAACTATAAATAAATGTGCTACTGAAAATTCTGAATCACAAATAGCCTATACTTATTTTTAATACAGGGAAAGTAAATGATGTTAAATTTCTGTAAAGATCAGAAAAAGCTCAAGCATGAAAATCTTCAGTTTTCTTAAATCTAAAATTTGAAGAAAAAAACTTTCCTGCAAGCTTATGGATGAGCATAAACAGCTATTCTTAAACCTGGCCATATTTTGTAAACAATTTAAATTTTTCTCCATGTTACTTTATTATGTAGTTTATGTTTTGAAATTAGTCATTTGCTCTATTCTCATTTTTTACTTTGTAGAATATAAGTTTGCCGGCTACGGAGGAGACACCTCTCTATACTCTGAACACAGTTTAATTATTTAGCGTCATTATTATGTTTAACGTAAATCACGAAAAAATTGCAAAAATCGTTGTTTGGTGAAATTGTTGCTTTTTATATGCGAAAAATATGCCATTTTTTCTCAAAGCAGATCGTTCTTTTGGAAAATTTTGTGAATTTGTCTCAAAAATTTTTTTTTTCTCACGAAATTTGCATCGTTTTTGCTTTCTTTCCCAATATTCATTCCCGCGAAAAATGTAAAATTTGCAAAATATGAAGGTTTTCGCTGGAAATTTTAAGTACAGTGTAACCCAGAACTTCGAAGCAATCAATAGAACTTAAAAAATGTCTTACAAACAAGTTTTAATGGGGTTATACTATAATATCTGAACCTCAGTACATGTAAACATAAATAAATAACCATGGCATATGCGGAAACAGATTTAAAGGGCTTAATATTGTTAATTAGTTAAAAAAATAATATCTGCTGCAGAATTATGTTATCAGTAGGTTTAGAAAACATAATTTTGTTAATTCTTCGGTTGTTCCTGAAGTTTTGGGTTGAACTGGATATTGTCAAAAAATGTATCATTTAAAGGGAGTGTTCGCGAAAAATGAAAGGGGGTATAGTATAGGCTTACGGCGATAAATAATCGCTTCTGATCACTACTAATCTTACTTTTATCTGTAGCGTCTATATGGAAAAATTGTTAAAAACGTCTCTTACCGAAGAACGAAGCGTTCATACAAATTGAGGAAGTTGGAACATACGACTTGGATCGTAAAAAAATCAAATCAATATCAAACAAATAATTTAAATATTAAATCCTATAGTCATCGATTATTTTTCGACGCATTTGTATATAGTTGATATTTCATAATATTTTTATTTTGTGTTTTTTTTTAATTAATATTTCGCTTACAACTTGTTTTTACGACTGGCGCATTCCCGGAAAAAATGGAAAATGTCGTCTTCATTATCAAAATCCTCGAAACAGGAATGAATGTTTTCAAAGGTCACTCTCAGATCATAGAAAGTGAAACATATTATGAAATATTAACTATATATGAATGCGTCGAAAAATAATCGATGTCTATAAGTTGTAATATCTGAATGCTTTGTTTGGAATTAAATTGATTTTGTTACGATCCGAGTCGTATGTTGCAATTTTCTGAATTTGTAAGGAATCTACGTTCTTCGGTATGAGACGTTTTTAACAATTTTCTCATTATAGACCCAACAGATAGAAGAAAGATTAGTAGCGATCAAAAGCGATTATTTATCGCCGTAAGCCTATACCTTCTTTAATATTTCGCGAACACTCCCTTTAACTGAATCAGTTTAATGTATTATTTACCTGGATATCATTAATATTAAAAAGGTAAGAGAAGCGTATAGTGGTCACTAAGTTCCACAAGCCCATCATTGAGCTTAGCATGCACTGCATTACATATTGTTAAAATATTTCTTTGCATAAAACTAAGAATATGTAGTTTTTACAAACAAAATAATAAAATTAACACAAAAAGGAAGTTTTTCATTCATTTTAATACATACTACCCAATCATTAAAAAAAATATTTATCATCAACGTTTGCAAAATCAAGGTACTAAGGTGAATTTGGCTCTTGTGCTCCAGCAAATTTTGTAATATGAAAATTTGACATTTCATAGAGATTAACAGAACTCGTAGTTTGAAATAATAACATTCTACAGAACCAGGTTGCAAGGATATCAGTATTTAAAAATTAAAGTATATTGAGGAAAGTGTCCGATTTATTTTAGTTCTCACCCGTACACTTGCTACCACAAGATATGTCAGGAAGAAGTTAAATTCTCCAAATATATCTCTCAGAGCCCAGAAGCTTGCTGAACTCCAAGGCACAGATTCTCTAAGTTAAAGGGACTGTGAGTGTAATTTCAAGTTACCCTCAATGCAAAGCAAGCAAGCAGACATAAAAGCGTTGTCCGCTAAAATAAGAATTAGATAGCCATGTTTATAATTTGGAAAATGTTGAGAAATTTTAAATGACTTCAAAAAGTTATTAACACATTCATCTCAAAGACAATGTTGATTTGGTTTTATTCAAGGAAAGGCTGATCCGTGTGGGTTTAAATTAGTTGAAAACCTTACAGTGGCAATTGACATGGCCGCAGGTAAAAGACCGAAAGAAATAGAAAAGTTTTGCCTGACATAAATTTTGTTTAATAAAAATACATAAATCAACGAAACAAAACAGGAAAATAAGAGAAATTAAACTGTTTGCTTTTTACATAAGAATGAAAGAAGCAAACATTTTTGCACGAAAATAACATTTAAAAGTAAAAATGTTTACGACGAAAGAGGCGTGAAGCAAGCCAAAAACCATTAATTCAATAATTTGTTTGTCTTTAAGGCGCTAAATATTATAATATGATGTTACTTACAGGACATATGTGATGAGAATGAGAACGTTGGCCAGTGGTGTATTTTCTCCAGGGGGAATCGAACGCTGGAAATTCCTGGTTGAGTTCAAGCAACATTGCATTTGTTGCTCCTTTTAAATTATGTTAAGTTTTACCAAGGATTAAAAAATTGGCAAAATATATTTTAGTAAAAATGTTGGACCATTTGTTAAATGAACTTTGAAAATTGGAAAAAAGGTTAAAAGTTTTAATTTTATTTATTATTAACCATCATTATTGGTGGAGCATGCTTTTGAGAAAAAACAAAATGGACGCAATTTTATGCTATTAGAGACCAGATTTAATAAATTTGGAGAAATAGTTAAACTACTCAACAATTAAATTTGAGATGTAAATCTCATTTCAAAATTGAATGATAAACAATTTTAATATTATTACATTTTGCATAATTTTTGATCTGAGCTGAGCTGAAAACTTTAGAATGAAATATCTTTAATCCCTATTACTTAATCTGAGTATCCAATGTACACACTTTTGATTTTCTTCTTAATCCTATTTTTTGGATATCCCTACTGATTAAAGTTACGTTTGATAACAATTACAGATACAATGCTATATTGATTGGACTAATAAGCGATTTAATTTAAATCAGCTGTTCACAAGCTGGCTTTTACAGCATTTAAACAAATATAAATTTTATCATATTAAGATGAAATTATCAAAAAACATATTTTTTCACATTTTAGGGCCATTTTTATTTTAAACTTTAGTCTTAAAAAACATTAATCCAAAACTTACGTTGGTTCAATTCATGTTTAGTTCAATTGATATAACACCATCAACACCAGAAATAAAATTTTTCAAAAGTTAAAGAGTACATTTTAACATGACACGCTGATTGGTTGAAATTCAAACTTTTTTCTTTGGATATCGAATGTTCTCGGCCCGGGTTTCTTGAAACCAGGAGTTTAAGCATTAATCTTGATTTCCATCATTCTTAAGTTTTCAGCTCTGATCAAAGTATTAGATAATTTTAATTAAAAAAATAATTTTGTTTATTATATTTGAACAGAAAAAAATCGCATAATGTAATAATAACAAACTTATCGAGAAATGAATTATGCAGTGTAATAAATAAATTACATTTTTTTAAGCACATTAAACGTAAAAAAATCTAAATGTCTTAAACGGACCCTCAAAAATATGCCTAGCAGACAGCAGCACTGTGTACTAGTTTAACCGTTTCTCTTTATCATTTTATTTTTTTTATTTAATATTTTCAGTGACAGTGCACACTTGTGTTAGACAATGTTAAACTAGACAAAAATATCGTTGACTATAGAAATGCATAAATGAATCCTAAGGCTGATCCAGGGTTTTATCATCTTTGGGGGATATTTAAAGAAAAATGTACTAGACTTCCGACTGCAAAGTGTAAATGGTAAATACAGGAATGCTTTCCTGACGGTTTGCCACATACAATGGCAACATGAGCAGCTGAAAGCACGGAACAATTCCTGTGATAAATTAACATAGATTATTTTGACATTTTTATGCAACTTAAACATCTATTTTTATGTACTGTTTCGGGAACGTCCCCCCAGGGCTATAAATAGATTTAAGGTATTTCAGGGTTAGCATAATAAATTTGGCTTAAACATTTGAAGATTTCAAATAAAATACTGAATGATTTGGGAAACGTTGGGAGCACAGAGCAATGATTAAGTGGAGACTACCTCTATGATTGTATAAATCATATCAGTTTACTCAAACATTTTTCTGAAAATGTTTGTAAAACCATCCTTGGCTTCATCTTAAAATTAGGCTTATCTCGAGTGTTTGTTTGTTTTTGAGCAAACAAAATGGTATAAATGTAAATCTTCGTCTTTTGAGTAGAAATATTGCTAATGGTTTGTAATAAATATAGTGCATCATGGACCTTTTTAAAGAAACATAATTTTAAAAACTTAAACAGCTCAGTCTTAATGCAAAAACCTAAAACTGCACCTAAAATGTGTGACAGGCTCATTGTGATTTAAAAAAAATAAACTTAAAGGGACAGTAAAGGAAAAATGACAGGGGGTATTATACACCCTCAACTAAAACAGCATTATCTTTCGGTCAGGCAGAATAGGTGGGAGGAAATCCTGCCAGTACTAGTACAAAGTCATTTTCCGTTAGCTTGGCCTAGCGACCAAGTAGGGCAAGAAGTCGGGTTGGGACAATAAAGCACCAAGTCCCCTCCTATTTGGTCCAGAAAAGCCGGCACTTACCTGGTGTACTGGCACGTTTGCCTCCATTCTGTGTAAGGTAGTTTCATACCGGCCGGTTTCTTAGAACTAGCAGCATCGTGATTTATTTCCGCAGTTTATACTGTGATAGATAGATAAAACTAAAGTAAAATTCAATCTACCAACG